AGTTGATGAGTCATCTACAACAGTTGTCACATATCACAGATAAATTTGATAGAGGTGAGGCATGTCTTAGAGAACTTCATCCTGAAGTCAACACATCAAGAGAATGTTATTCATCACATCTAATACGTTATGAGTAGTTGGTAACTCATTTTCAATGAATTGTCATCTTCTCGATGGCGGCTCATTCCTCAATCAATCAAAGATAATTTTTTGATAAATTCATGATCTTTTTATCCATAATCATTTGATAATTAGTAATGATACCATGCGAATTACATTAACGCTTTGTAAGAAAATATAAATTTTAGTTTTAGTGAGATTTGAACCGTTGTTGGTTGCTTGGCTACATGAGTGAGAGTTAACCAATTACACTTATACCTTTACATAGTGACATCATAGATGCACTTACTTCTCATAAATCATGAATATTCTATATATAAAAATATGTAAAACTTACATCAGTTTAATCCAACATCAGTTGTTATTGATTATTTGAGACACATATGTAGTAATTTCTGTTTTCGTCATAAATGTACTTTCTCATGTGTCTATTATAACCACTCATTACCCTATGCACAATTACCCACTTGTGACATGGAAGGAAAATGACACATATATGCCCATAATTGGTCCTTAACCACTTGAGCCCCCTATTTATGGCTTTGCCTAATTGTGCTTTTGACTTGCTTGTAGGCCCGACTAGTTAACATGTCTCTATTTTTTAATATATATATATTTATTTTATCTTAAAAATATGATTATAAAAATATTATAAATTTATATAAAATTACATGATTAGTTAAAATTTTACATTAATTAACTAAAAACTTATTTTCTTAATTTAACATATATATGTCTATTTATTATGAGTTAAGGCTTAAAATATATTAACTTGTGATAATGAAGACTTATCAAAGAAGATGGTGGCAAAAGCCATAGGTATAGATGACCACTTTATAAGTTTTTCTATCACATATCCAATTGTGAAATGTGAAATAAGTTAGACTTATGGTTTTCACAAATATAATCTTTTTAGCTAGTAGTATTATTGATTTGATTTTCATGATAAATATAATCATATATGTATAATTTGGCATTTATATTATTTGCAAATATATTGAAAATAAGGGTTTAAGAAAGGGGTTCATGAGGAATTCATAGAAAAATGTAAAATATAATAAGAAAGTAGATAAGCATTATGATTCAAAACTCGTACACAAAAGATAAGCAATCATGCACATAATATATGCTGGCTTGATAACTTCAACAAGAGTAGAGTATGGTTCAATTTTTATGTTTATTAAGTTGTCATTATGTTACCAAAAATATAAGTCATATATATATATTATAAATCCTATATATTTACTTGTAAAGATTCATAGAAAATAATGGTGAAATTTTAAGCATGATATTATGAATCAATAACATAAGAAAAATTATTACATAAAAATGAAAATTGTTGCAAGAAGTTAGGCAATGGTTGAGTTATTACATTTTGGGAAATTTAAGTAACATTCAATATAAGGGTTTTAAAAATACATCAGATTTGATGTGTGCTTAGATAAAAGATTCAAATATTGATATCATTTAATATTTTTCGTGATTATTTTATTTTTAATATTTATATTATTCATATCATTTTTCAGTGGACACATACATCATTCATACTGGGTTTGCCATAGTCCAAATTAACTATCTATAGGTTCCTCATTAGTGTATATGGGTGAGTTTACTTTATATTGGCATATTAACCATTTGAGATTATTTGTCATTTTTAATGCCAAGTGGGTATTTCCAATAAATAGGGAGTACTCAACTTCAACAAGTGATTCATCAAGACATAATGGGTTCATAAGGTCTACTAAACTTTATTACAAATGCTTACTTATCTTGGCAGTATTTGAATATTTTGCATATATTTTAGTCAAAGATTTTCACAAGTACATATTGAATAACCTTCCCAACTAATAGAACTTTTAAAAAATTAAATAATGACATATTGAATAAACCCTCCCAACTAGCAAACGTTTTAAATGGGGTATTCTAGTATTAATCTCATGCCTTGAAGTACCTATACTTCAAGAATGTTGTGTTAGATTGATGATTTTTTATTCATCATTTTATATATCTTTATTACTTTAGAAGATCTCTTTAAAAGTAATTGGATGCTATTATTTTTTTGTCTCTCACTATTTTTCAGAACCTTCTTATTCCCTTTTGTTGGAAAATTATATTCGTATCACATAATTTAAGATGCAAAATATTAGATGACCATAAAGTTCATGTGAATTTTATGCCAAAATATTTTTTTCCTCAAAATATATTTAGATAGTGTAATGAATATGATTGGATTATATATTAGGGTGTCAAGGTGAAACCAATGGAGGGTTTTGGGTGCAAAGATAACAACCCATAAAGAATTGGCCTTGTTTATGGGAAGCTAGAACAAAAAGCCTTATATTTATTTATCCCTAAATATTTACAAAAAAATATTTATCAAAATAACATCGTATTTAAATATGAGCGATGAAAAACAACCTTGGATTATCGGCTCCTGAAGACGATCGAAAAGAGCAAGCCCATTAAAAAAAGTCAATCCTAATCCATCTGAGCCCATTAATGGTCATACCATTTTTGTCACCCACATGGACATTCGCTTTATACTTCTAGCTCCCAAGAGGAAAACCTCTCCTGCATAATCTACGATGAAGAAGACGTCTTAGCTGCTGCAGCCGGCGCCGGCAGCCGCCACCTTGGACTCGTTCAGTTGAAGTTCCATGTTCACCGGGCTGGCTGAGCAGGGAAGGGGAAGACAGCGAAGAAGAACAAGCGCCGCCAGACTTCCAGGGACTTTTCTCTTTCCGCTGCTGGGATCCCATCCTTGCACATAGGTCATCCTTCGCTGTTCGACCGCCTTCCGGCGAGGACGCCGGGCCCTTCTCCCCTGTGCCGCTGCGCCTGCGCCGCCATGGACCACAGCATCTTCCTCACGCCACCGTGACGCCACTGGGTTTGTCGGGCATCATTTACTCGGCTAATTCGTTAAGGGACTGTGCTCGTGGGGCCACCCTCAGAACGCCCTTACGGCGCTGCCATCGAGAGGAGATTTTTTTTTTCCCTCCCTCTTTTCGGCTGCGTAGTCATACGCCGGCCGGTGAGGAGGGGTGGACAACCGATGCCGCCTCTCGCACTTAGCGACCTCGAAAGCGCCGCGCATTCATCCGCAGCGGTGGGCGCTGTCGCAATCTACCGCTGCAAGTGGTTGCCGTGGGGGACCGCCGGGGGCGTGGTGGAAGGCTCTAAATGCTCCGCTTGCCTTCATTTTCCGAGCGTTCCTAGGGCAGAGGAGACGGAAAAGGAAGGTCCGAATCTGTCCTCATCGGATTTTTAAGTCACAGTTTCGTGCCTGTGGTTTTACCGTCGACAATCCCGGCTGCGCTGTGTCTCGGAGAGGCCGGGTTTTGACGCCGGTCCGCTCCATTTTTCATGATTAATTAACTCCAACTCCAACTCGAAAGCCCCTATTTTTATTCCAACTCTATGAAGGTCACCGTCAACATCTACTTCGCTTCTGTCATAGCATCCCTACAGCGATTTATGGTTTCTTGTCATCCGTCGTGAGTCTCCGATCTTCACCTGCAACCCAGCAGTTGTCGCAGGGTATATTCTTTTCTGCCTCGAGATTTTTGGCCGAGTGATGGTAACTTTTGAAAAGCTTTTCCTCTCCCTGTCGTCCTCGCCATGACCAGCAGTAAAACCCTCCGAGCAATGTTCCTGCGAGTGATTACTTACAGAGGCAGAAGGTCGGAGAATTGGAGAAGGGAGCTTTGTCCTCACAAATCACAAAAGATTAGCAGATTTCACCAGCAATTGACAGCGTCACTCCTCTCCCATCCTGCCCTTGTCTTCCTTTCTCCCGGAGCAACGAGGCAGCACCAGCTGAGACGAGAGCTTTTAGATCTCTTTCGACTAATATTAAGGCATCACACGGAGTCCCCGGGAGGGGACCGACACTGCCCCCCCCCTCTCTCTCTCTCTCCTCAATATTGACGAGATTCTTGGAGGTTCCGGCAGCTGTAGATGCTCAAGATCAATAGGTCGGAGCATCTTCCGAGAGGAAAAGCCGGGGCTTTATCTTGTGGTTTCCACAAGGGTGTTACGAGGGCCGTCACTCTTGATCCTTGAGAGCCGGGTTCCCGTAGAAAGTAGTTGCGCCGTCGCCGGTAGGTTAATTAGGGAGTAATGGTTAAGCCGACGTTGGCGGTTATGTGACGGGAAACTCCCTCTTCTCACGCTATTTCCGCTAAATGGGGTTACCCTTTTACTTGTCGAAACGTCACCTCGCTGAAGTCTCCCGTTTGTTCTCTAGCGCTGGTCTGCTCCATCTTCACTTGCGACCCCCAATTCCACCACACTGGCTTCTGCTCTCTCGGGTTAATTAGATTTTTTTCTGCCCACTTCGCATCTCAGATCCCTCCTCCGCCTTCGTGGGCCTGTTCTTAGACATTCATCGTGGGCACCGAGGGGAGTTCTGCTTCTCGTATTTTTTTTGGGACAGCCTTCCTCCTCTTGTTCGAGAGTGGTCAGTCTCTCTCTCGCCCAGCTGACCGCTGTGCCTTGTTATTCGATAGGCTGTCTGCGACTCCACCCTGACATTTCTGTCCTGCATCAATCAGCCCCTTCTCTCTCAATTCTCTCCCGGCGTACAACTTCCAGGTTATAACGCGCCAGTGCTTTGGGACTTCTGGAAAGGAGGCCGGAAGCCTATCCAGATCCATTTTCCAAAAGGTTCCCATCAGAAAATCCACTGCCTTGGGAATCCCACCTCCAGGAGAAGGGGTAAGGTTGGGAAGCGCCTGAATCTCCTTTTCCGGAGTTTGATTGGGTATAAGAACGTACTCGTCGCCTCTCCCTGCCCTCTCACGAAACCCATCTGTGCTTCTGTTTTTTCTTCCTGTTTCCAGACTGTATGCACTCAGTTTAGACCGTGGCGTTGGAAGATGGAGGAGCCGAGCAGTAGTTCGTCGTGGACCCGAGAGCAGGAGAAGGCTTTCGAGAACGCGCTCGCGCTCCATCCCGAGGATTCTCCCGACAGGTGGGAGCGGATTGCGGAGGCCGTGAGTGGGAAGTCCGTGGATGATATCAAGCTCCACTACGAGCTCCTGATCGAGGACATCAATGGGATCGAATCGGGGCTCGTGCCTTTGCCTTGTTATGTTTCCTCGTCGGATTCTCCGGCCGAGCACGCCGGCGAAGGCGGTGCGGGATCTAAGAAGGGTTCCCATTCTCATGGTGATCTTGGTCACGGGGGCAAGGGATCTAGGGCCGATCAAGAACGCCGCAAAGGAATAGCGTGGACTGAGGAGGAGCACAGGTGAGCTCCATCGAACTCCCACTGGTTTTATCGATGAGCAACTGCGCCGTCTCTAGCTCAATTGATTTGTTCCAGCCGGGACCAGTTGGTCCCAAGTGAACTAGATCCACTCCTGAAGTGGGTATTATTTCAAAGAAATCATGGCCGCTTTAGGAATGTTGTCTGGAATCCTGCTTCTGAATATCATTGCTAGGAGTTCGTTTTTCTGCTTTTGAGGCTTGAAACTGTCCATTGCGTGCCCCACGATGGTTTTCTTGAAGGCACCGAGGACGACATCTCCGTAACCAGTCACCGAAACAGTGGACTTTGGAGGAAGGGTTTTAGGGGAACCACTGGGTTTTGCTATTTTTCTTGCCAATTGCCTGTCTTGCTTTTGTGAACAGTAGTAGTCTCTGCCATGAGAGAGTCTTCATAACAGTTTCGATTCTCTGCTATAACTTGGAAGCGATTAACCCCGTTACGAGAAATTTATGGCAAAACCCACATGCTAAATACCACGAATGGCTCAAAATTCCTCGTGTTTTCAGAATTTTTTTAAGCCTTTCGGTTTTGAATTTGACTCAGGAGGGCAAGGATCAGTCACAACTTCATGCTTTCTGCTCATCGTCACTTGAACAAGAAGAATCAAATTTTTTTATAGTTTTTTTTCTTCATCGAACTTAATCGTGCTGTTCATTGGTCTATGCTGTGCCCTGTTTCTATGCCTAGGAACTATACGTCGATCACAAAGGCGTGGAGTCCTTTCTATATTCTGCTTCCCACTTGTAGAAAGGAACCTTATTCTAGTCGTGGATTAGAGTTTCATTTGATTAGGATTCTGAGAGCTAAAATGGAAACATCATCAGACACCAAGAACTTTAGAGGGTATTTCGTCAATGAAGCTGAAACAATGGAGTGAGAATCCTCTTCTCCTCGTAGAAAGGATTCATGTGCTTCCATCTTTCGACAAAGGATGCTTGTGGGTCTGGGCTTTGCATATATACGCTGAGGACGCCGATGTAATTGCTTTACCTGTGCATTGATTGAAGAAGCACTTTGAGCTTTTGGTTGGTCCCTCTTTGCTTGTAAAGATTGGACATGGGTAAGCTCACGCGCTGACTTAGAGGCATGTTCGCGTATTCTAAGTTATTGGGAAATTTGTCACTGTTCGGATTCTGATAACATCATGTTTTCTTCAAACGCCTAAGTTTGGGGTCATGTTTGACGCGTTTGCATGAACATGATTGCTCTAATGATTAACAAGTAATTCCCAAGACGTGGAAACCTAGTGATTCGGTGACTTAACTGAGTCCAAGTCTCTTGAACAAGATTCTATATTCCCGTCTTTATCTAGATTGACCCGTACATGTTGCAAGCATCGTAAAAAGAATAGTGTTTCTTCCTCTCTACTGGATTTTGGGTATGTTTTGAGATGGGGGATCCCACTTCTTCGTAAACCTCCACTGAAATTGGTACCAATCTGTGGTTTAGGTGAATTCCTCAGCTTCGATCTTTGATTGAACGCGTCAAATTTTAATTATCTGTGCTGGATTTTCTTGCTTTCCCCTTTCATGCATCAATTTAGGGTTATAAGTGATTTGAAGATCTCCTGAATCTGACGAAAAAAATATTAGAAGGATCGTGGACTTACTGATGGCCGCTCTAATTACACCGTGATATCGCCTTGTTATTATACTTGAACTCAATCCAATTTCATAATAATATGAGACTGTTCTTAAGAAATGAAAGAATGGGATCGCGTCGAGATGAGTGATGTATCCGTGCACATTAAGTTCTTTATTTTAAGAGCTCTTTAGTTTCATCCTTTTCCCAATCTATCAAACTGCCATTAATCCTTTTTATTTTATTGTTCTAACTGAATCATCGGTTTCCTTTTGTTAGATCTGACCTATCCTTGGTTCAATCTTGATTATGACTTCGCCAATTCTTTTCCTTCCTTGGTAGAGGTTCTGAAGGCAGTCAACAGATTATAAATGCCCCATGCTAAGACGATCAGTTTTCTTCTGGCTTGCATCCCTCTACTTTTTCTATTATGTTATGGGAATTTTGTTCCAATCAGAGATACAATTCAAATACCTTTCCTGGACATGGCCTGGCCTCTTTGTATTTTTTCATAATGGTTGAATCATTCCGTGGGTTTTTGTAATTAAACGAGTTTGATTGCACCAAGGCTTTTGTGATCATCTTCTTGCGATGTATGAGTAAAATCTTGCATATCCTTCCTGCATTTTCCCTTGATCGTCCATGAGGAACGCCTTGCTCTTCGATTAATGGTCAAACCTCTCTGGAATTTATTGGAAAAATAGTATTCTTTGTTGAAGGCTTTCAGATTTTATTTTTTTTCAAAGGACATATTTAGTGTAGCAAATGAACAGATTTTGGTAACTTTTATCTTCGATTTCATTGCCACCTTCATGTTCTCGTATTTATTCATTGATTTCTTTCTTTTGTTTCTAGGCTTTTACTTGATTCCTGATATGCTATTTCTCTCTGCTCACATAAAAGAATATTTTCTCGGAAAACAGTTACATGATATTGTTTCAACGATTTACAATTTCTTAGATTTTTAGACTGGAAAAATATACTTTTCATCAGTGGAAATGAAAAAGCAGGAAGATAGTGGAAGAAGGGAGAGGGGCTTTTGAGCTGCCAAAAAAGGGAATTAGAGAAGAAGAAAACTACGAAACCGATGATGTAATCTAGGACATTGATAATTTGAATCTTTGTAACCCGATTTGCTTGAGGGTATCTTTCATTCATGAAATGGGTCTTCATTTAACGTTGGCGCCAATATTTCCTTTCATGTCCATTGCTGCTGAATCAATCTCGTTCAATCCCTGTCAGCTCTAACTTGGCACTGTATCCGTACGTTTGCGAATGCCTTCCTAAGTTAGCAAGTCCTGAATTCGCTGTATTGGCTTCCCCATTTTCTATGTACAGGAGATCCTTCTTGGAGCAGGGAGCTTTCAGGATCTCTTCTTTGATGAGCCTTTTCTTCTGTCAATTGGGTGCTGGAACTTTCATGATAGTTCAGGCAACCATGCCTTTCCACGGTTAATGCCATTCGCTTTCGACACCTCTTCAGCCTGCCTTGGATTCTACGAGAAAATGCTTTTACTTCCAATTAAATCTTGATTTCGGGCCGAACAATTTCCATTTGTGGCTTGATATTTCGGAGTGCCGATGAACACTGTTCGTGCGTGGTACCGATCCCAAGACGGGGTTTTGATTATTTTTGGTCTCGTCGAGCAGGTTGTTTCTACTCGGGCTCGACAAATACGGGAAAGGCGACTGGAGGAGCATATCCAGGAATTTTGTGATATCGAGGACGCCGACGCAGGTGGCCAGCCATGCCCAGAAGTACTTCATCCGCCTGAATTCGATGAACAAGGACAGGCGGCGATCGAGCATCCATGACATCACCACGGTGAACAATGGGGAGTCTTCGCCGCAGGGCCCGATTACTGGGCAGACGAACGGCCCCAGCGTGAGCGCAGCGAAGTCCGGCAAGCCTTCCCCTCAGCCGCCGGCGGGCCCAAACGGAGTTGCCATTTATGGGGCGACCACGATAGGGCAGCCTGTCGGAGGGCCGCTTGTCTCAGCTGTGGGCACTCCGGTCAGCCTTCCTACGCCAGCGCCAATGGCCTACGGCGTCCGAGCTCCCCCCCCGGGGGCCATAGTTCAGGGCGCCCCCGTGAATATGACCTACCCCATGCCCCACACCTCTGCTCACCGATGATGCCCCCCCCCCTTCTCTCTCTCTCTCTCTCTCGCTTATCTCTTTCTCTCTCTTCTTGAATTGGAATAAGATGGTAAGTGCCGTGTTGATCACCTGCTATGGGCCCTGAATCTCACGTTCTAGGCTGATTTCTTGTCTTGATAGGACATTAGCAAAGGAGTAATATTTCTGTGTACATGAATCTTATGTTGGGCATCTTGTGGATGGCGGGTGGCTCTGGATTTGATTCCTTCCTGCGTTGATCTCGTTCTTCTCTTCGACGGTTCTCGTTGAATCTCGTTGCATGGGGGGTCGCCGGAAGTCTGCGCCCCCTCCGGCCGGAGCTTCGAGGTCCCAGCCGCCAGGCATTTGATTCCTTGCCGAGACAGGAAACCCTAGCTGACGAGGTTGTAGAGATGGTTTAGGGATCCTCCATCTGACTCCTCACCAGATCATCCGCCTACCCCTTTCCAGCGCAAAAGCCTCCCCTCCGGTTGTCAACGTCTAGCTGACGCAGGTCGCCAAGTACGAGCAGAGCTCTGACTCCCCGCCACGCAGATAGGCGTCGGACTTGTCGGAGATCGCCGCTGATGGCGACTTTGCCGGGCGTTGGGGTCGTAGAATGGACTGGGTCCCTGGTCGACGCCACATGGCTCCGTGGCGGCAATGGAGACCACCCCGCCGACGGGCGGCGATATGCAGCGGCGAGAGGACGGGAGATGACGTGAAAAGGAAGAATCTGCTCTTCCTGAACTGGGAGGTTGCACGTTGGCATGGCCCCCCGCCGGGCTCTTTAATGGTCATTTCTAGTGCTCCAGCGACCGGGGAGCAGTTGCACTGGCGGGCGGCGGCGCCCCTTTGGAATCCTCTACCTTTCCGGTTAATGGTGTGTGCTTTTCCACTCTCAATGAGCCAACTATGACTCCTCAGAGGAAAGTGGTGATTCAGCGGACCACTTTCTCAGACGGCGTCACCCACGGCCAGGGAGGAGCTCGCCTATAAGATCCCCTGGCGGGTTCCAGCATCTGAGCACTCTCAGAGCAGATATCCATTCGGGACTGGAGCCAGGGTGAGCCTCCGGTAAGAGGATGAAGGGGGCAAGCCATGGCGGCGCTGTCCGTCTTACGTACCTGTCAGAGGAGGTGACTGGGAAGCCGGTCTGTGACGCCGTCAGCTCCCGTATCGTTTCCAGATCGTATGGGTCAAGAAGTAAGGGCCATGTCTCCGTTTTCGCTCTCAGTTCCTTCGGATTTTCTTTCCCTTGGGGACTTCCAGAGCTGACTGTAAGGGGTTGTGAACGCAGAGAAAGTTGATACCGTCATCGGTTGGATGAACAGGCTCAGCAAGAAGGCGGACAGCTACGCTCAAGGCATACGGGAGCACGGTAAGCACCTTCTTCTTCTTCTTCTTCTTCTTCTTCTTCTTCTTCGTCCTCATTTCATGGTCGTTCTTCTGGTTCTGGTTTCGTATTATGTTCAGAAACTGAGATCGACTGACGCGCCTGTTGTTCTTCCGAAATCCAGTGAAATTGGGTCCCAAAATCTCAGACACGCTGAAGGGGAAGTTGAACTTGGGCGCAAGGATCCTTCAAGCCGGCGGAGTGGAGAGAGCCTTCAGACAAATCTTCGGGGCCCGGGAAGGGGAGAAGCTGCTCAAGGCCTCACAGTGCTACCTATCGACCACGGCTGGCCCCATTGCCGGAATGCTCTTCATCTCCACGGAGAAGATCGCCTTCCACAGCGACAGATCTCTCTCCGCCACCTCCCCCCAAGGGGAAGTCGTCAGAACTCCATACAAGGTTGTCCTCATCCTCGATGAAGATGTTCCTCAGTTCTCCCCCTCCCTCGCCTCCCCTCCCCCGAGGCATTATCTAAATTCTTCGACGTTCCTACAGGTGATCATTCCGCTGAGGAAGATCAAGCGGGCCAACCCGGCAGAGAACGCGAACAAACCTTCGCAGAAATACATCGAGATAACCACCGTGGACGAGTTCGAGTTCTGGTTCATGGGGTTCGTCTGTTACAGCAGATCCGTCAAGTACGTGCAGAGGGCTTGTTGCAGCAACACCCAATGAGCTCTCGAAGGAGGAATCTACTGTTTCGAGAAGAATCATCCTCATCCCCCGAGACCCATTATTGTACATGAACTACTGCTCCACGCAGACGAGTTTTTAATATAAATTTATAGCGAAATCGGTAAAATTTATGGACTTCATCTCTCCGCCTTAGGGATTGACAGCTACCTTTCTCTGCAAGTGGCTGCCCACTGGTTCGTCTTCCTCCTTTCCCTCCTCGCTTATCCCAGAGCAGTGGTTCTGCCGTGGACGGCACTGAGGATCGACTTTAGCGTACTACTGTTCTGGATATACTACAGAGAATTCCTCGCCAAGAATTATATCCCAAAGCGATATGATTAGAGTAAGGCCACTCGCACGTCATGATCCTGCTGCTAATCTCGTTTTCCGGGCATTAAGTTAAGCGTACCTCTGAAGCACGCAGAGGCCCCCACCCCCCATATCCGTCTCCGCCGTTAACACTGTTATTGGGAGTCCAAGGTCGGAAGGGGGGATCGCTCCTCGGGAGGGCCGCCGATTCCTGTGGCCCGAAGTCAGCTCGCGCCGGAAGGTCGTCGCTGACTCGGCGGTGTGCGGGATCAGGGCAGCTCGCAATGAATTAGAGAAAGAGAAATGTCCTGGTTTGGTGTTCTGGATTAACTAATCGGTGGAACCGCGGCGGAAGGAGACCTGTGCGGAGGGGGAAAGGGAAGAACAGTGGCTCCCAGCTCCCACCGAGGCCTCCCCCTTTTCATGGCGGATTGAACCTCGGCCCCCAATTCCCGCGTGGAGGGTGAGAGTTAAAATGGTGACGTCTGGAACGGATAGGGGTCTGTTCTTTAATTCATCTTCCTTTCAGATTCAGATTTCGATTCTGTGGACAGAACTTGCTTGATCTCTGTATACAGACCCGAAAACCGGCAAAGGGGTGGTTTGTTTAAGAGGGACAATCGCCGGTGGAAGCTTGCATCAGGTTTGCCGCCACCAACCTCAAATTAATAAAAAACTAGAGAAAACTTAGGCCGCCAATATTCAATACTTAATAAGGATACATAACTGGAGAAATCAACAGATAGCAGGCCAACCACTGGAAGTCAACGGGGGACGATACATTGTAGTCGTTGAAGGGGAACCTATGGAGATACTCCTATTCACCTTTGACGGAGCTGATGCCAGCACAGAGAAGGCACGCCGCCACAGTTGCTTAATTCAGGGAGCAAGAATCTGGGCTCAGAAGAACACGTCCACGATGGCATCAGGTCCCGGCAATCTACCGGAGAAGTTCATCTTACAGCCTGCTGAAAAAGTCAACCCGGCCTGCTCGCAGCCGGCCTTGGTTATGTGCGGGCACGAGCTCACGTCAACGTACTCCAGAAACTTGCAGAACTCCAGCAGCATCCCCAGGCCGGCGACGGTGATCCTGGGGCAACTGCTGGCCTTGAAAACCTTCAGCCCAGATTCAAATTCGGCGGCGCCGAGCTCGTGGAAGGCGGCGTCCGTCACCTTGTCGCAGCAGCTGATGTCGAGCGCCGCGAGGTTCCTGCACCTAGAGAGTACGCACCGCACTGAGGAATCCCCGACGTCCAAGCACCAGTCAACCCTAAGGTTCTTGATCGAGGAAGAACAGGCCGCCATGAGCGCCTTCACGGATTCCTCCGAGACGTTCCGGCAACCCCCGAGGACGATCGTCTCCAGGTTCTCGCAGGAATTCGCCAAGGCGTAGATGGACAGATCGCTGACATTGAGGCAGTCCAGAAGCTTTAGGGTTTTCAGGGAGGAGGAAGACGAACTCGCGATTTGGGAGACCCCCTCGTCCCCAACCTTGCTGCATTTGCTCAAGTCGAGGAACCTGAGGCGCCGGCAGCCGTTGACCAGAGTCGATAGCCCACTGTCCGTTATGTTGTGGCAGCCCGAGAGCCCGAGATCTTCGAGCTGAGGGCAATTCCTCGAGAGGGCCTGAAGCAATCCGTCTGTCACGAGCTTGCAGCCGGAAAGATGAAGGCCCCTCAGCTTGGAGCATGACTGAGATACGACGATTAATCCCGTGTCCGTGAGTTTTCTGCAGCCGGAGACATCCAGAACCTGGAGCGACGGGAGGCCATTTCCAAGGGCTATGATCCCAGCGTCACTGATTCCTGCAAAAGAAGGCGGCACTCGATCCCTCGGTCAGGTCCGATGTATCCAAAGATGATGATGATCACGCAGAGTATATATAAATAGAAATTTCATGGCAGGCGTTATCCCCATATGCTGTTCAATTTGGAAGGAAATTCTGCGGCTGGTGGAAGAAACAGGAACCAGCACTGAGATATAAACAGATCATACATAAACATCAAGAAAAGCATATGAATGAAACACGAAAGAAAAAAGAGTTTGACCAGATGCATATCATCAGACACGAGCCATCGGAAAGCCGAAATTACCCGGAACGAACCAGACAGGGAGGGGTCTCCGCAGGGGAGGGAGGAAAAGAAAGATCAAATAACTTATAAGAACATCACACGAGGCACAGGGCAGAGATTGAGCTTGTGCAAGGTGATAGCAGAAAGAGGGGAACAGATGACGGAATCCCCACCTTTGCAATTCTTCAGGTCAAGAGATACCAGGCGCCAGAATCTCGCGGCGACGACGGAGAGGTCGGAATCGGTGAGGCCAGGGTAGAAAGACCGAGAAGTGGATTGCGAGAGGTCCATCTCGACGACGCCCGAGAACCTTTCCGCCATCCTCCGCAGCATGGCCGGCCCCGCCCTGGCGCGCAGCCGCCGGCGCTCCGAGCTCTGCAGCTGCAACCAGCGCTTGCATACGAGCCCGAATCCGTCTCTCTCTTCCTCCGTCTGAAGCTTCCACAGCACCGCCCTCAGCTCGTCGTCCGTAAGGACCTCGTTTATGCAGACCCTCGGGGACGCCGCCGCCCATTTCCCTCTGTCCCCGCTCGTCGCCATCGGGCACAGCAGAATCGGACAGGCCCAGAGGAGTGCGCCGTCGACCAAGGCGAGATCAGCCCCCCAACGGAAACCTAATCCCCCCTCGATTTCAGATGGAGGGGATGGGATGCATGCCCGAGCTTCCTTCCCCCTCCCCCTGGCGAGCTTCCATCTCCTTGGGGAGGTGGAGCCTTAGAGTTGCGCTAAGACGGCGTCTTCAGGGACAGGTGTCGGTTTGAGTTTTTTCCGGGCCTAAAAAAATTCGACTTGAGAGGTCCCAACGCTCTCCCTCTCTCTCCTCTCTCCCCTCTCTCCCCTCTCTCCCCTCTCTCTAAAGACGTCATCTTTGGGGAAACGGGCGCCCGCGCCCACCTGTCAAACTGATGGTGAGTAGTCACAACTTCAAGATCATAATGGGTCAAAAGGGGTCTAAAAGTGGGCCTTCTGCGGCCTATGAATTTTGAATCCTGGTTAGGCAACGCAAGGCCCAGAGTTGAAGAGTTATGGCCCGGAGCATCGCCCAAGGACTACGTCCGAGCCTGGGCCACGTCCATTTTTAATACAGCAGCATTTCTTGAACCCCTTAAATGTTTTAAATTAACAACTTTATCGTCAGGTTTGTCCTCTTATTTATTTATATATCTATATTATTAACATTTCCACTATAAGACGTCCAACACCCAAACATAATAGTCATCACTTTCCAATGTCTAAAAGTAGATTTTTACTATTAATTACATGAGCAGCCCTTGTAATCAAGTCATAAACATGTTACTAACTCCACTGGAACATATGTGGGATAATTTATATAGGTGAAATTTTATGATGGAGATTTAGGGGTATCTAGCTTAGCACATGCAAGAAATAGTCATTATGGTTGGGTGATAAAGTCAATAATATTAGTGCTCAAATCGAATGTTACTAGTATATAAGAATTCCTACATCCATGTACTATGCATACTATTTTCTCAATTTCTAAGATATTATGTGCCTCATTCTACTTTTTTATTAGGATAATTTTTAGTAGTAATATTATGTAATACATTAATACAATATTTATTTATGACTAATTTTTTGTTGAAAGTACCTCTAATAAAAAGTATCCAATTTTATTTTTAAGGTACAATAAAATCATGTGAAAAAGTGATAGTAAAGCAAATGTTTCATAATCAAAAGTAACTAAATGTGAAGAAAACATATATACAAACTCAGTGGGACTTCAACTCTTAGATGTTAGTCAAGGTGATGATAAATATTCGTAAGTTGAGAAAATGGATAGTAAACTTTTTAAGATGGAACATGAAAGACAAGCAACTTAAATTGTTGAGATATAAGGCTTAGATTTTCCAAGTCCTATCTTAAAGTTAGTATTTCACTTGTAACCTAATTTTAAGATCCATCTGAACTATATAGACTAGAAGGATTTCCTTGGATCCATGGAGTTGTCAAAATCCACCATCAAATAGACAAAACCTCAAAAGAAGTCAAGACCCTGTAAAGTTGATTGAATGCCTTTTGGACAACAATGGGGGCATTTCAATAGGTGAATATATGTTAGGATATTCCTAAAAAAGGAGTGTTTTGTTTGGATGACATTAAAATTTTGAATTTTGTTCATTCAAATAATTTAAAATACTTTGAATCAAGAAACTAAATTTAAAGCAAGAAAACTAAATCTGGATGCATTTAAAATGCATTTTTTTGTTAGCCCTTGTTTGTCACTGAATTGAGACATATTGAGGCCAACTTGCATCTTCATACATCTTGTGGCTCATATCCTCTTGAGCTGGATTATAAATGGGCTAGATCACATCTCTTTATATATGTATTAAAATAAGCTTAAAATTTTTAACCTCATCTTTTAGTCTCTACATCACATCTTTTTATATATGTATTAAAATAAACTTAAAATTTCTAACCTCATTTTTTTAATGTTTCTAATCTCATCTTTTAGTCTTAATAGGCAAAGTTTTAAAATATAATATTCTCATGACGTTTCATTTGAAATAATCAATGTAGAGTCTTCAATTGTAACTTGGCCTTTCTTATGTGGCTTAATGAAGATAACTTAAGAGGTCATGTTTTTCTATGGAGGGTATTGTAATTCCAGACTCCAAGATGTGTTTTAATTAAGGAAACATATTTTATGTTTAAGATGGATTTACATCAAGAATGATGATGATTTTTGTAAATAAAATGGAAGCCTTGACATATTTTTTATATTTCATGGGTGAGGCCAAACATTTTAATGATGTCATGACATTTCCTATAAATAATCATTTGATAAGAGTGAAAGTTAATTTGCTCACTAATTTATGATGTGAAAATAGTTGTACAATGGCATGGAAGGGATACTAATTTGACACTAATTATGTGATGACAAAATAGAAAAAATATTATGTTTTCCCAAAATTTTAGGCACATATCTTAGATTTTTTTAAAAATAATAGAACATTTTAAGTTAACTAGCATTAACTATAAATATTAGCTTTAGCTATTAAAATATTTTGTTTTCTTCTAGAATATTTCCTTTATTTTTTGAATTGAAATCAACGTCAGTATACTCAAATCCGTGCATAATCATAGAAATTAATCATTCCAAAAAGGTTTGTTGGAATCTTCACTTATTCTACATTCATCATTCTCATAAAAATTGACATTAATTTATGACAACATATGATCTCCTGTCATCGATTCGTATCGTGGAGAAAATTACTCGTCTCGATATGAATTGAGAGACACGTGTAAATTTCAAGATCTTCAAAATTTTATGACAATCTTAAAATGATGAGTCCAAGCTGGCAGCCGTTATCAAATGCCTACTTGTCTTAGTCTATATAAACTACGTGCTTATACGTATGTTCGTAGACATCTCCTCCTCTAAGCTGATGGTCTCTCTAGTGTAAGGAGTGATGAATTAGATTAAGAGAGGGTTGAATAGACACAATGTGTTGGAGTTGTGGAGAATGATCTCCTATTAAGTTCAATAGGGCTCTACGACGAGTATTAGGGGATAAGTGTCTTTTTTCTCTATGAAGCTTTCCCGAAGCTTGTGCAAAGAGGAGAAAGTGCCACCATCTCTATTTTAGGGCTTGAATGTGTGTTGTGTGAGCATGAAGGGTTTCTACCAAAGGTTGTAGCAAACAATTCCCTAGAAGCAAGGTTTATGTGAGACTATGGATGTAAGAGGTTTTTTTTTTAACCATGTAAATCTTGTGTGCTTTATATTCTTACTTCTCTCTCTCTCTCTCTCTCTCTCTCTCTCTCTCTCTCTCTCTCTCTCTCTCTCTCATGTTATGTATTTTGCATCAGAAAATTCAGCTGTGCAAGAAGAAGAAATGAGGAACGATTGCAAGTCCCTCCAGGGGCATCAATGTCGTTCCCTTCATTCCCTCACTTTTGGGAGAAGAAGAATGCCATGTTAAATGGGAGATTGATCAAGAGGAGCAAACCCTACTTGAGATCTTACGGTAAGATGATTTCATTTTATCCATCATTCTATTTATATGATCAGCGGGGCAGACAGTTCTTGTTGTTCTTTTCTTCCGATCTAGATCTGATCAGATTAATGGATGCACTGATCTAATCCTGGTCGGATCACCCCCTATTGAATCGGACTCAACCTAATATCTATTTTGGCCTAGTCAATCTCTCTCTCTCGACATATATATATATATATATATATAGATAGATAGATAATGGATTTAAATCAAGGGTTGATTCTCCCTATCTCCATCACGTATCCTGACGACCATTTTTCGTGTGATTTTCTTTCGCCTAGCTTCATACCTTGCAGGAGTTTAGGGCCTGGCGCCTGCCTGAACCGATGATTCGGCTATCGTTTATCGTAAGAGTTCCCTTCTCCATTCAATTTATATGTTATCACATGACATTTTTACTTGGTTTTTTCTAATTTTTAACTTAAAGAAAATAAATTGGTTCTTGGGTTGTATTTCCTCAGGAGCAGTCCACAAGCTGATATCTCACTGAACCTGGTCGGGGAACAGACCAGGCGTTGCATGGTCAGCCGACTGTAACGGTCGAATCCTCTGTATGGATTCGTATCCTCTTCATTGGAGCAGTCCACAAGCTGATATCTCACTGAACCTGGTCGGGGAACAGACCAGGCGTTGCATGGTCAGCCGACTGTAACGGTCTAATCCTCTGTATGGATTCGTATCCTCTTCATTGATATGAATCCCCATAATCTCTCCCTTCCTTTTCCCACCATAAATGATGAGCGAGAAAATTAGGAAAAAAATCGCAGTTTGATGCACCCGCCGAACTCAAGCTCATCTGGATCTCTTGCTTTCCAGTGGCGGCCCTGCCGGAGCGTGCTCTATAATTTCCTCTCCTCCTTGACCCCTGGTTATCCGCTCCCTCAGCCCACACCTGAGCACCACTTTTCTGTGCATCCAACGCAATTGAATCCGCCATTAACATATTCCTCGGCCAGCCCGAACCTTCCGAATGCAGCAGCTCCTGCCGGCCCGCAGCGGCCGTGAGCTCTCTCCGAGCTCACCAGCTTCCTATAAATGGCCACCCTCCGTCATCTTCTCCTCCCCACCCGTCCACATCCTCCTCTTTCCACCTGCTGTTTCAGAGCTTCTCCAGTGCTACTTCGCGGTGCAATGGATTCTCGGGCGAGCTCTTCTTCCAAGACCGCGAGAGCTGCCAAAAGCAAGGACAAGGGCAAGGCTGTCGTCGAGGCGATACCACTCTCTCAGATGATGGTAGATGAAAATCGTAGCTTCATATCTCAGTACAGAGCGCACCCGAGCCCAACCAGAGGAGCAGCTGTGGCGGCACCATGGAGTTGCACCCGTTTCTCCGGAAGCTCTTCGTCCAGGGCGTTGGGAAATAACGTCGGCGACTCCACCCCAAGTATGTTTCCTCCTCTTTCCTTCTGATTCTTGGTTCCTTTTTTGACTTCGTCTTCATTCACATATCGTATAGAACAAGGCGACGAGTATCAGTTTTATCTGCATTGATGCCTCCTCTCTCTCTCTCTGCTGGCTAGACAGATCCGTCTCATTTCTCGTTGTCCATGGATGCAAACCGAGTTTCACATTTATTATTCCTACATTCCATAAATACAAGTAATTTCTACCGAATTTTCTACTGCGAGTATTAGCGACGCCCAGTGACCTTGGGCCTGGCCCGAGAACCCACTATATATATATATATATATATATATATATATATATATAGAGAGAGAGAGAGAGAGAGAGAGAGAGAGAGAGAATGCCTCTGTCGTCACATTTTATACTACCGATTTGTTTGAGTGCAGGAACTCAGGCCGAACCCAGGAATCCTTTGCCTCTGGGCCTCTTGCAGTTACGTCACCTTCAGCTTCAAAGAGACCAGGCGTTACTCCAAGCGTCTTCTTACTTATTAAACAACAGCGGTATGGTCCTGTCTCCAGTTAAATCATTTTACATTACAAAAGAAAAATTCTTGTGCTTGTAACTTGCTCTATCGTGAAGTGTGGCGACGGCTGTAGTAATTCGCATCAACAGTGTGTCGGCGGTTGAATCTCATGATGCCAATAGATCTTGGCTTCCCTTTGAATGATCCTTTTCCTTGCGACTGCAGTGAAAAGAGCCAGAGAGGAGGAAACTCGGCCTCTAACGCACACTGCTGCAACTGTTCCAGCTCCTGCGTTGGGGATGCTGGCCGATACAGCCCATGGGTTGATAACCACTGAAGAACAAGATTACACATATAGAAGTAGGTTCTTCCTCTCTCTGCAAAAGAATACGATCGAACAGGCACATAGCAGAACCTCCAATCTTGCTGCAGGAATGAATCAACTGAAACAGCATCAACTCCCTGCACCATCTGTCCGTGGAAATAGCGTAAATGGGCAAAATATATCACAAGCAGTTGTTTTCGCAGGGAATCCGCAGAATGAAGTCTGTTCAGAGCCCTCTGCTGGGGTACCCCCGCCACCATCGCCCCGTCCACATTCCCAGGCTCAGGTAGATCGCCCTCCCACCTCCAAAAAGCCGAGACAAGATTTTTGCAATCGACTCATATGGACTTTTCGTAAATATGCCATTTTTTTTCGTTAGGTGCGGAGGGGTGAAGGGAGGGAGTTAGGGGAGAGAGAGAGAGAGAGAGAGAGAGAGAGAGAGAGAGAAGGTTTTTGATGTTCTTTACTAATCCCAGCTCCCTTTATATAAATATTCTATGTTTTAGGACAAGAACATGATATCATGAATTTATTAACTCTCTTTATATATTCTATGTTTTAGCACATTTACTATTTTTTTATATATTCTATATTAGCTCCATTTATAGAATTTTTATGTCATTTTCTATCTTATAATAGTCCAATGATTCCAACATGAAGTATTCACGCTTGAATGGTTCTACATACATTCCTTGATTTATTTATACATTCCATAGTTTAAGTCTATGGAGAAGGGGACTTAGGTAAATGATTCCATCTAAAACCTTAGTAAAATAGTACCATTTGAAGCTAAACTTGAGATAAGACAAAGATCATCTGTGGCTACGGTGTTCTCAATATGCACGCATAAATTTGCATGATTCTATAACTTTATGGGATATATGTCACTTATCTCTAGGATAATACATTCTATATGCGGAATCGCAGCACTTGGTTGTCTTAAATTTTTAATATAACCTTACTCCTTCCACTGCCTTACCATTTCTTCTACAAATTTCATCATTTGGGCTATTTCTGTGAATGGCAGGAAGTAGAGGAGAGAGAATGGATATTGATTCTACATAAGGTGCTGCAGAAGACGGATGTTGGAGGTCTTCACAGGATTATCCTGCCGAAGGTAAGGGATTTTAGGCAACTAATTTCCTTGGATGAATATATTTCTCACTTTCACCAAAATTCGATTGGTCTATTACACACACTAGGAAAGGAAATCTGCAGTGGATCATGAAACTGATGTGAACTGTTTGTGTTTTTTCTTCAGAGAGATGCGGAAGCAAATCTTCCACGCCTGGAGAACGTAGGAACTGTCTTGGAGATGTTGGACATGGCGTATCATATAACATGGAAATTCAAGTACAGGTATTGTGATGGCCTGAATTGTGGAATAATCCATGCTGAAATATCCATTTCTCTAAGGCATTGCGATTGGAGAACACAAGAACACATAATATCCTACTTTAAGAAAAGATTAATTTCTCTAAGGCATTGCGATTGGAGAACAAAAGAACACATAATATCCTACTTTAAGAAATAAAGTTTCTTCATACATGCGTGGATGTATCTGTATATGTCCATCCGTTGTTCAACGTTAGGTTACAGTAAGTCCACAGAAATATTTGAACACGTTCAGTCCGAGGTGTTTTTGAATATATGGGTGTGTGTAGAGAACTTTGGATACTGAGTGATCATATTCTTCAACTTGTATTAGAACAGTCTGATATTGAAAACAAACAGTGGAAAATTCACCAATTCTTGAACTCCCATTCAGGTTCTGGCCAGGCAGCAAAAGCAGGGTGTACGTGCTGGAGAATACAGGTATGTCTAGCCGAAACTTCAATTTTTTTGTGAGATACCATTGGATGCTAAGGCTCCCTGTTTTTTGCCTTTTTCAGAAAAGTTCGTAAAGAAGCATAAACTTGAGGCTGGTGACAGGATAGGTATCTATAGAAAGGAAACATCAAAACACTATGTAAGTATCCCATCTGCTCAATTGCTGGGAAAGCACCCCAAGATAGGTAGATAGAAAACACAAGGTCGCAATGCTTTTCGTTAATTTCATTGATGATGCAACTAAGACTGATGCAAGGACACCACAGAAATTATGTATTTGAAATTTTATTTAAAACATTATGCGGCATTTATTTTTTAAAAAAATTATGGTATGTATTTGATTGGATAAATTATTTCTTCACATAGTTTTAAACATATTTTTTATATCATACCATGAACTTTAATTTAGACTGGTAGAATCATATTTGAAATTCATCTTCTATGTTAATATCGCATAGGAACTAAAAAGAACTCAATTTACCTAAGTATTCAACTTTCTTCCATAGCGTTTACAATCAGCTATATTTCACTGTACACTTTTATCCAATTTCTCTGCCACTGTAAACAGTGAAAATGTGTATGATACAAACTATGAGTGCTCCATTTATATTGAAGCTTATTGGTGTCCTAAAGAACGGTTCAGGGAGACTGGCCACAGGGAGTGATGACGACACCGACCTGTCTTCTGAGAATGATAAACCAGAAGCCCCTCCTCCATGCCAAAAGAGAAAGTTAACCATTAACCTGGGATGTAACAAGTGATGAAGAGGGAGGCTCCTTCGTATCAAATGGGTCTCCAAGTTACTGAAAACAGTGGATCGTCGTAGTCTCGCAAAGTTGAATTGCTTTACATTCCATTTAGAATGCTGTGCCCTCACAATCCCACCCCTTTCTTCAAGTTGATATGGACGGTACCTTAAATTGATTAGTTTTTATGATAAAGAACAGTTCTGTTGTGGTTGAATGATATCGCCACAATTTCTTGCGTTCATAATTTGTTATTTCTTTTGATGATTGAGTTTAAGCCCTTTAGTCGTCTGTCAGGCGTTATTTTTATAATACTTCTCTGGTGTTTTAGAGCTCAAAAGGGCTGTTTACATGAAATGTCGTAAATCAATTGCATTGACCATTTAATTTAAAGAATTTCAGAAATTTTTAACACATTCCGTTTTAATATGACAATGTTAGACTCCCACATGATAAACATACTGGATATACACTGAGATCAGATGGGAGCTGACTGGCAGGATAAACACAAGAAGGTAGGGCATAAAATAATAGCTCTTATCATTCTAGGGCCCTTGGATTTTGGTCACATAGATTCCACCACTTGAGCAATTGCAATCAACAATGTCATAAAATCTGGCTTCACAAATGAATTTCATTGATAAAAAAGACAACAGCATTTGACAAATGGTTCAAATTTCTAAAACCAATGATAAAATTTGTCTATGTGAGATGGGTACTTATACCCGCAATGTTTCCAGTAGATTTTAGACGACCAAAACATGAGTTGGTGGAATCGCCTTATGAGGTTGTTCGCAGAGAAAAGACTGTTGGCCTACCAGACTGACGCCAATATTCTTTCTAAACGCCCCTTCCATCATCTTTCTTATTAATCAGGAGGCTACTAAAATCCGTCTGAACAGCCTGTCCTGCCAACATCTGACAATTTCAGAAAGTTTCGGAACCCTACCAAGCAGAAAACCACGCAATGATAACCTAAAAACAAGATCAGAAAGGTTTGTTTCTTTCTGTTTACTAAATCTTCCACATTAAGTCAATGACGAGCAGGAGACATGAGAACATATAGGGCTGAAGTGGTGACATTACCATTTTTCCACAGAATCAAACCACTCGATCAGGAAAAACCAACGGAAACGAGCATCCTCTCAGGTTTTCCTGGAAACCAACGTATCATGGACAGCAACACATCCTCATAGATGTCTTCTAGTCAAAATAGCGAACATGTACACACGACGGTCTAGCGCCCACATCTCAACAGGAGCAGAGACTACGTTCACGGTCCTAACTGAACTCAGATGAAACATCTCAGGCTCATATCGCAGGAGATTATCAAAGCTGGAACAGGATGCTCACCTTCCCTAGAGTCCAATCAGATTCCAGGCCCTAATTCTAGCCATAGTCACTCGGAGAACTATCCCGTGAATGGTCCTCGTCGATGGCGATTTCTCGGCTCAATTTACAACCATAGAACAACCCCGGGTCTGGTCTGCAAGAGCCAAAGGCTTCTAGTTCCATGATACGATCACAATCCGAGAGAGGGGGGGCACGACTTGAGAACCTTCTGGAGCAGACGCAGAGAGAATCCGGGGTGAGAAGAGCTAGGACTTTGCGAAAGGATTTCCAAGAACTGGTCGTTCTAAGAAACGATGCCCTCTCTTCAGAAAGGTGGTGGAATGAAAAGACGACTAATATTAAAATATCATGTGCCCTTTCTATGACCGTTCGATTATCTCTTAAAATCCTCACCGTCCCTTAACTCTCTCTCTCTCTCTCGCTCTCGCTCTAGTCTATACAAATAGCAGCGCTGCCCGCTCATCCGGCGAAAGCTGGGTCTTACACCGCCGCCGGTCTCCGACCTGCTATTGGCGAATACTTCCTGAAAGGTCGGTAAACTCTGACCTCCCTGCCTCTTGCCCTCGATTGTTAGGTTAGCTCTGCCATGTTGGAGAGAAGAGACGAATGTTTCCGCCATCTTGATTTTTCTTTTCATTTCCCCTTGTTCGGTTTGCTCATCTCCCCCTCTCCGCGCTGATTATTTTGGGGCCCTGATCCAGGAAACCCTAGTATCCTCTGGTTTTGATCCATGGATCCCCAGCCCGAGCCAGTCAGCTACATCTGCGGAGGTAATTATTCTCTATATCTGCCGTTCCTATGTATTTAAATCGAAACTCCTTTCTTCTAGAATTCACTCCTTGAAAAAAAACCAAAATCAAACTTAACTACACCTTGTGTATTGTTTCAGATAATTTTAGAAGAACATTTGCGTCATCTAATTTCACGATATTTTTTGGAGAAGTTCCTTCATTTTCCTTTTCATGATATTCATTTTAAATTATGTTTGCATTAACTATTCATCTTTTAGATTGCGGAGGGGAGAACACGTTGAAGCCTGGTGACGTGATACAGTGCCGGGAGTGTGGGTATCGCATACTGTACAAGAAGCGGACTCGTCGAAGTGAGTCGTTATGATACTATTCAGCTTTTCCTGGCCCGTCGCTTCTTTTTATTGTTTTATCCGCTTTATGTTTGACTGAGTTCTCTATGGCTGTAGAGTACCTAAAAGATGAAATCTCTGAAACACGAGGGAAAAGGAATTTTTTTGGAACTCATTGGTTGATAGAAGAAGACCTAATGTCCTAGGCTGATATATTTATTAGAGTTATATGTTTTAACATCAGTAGATCCAACTATAATTTTTTTTCTCATGGTTTTTAGTGTAAATGTCCCGTTGGATGCTTATTCAAGGTTCTTCTAATCCACTGTTTTGGATTTAATTAGAGCGGATATGGTTGGATTCATTGTTTGATAGCTGAATTAGACTAGAATATCGTCTATGGATAGTAGCAGACCTCGAGAATTCATTTGTATGGAAATCGTAGGGACCAGAAATCGCGTATACTCTCATATTGGTGACATTATTGTTGCTTTAATCGGGGCAGTAGAGAATTTTTTCCTTTTTGTTGTTAATTCACGGGTATAGAATAGAAACGTTTTTCTTTGTTCCCACAGACAGAGAGCTCATTGTGAGTAGGAGGGAGAGGAAGGGAGAACTACTTGATGGGCGATCTCTATTAATACCTAAAGGAATTCACTTAGGTGTAGTCTATCGGTGATTGAGAAGGCCACTCCCCATAGGGAAGTTTGTGCAGGGTTGGCCTGGATCACTTTCATTTTTCTTCTTTTGGGTTTTATCAGTGAATCAATTAACGAATTGTACGTTCTTCTCCGTTAAGCCATAAACAAAAAGGCATTCCGATCCAGATTTGGGCTGGTTCTGTCGTATCTCATATCTGGTGAATTAATCCATCCTACCCAAGCAACCCCTCAGTTTCTTCCCCCCTCCTTAGTTAGAATGTGATGAAGTTATAACCATCTAAGTTTTATATTCTGCCCAGAAGGAAAAGTAAGATTGGAGACCTGCTTCTGATGGCTTGATTCTGGGGTTTCTTTACTCTCCATGAGTACCTGCTTCTGGCTGATTCTTAGAGTAAAGAATCATTATGTAATGATCATATCGATTTACTTATTCATACGGCATTCATTTTCTGGCAGTCGTTCAATACGAAGCTCGTTGAAGTTTCAAATAAGCTGCACCATCTGGAGCGGAAAATATGTGAAAACTCTTGCTTGAAACGGACCCGTTCACTCTGGGCTTAATATATGGGATTGTTCTCCTCTACTGGAAGTGAGCTCGTTTATTCTGGGCTATATACTCGTCTATGTACGTCTGCACTTTGAAATCTTGGTTCTAGTCGCTGAGATTTGGAAGCCTACCACCTTGGATCTTTGTTTTCTGTTATTTTAGGAGATAAGAGACTGATTATTTAAAGATAAAAACCGCAAGATTTCTTGAGTAATATCGAAAAATGAAGTTTTATGTATGTGAGTATGTATCTGGGTAGGCATCACCAATTACTTAGTGCAATGTGTGACAAATACCACACAAGGAGCCTCGTTAATCAAAGCGGCAAACAATATAGGATACATTTGGATCCGTCTGTACAGCCATGCGCAAGCCCAAGAATGAAAGATAACTGAAAAGATTAACACCCCAGACTGAATAATACTTACTACCAATAGAATCAATGGACAAGAAGCATTGAGGACGGGTCTTCTCACATCGTCCTCTTACTGTTCAGCCTTCCCCACCATTTCTTCACAGACCTATCCACGTTGGTCTCCCCGCTCCCGGGCTTGTGCAAGTCCGCCTTGGTCTGCCGTAGCCTCGACCCAAAATCCTTCTTCCACGAATTGAACGCCTGCTTGAGCCGCCTCAGCTCGAGATCGGAGCTTGTGCTCGACTTCAGCTGAACCGACCTTGCTCCGTCGTCGAACTCGTGCTTTCGCCGCTCGAACTCCTCCCCTAGGTGGCTCAGTCCTCTGTCGGGGATCCGCAGGCCTGGTCGGAGCCCGCTGTTCTCAGGAGTACCCAATCGTGTGAGGTGGCTGGCGTCCAGAGACCCGTCGGTGGTGTCATTGGCCAGGCTCTTCTTGGCCATGGAGAGGCTGGACTGGAGGGACCTCATCTGTCTCTGCCAGACCTCCTCCATGGATCTCATCTTCTGCTCGTACTCGGACCACCGAGTCTCATACTGCTCGACCCTCTGATGAAGAAGGTCGTTCTCCTCCTCTTTCTCCCTGAGCCCGGCCTCAGCTTTCAGAACTCGCCTCTGCAGGTCGGCGAGGACGGAGGCCTTCACGAGCACCTCAGCTCCCTGCATTCAAGCGTGGTTTAGAGTCATCCATCATGCGAGGAAAGCAGCGCGTTTCTGAGAACCATGCATTAGACGCTGAAAACTGGGACAAGAAAGAGAGAATGAAACGATATCATTGCAATTATCCTCGGTTAAAATCACGGACCGACACCGGTTCCCCAGTGTAAGCTTCACCCTACAGTACTAAATCTGAACTCTGGAGGTAGAGAGTCGTGTGAAAGCCCATATATATAACAGGATGGGTTATCCGAGTTTATCCGAGATAACCCAGCCATCCTCAGGCGCAAGTCACATGAGGCTCATCAGGGATAAACTCGGATAAATTAGCTCAACTGATTCGACCAAGAGGGTCGAATAGTGGAACCCAACCCGGTTAACTTATCCCCCCTGCTATCGAACTGAAAACTAAAGCTATTTTGACTTGTGACAGAAACAGAGAGAGAGAGAGAGAGAGAGAGAGAGTTTTATCAAACTGAATGCCGGGTAAGCTAGAATCAGGAACCGAGGCGAAGTTAACCCAGTTAATCATAACCAGCTATCAAACCGACCCTATGGTCATATGTATTAAGAGCGTCATTAAGGAGAGCATACGAAGAGCTATGTCGTATGGACCGGAGATTTTATGCTGATAATGCTGGGGGAATCATCACCTTAAGCTGGCCCAGTGCTCTCATGAGAAATCTACCTTTAGAGGGAGAGCATGACAGAGGGGCAAAATTGGTCGTGGCTTGTGTAAATCTGAAGTGCTGTGGTTAGATTGGAAGATGGAGTAGGGAAACCTTAAAACGAAGTTAAAATTACCTTTGCCCCGTCGAACCTACTAGCTCCATATAGCAGACTAATATCCCCTGAACACCTTCTGACAACCCAGCCTCGTATCACTGATAAAGGAAGAAAAAATTCGTAGATATTATAGCAATTGATAATTCTAATATTGTCCACATAACCTTCACAGAGCCAGAGCATATGTTTAGAGAATCACCTGATTGTATAACCACAGATGCCTTACAGATATCAACAAAATTTCTCCTAGCAGCTCTGGATTTGAATTGTCTCTGTATAACAATGGCAGCCCTATGTCTTTCTACCAACACTGAATATATTTGCCTCATCTTTTTACCCCGGATGACTGGAAAGATGTTTCAAAAAAATTATGAATTTATAAATATTATAGGTCCCAGTAAATAAGTAATGAGGGGTAATAAGAAAAATACATGACTGCAATGTAGTAATTCCCTTCCTATAGTTCTTAACATAAGAACGAGCTTGGTGCCCCCTGAAACAGCTCTGGACCCTCAGAATGCCATGAAGTGTCCGATTTCTTGTATCCTCAAGCACGCCAATCTATACAATCCCATAATAGAAATGAGAATAAGATTGTTAGGGATACCTCGTAGACAGAATCTGGTCATAATTTCCAACCTAGATAGTATGTAATGATCAGAGGTATAAAATAAAAAATAAAAAAATATATCTCGTTTTTTTATACATGGCAGCTTAATTTTCCTAACACAATTCGTTCATCAAAGAGGATAGAGTCCATAAGGAAACAGGATGATGTTGCAGAACATTCAGAATCTGATATTTTCATCATCAAAGGAAAATTTTCATGTTGATCCCTGGTGCAAATGCAATCTAATTAAGAAAAGCATGATTTTCTTAATTATACTATGACCTTACCTGTCCAGTGCGGAAAAACAATTTTGTGTAGCCTACTTGATACATCTCAGGAAGAATATTAAATTGATGAAGAATTGCAACTGAAACACTGAGTGGATCTTGTGATGCGACACTCTCAAGGAGAAGGAACCCATATCTGATGTGATATTCAGGAGAGGAAAATAATGTCAAGACCCAACATGATTAGAAACCAGAAAGTGGGCGAGAACTGAATCATGATAGCGTACCTTCTAGCGAACTTCTGGTGAGACATCTTTGTTGGAAAACCAGACCTTGAAATGCGAACTACTTCGAGAACACCACAACATCGGAGCTGCTGCAGAATAAGCTTTTGTTCATAGACTCCAGGTAGTTGAAATTTATTTGGCTTAATGCAACGTATAAAATGAGGTGTTGTGTTCTCCAACCTCTGCATCAGTTGGAAAAGTTGTCCCTGAACAGTTAAAGTAAAAGAAGCCAATGCACATGCATCAGGTTAATGGTGATCATTGTACACTGAATAACACGAAGATAACCTAGCTAAAGTAAACTAAAATGTCATGATTTTATCACAAAAATTCATTTTATACGTTGCAGCAACAACTTTCAGACAAACCACTTAAGTAGATAAATATAAACTTTAAAAAGGCATAATGTCACATGATGCTGCTAGTAATTCAAATGGGAAAAAGAAACTGTAAAAAATCTTCCTTGAGCACCCCAATATTTTCTAAGAGATTATCCTGTCCTGTTTATAATCACGATGACCTGATCAAGAATGAGGTGTTGGTTAAGATACACCATCATTATTATCTGAGCGGATGCTTCACTTTCTAACTAAACGATGGCACAAGAACTTAATCACAAGTTACATTTAGCATATTCTGTAAAGGATACGAACATTTTCTTCAATAGAAAAAAGAATTTAATGAATGACATAAGGTAGTTAATCTTGACAAGTACAATACCTTAAATTTTGTTGCAACACTCGACTTCTGGGAATCTGCCCCGTTAGATCTATATGGAAGAGCCAGAGGCATATCAGAAAGGATAAGCATTTTTGATGCAAATATCTGTGGAAGCTGGCATTTGGAAGAAGCAAGGAGCTGAATAGAATCCAAGTGTAGCGGGTCTCTATTTTTCTCCAAAAACCCAGATGCATCATATACCACCTGTGCAGAAGGGATGGACCATGAAACAAATGAAACCATCATGAAAAATAAAGTAGAGAAAATCGGATTTTGTGGCTAGCAACCTCTCCTGCATAATGAATGACACCGAAAGATTTGCCCCTTCCTCCTGTAAAGCGAGAATTGGAATGCAGGTGCTGCTTAAGCTTGTTTGCAAGTGTTAAATCTGTACCATTTGGAAAGGTGGACTCCTCATCCAAGAGTGACAATAACCCTAATGGTTTCTGCGAAAGAATATCATAACAATAAGAAAGCGTTTTCTGATTAGCACGCATAAGGGTAAGAAAAACACCAAAGTCTACCACCAACAACAACAAAAAATCATCAACAAAGCTTCAAATAATTTTCTCTTTACCGTCACAATCCATCAGCACTACCTTTTCATGGAAGCTAAGAAAAAAATTCAAGTGCTTAAAAAAACTGATGAGATCAACTGAAGTATCGGAATGACTTTTAAAACATAAATTATCATAATTTTAAAATAAATAAAGAAAATAATTATTTGTCAGCGTTATCCATCATTAAGAAAAGGTATATCAGCCAGTAATTCATAAAAATCACGAATGGGAACCAAAATACACAACTGATGAATCATGCAGACCATATGGTCGAGCACTTCATATATATCGCATGGACACTAAGCTAGAGATTTCAGTTAATCAACAGTTGAGTCAGAATCGTCAAGAAAAATCGCAGTTCACTAGATAATTAACCAGAAAAATCATAATTCATCAAAAACATTCGCCAGAAAAACCACCAATCCAAGTAAACTGTTTTGATGCAAACCACCAAAAGGCAGCATATCCTTCTCGTTACAATGCTTATGCTTTCCACCAGTATGGACAAGTTGTAAATTAATTTCCCATAACTATCTATCAAAGTAGATTATTTGTTTGACATTTGGTATTTTAATTAGATATATAATGTAAAAAACTATTGGCAGAATCAGTAGCATCATCGAGACGGGGGTCCAAGCAACAACATATTCTCTTTCTAAACGTCAATCTTCAAGTCTGATTTAACATCTAATCTTTGATACATTGTCAGAAATATGGTTACTCATCTAAAATAGGAGAAGAAACATTGAAAGAATTCCCACCTTCTCAAAAAGATTGAGGCAGTCTTGATTGTCCTCGAAGTCAACTTTTGCCCAGTCTATGCCATCTTGAACATATTCCTGAAAAACGTAGAATTCAACATTTTTATGGAGGCCAGACACAGAGTTAAACAACTCAGTATCAAACAATGTCTTATTATAGTTTTTTTCTTGGCGAATACAAACGTAATGAACAAATGATGAATTCATCACACATATTCTTTACAGACTGCGACTACTTTCTCATGGAACAATTGAATAGTTTTCGATCTAAATGAAGCCAAAAAATATTTCGTGGCATTTACATATATAATTGGATTTTCATTCGTAGATTGAGTGCAAAGGAGTTTATGGACATCCACCTAAGAAAACGCATTTTCAACCAAAAAAATATTTAAAAATAAATTATACGCTGGTTTTCTAGGAAGAATGAGAAGCATCACTGCCCCAAACATATAACATATATATTAACGCATAGAAGATGAATTTAGAATGCCACACCCTAATTAGGATAGATCACTCTGAACAATTGAATGGTAAGTATAATTAATGATAAGTACCTTTACATGCGCACAGATTAACTAAACCTGAGAGGTAAGAATCAGCTTTGGTTTCATTATCATTGATACTCAAAATCAGGAAGAAATTAAGACCAAATGAGCCAAAGTTTACAGACTTTCTCCGAAATATTGCATAAAAAAATCATATTAAACCAAAAAATGTAGTAATGTATGTTAAGAAGTCAAATAGGTCTGCAATTATTCGTTACTAGTTGAGGATCAAGAAATTGAGAACTACCTCTTGTTCTAATTTGAATAGATGCCGATTGAAATGTTGCTGCAGTCTTTCATTGGCATAATTAATGCAGAACTGTTCAAAACTGTTCCTCTGCAAAAAATAGTTTATTTAATGTATGGGAAAATTCATAAGAGCAAGGTTGATCCAACACAAACACGTGAAGCATACATCAAAGGATTCAAAGCCATAGATATCAAGAATGCTGATCGATCGGCCTGTGCCCTGCTTTCCAACTTTCAGCGACTTATTAATCTGCTCCACGAGCCAATCAAAAAGGCCGGAATACAGCGACTTGGCCAGCGCATCTCTTGTGTCAATCGCCTACAGAAGAAATAATTATATAATTTTCATAATACAAGATAAAATTATTAATACGAAATTTATTAGAAATTGAATAATAACCTGTGACACAGTAAGTTTCTGAATAATAATGTCATTGCCAACTCTCATCTTGCGGGTGGACAAAGCTAACTTTAGCTCATCTATGTCACATCCAACAAGCTGAGCAACAGTATTCGCAGCTGCAAACGAAAAAAAAATTCAAAATGCTAAGCAAGACTGCATTGGATATAAAGACTGAAGAAATGTACAAGTGACAGTTGAAAAACGAAGGATGAATTGAAAAGTAATATGTTTGGAAATGTCAATGTGCCTCTTCCTATGCCCCCCCTAAAAAAAAAAGGAGCATATGTGACGACTCTAGGAGAAAAGAAATGAGGAACACTAGCAACCCTCCCAAGAAGGCCCAAGGAAAACCTCCATGTGAGAAATTGGGGATAGCTTAAAGTCTGGAAAGATAATGATAATTCGACTGATGAAACAGATGGAGCTCGTGATTTTCCAATAAGGTTAGCAGAATTATCTTTAGATACCGGATAAGGAAATGTCTAATCCGGCTGCGAGTCGGAAAATAATTAGTCAAAATCCAATGGAGGTCAATTCTTTTAAAAAAACAAAAGAAAGAATGGAAAGAGAAGTTTTAATTATATAATAGGGAAAAATGACAATGACGGCAGTAGGTTGGAAATAATTGGTAGACAGTGGTGATAGCTAAAAGTCGACTGCTCCATATGAGATCAAGTGATTCTTCTTTCTTCCAAATTAGGGCTCAGACTTCTTCCAGAGATTATAATCAGAAACTTGGTGAAGGATTTTGCTACACAACAAATGCACAACCTAAACCAAAATGACCAGCTCCACAACGCAGCAATATGTCTCCTTTTTTGTCTCATATTTAGCCACATTATTTTATTACCACGCATTGCAAATGCGGGTCAATCACTAAAGTTATTTATAAATGACCAGTAAATATAGAATCCATAATGTCAACGCAAATTTAACTTTGTAAATTATCTAGACAACACTTTTGATAAATTCATACATGGTAAGACTGTAAGACAGATCTGAGCTAAAATCAGTGATCCCAATTAACCTTTCAAGGTATCAATTCCCAATACCATGGAGTCCACAAAAAAGTGATAGAGTATTAGTTTATAATATAAGGAAGGCTTTCTTGAACTTTCGAGCAAATTGCATAGTCCAACAAAGTAAAAAAAAAAAAAGTGTTATTGATCATCACAAAGGATATAAATCGCCATGCAGAGATATGTGTGAAATAGATTTCTCTGCAACCGTAGTCTAAGAGACAAAATATGGCATAAATATAAACATGTATTATTTTTCACACATTTGTAATTATATGGCTGGATATATTTATTGAATACATGACTGGAAAACCCAGTCTGAATCACATATTCTACAAAGTTGTAGGTAGACAGCGGGGCATAATCTAGAGCAATATATCTAATTAAATATCATATCCAACCATTAATTTCAGTGCTCAAAAATATATCACCTTCATCGTGCACAACTTCTACATGATTTTCATTATCAATGATTGTAAAGGTAATGTTGCCCAACCACATAACAGCTGCAAGAATAGAAAAGACATTTTGTTGATCCTCTTTGCTGATGTGGACAACATTCATAGCTTCCTGGAAAGAAGAAAATCAGTTACCATGCCTGAGGTCATTGAGATTAAAAACTTAATGTGAGTATGGTAAAATCTTCTGTACCAGGACAGAGTGAAATCTTTCAGAATCATTGACCCCAGCAATCGAAAAACAATTGCTCTGCTTCAAATACTTGTACTCTTCAGCGTTTCTCAAGTTTAATTTGTCTGCTTTCCAAATCCCGATAGTTAGTATGAGGTTCAACAAGCGCAGAGCACAAAGAAACAAGACATATGTGCATTGCAATGTGATACGTATACCGACGTGTATGCTTATAAAAAAGTCATGATAACAGGAACCCGTCAAGGCATTCTCCTTTCACTCAATCAAAAGTTTAAATGTACGGCCAAACTTGGAACAACAAATGAGAAGATACGGACTGTCATCAAGACCGATGAAGGTAAACTACTGAACGTATGAGAAGACAGTTTTCAAGTTAAAAGAGATACATGACACTAAACTACGAAATGAATCCATCGAGATCTTATGTCAGAATAAATAAAAATGAGATTATTCTATAATGAATCCATAACATGAAAAGACATTTTAGTTGTTACGACGTGAAATGTAAGTTTAACATAGTTCACTTCAAGGTGAATATTAGGCAGAGATATTACCGATTTCCACAAAATCTGAATAAACTACAAGAAAAGGCCACTTATGTTAAAAAAATGCACGTGAGATATCATCCAATCCGAACATTAAAAATACGGATAAAATGGAAAACACCGTCAAATTGATCAGATTAAAGCCCTAGATAGTTCTTGCACACCAGAAAGCCTACATATAGTGTAAGATTTAAAACCCTAATCTTTCTTACAGGTAATTCAATAAACATCTCGGGATAATTTTATGAAGTGAGAACATACTCGACGTAATTGAAAAACTTGAAAGGCATGAGAATAATACTCATATATAAATTTAATCTAAAGAAAAAATAGACTAACAGTGGCCTACACAGATCTCAGATAAGTGGACTTGCTTTCAACAAATACAGTTCTAAAAAAATGAATAATACAAAATGCCTAAAGAACTGCAGATTTTGAGGTACAAAATGTGTCTTGCTATTTAGCTAATGAGTCGTAATGAAAATCAGCATTACTCAATGGTGATGGAAGTCAGGAAGAGAGTGGAGAAAAAGTAAATAAAGTTCACAAAAAATTCCAATTTAGAGGAAGAGGGAACTAGAACAAAAAAGAGTACCTTTGAGAGAAGCAGAAGCACCGGCACAGAGCTGATAAAATATATGATATGACCGTTCACCATCAGCACATTGAATAACTCTTGACTGTTCATAAGGTGAACTGTAAGTAACTAAAAATGAGCGACTCACAAAACAATAATACGACCGAGAGCATCTTAAATGCATACCTTTTCAAGTAAAACTGTTGGAGTATCAAGGTTCAGGGTTGGTAGAAGAACACAAATAACGAATGTAGAAAGTTAACAGGAGATATAACAATGTACAATGCAAATGCTTCAAGGAGGTTTGAACTATGGCAATACTTACAGGTTTGAATCTTGGCACCAGAAATTTTTCCGGATGAGTTAAAATGAATTTCTATCAGTTTTCCCTGAAGTCAGAAGACGACACGAAAACGTATGAAAACTGAAAGACTCATGTTTCAATAAACTCCTTCCCAAAGAGTTGCCAGATGAACATCTTCTACGAGGTTTATACTTATATCACTTACAAAGCGGCTGGAGTTATCATTCCTTGCTGTCTTTGCGTTCCCAAATGCTTCCAGTATTGGATTAGTCTGCAATATCTCATTCTCAATTCCACTGCCTCCTCCAAGTGATGCCAAATACTGCATAGCTATCTTTGCTGTTTCAGTTTTACCAGCTCCACTTTCACCACTAGAGGAAACACATCAAAGTTATAATCTAACACGGATGAGTAATGTAAACAATCTTAGCGTATCCCAGTACAACTAGTAGTGACAAAAGAACGTGCATCTCAAAGGATACGACATTCCCGAATATAACATTGCAATTGGTCTAATTGAAATGTCAAACAAAGAATTCATGCCTGAAACTCTGACTGTAATGGTTGCATAGTATTAACCAAGTGTTTACTACAATATACTTTCATGACAAATCCCAATCGTAATAGATTCCAGTATCTCTTTCCCTAGAAATTAAGCCATGCTTACGTTAAGGATTACAGCAGTTTATCACAATCATTTTATGTTCATCAAGAGACTGTCTATCAATCAGGTTGATACACGTAAATAAATAAACAAGGTGTTTCTTGTGAAAACCTAAAAATAGAAAAGAAGAAAAGCAAAACAGAAAAAGAACATCATCCACTCTGCATGAGCTCATCACAAGTACGAACTTGCACATAATTGAGACATTTCCTGGTTTTGTTCATCCTTGATTTTTATATTTTCTAAATTCCTTTGAACTTTCGTACTAATTCCCTGATAAAATTCCTCTAAATCATGTCTATCTCTTGTGTTTCTAGACAGCTGCACTGTTTTCCCCTCTTTTAGGGCTTCACTCTTTTTTTTTTCAAGTACAACACCTTAAAAGCCCAATGGCGCATGGGAGTATTATAATTCTCTCAATATTAAATCTCCCAGAAACAGTAAAAGAAATTGTAGGTCACAAACCAACCTTATTATAATGGACTGATTTACTTCATCTGCAAAAGACAGTCAAAGTGAAGGTCAGAAACAGAGAACCATAATGGATGAATTAAGTTAAGGAAAATTTTCAAATCTTTAAGAAACCTCTAATCATTTCACGGATTGCGGTATCAGCTATTGCATAAACGTGTGGACTGTCCAGAGATTTTCGCCGATAGGCTTCAATAAAATCATTTCCGTACAGTTGGACATCCTTAAATGGATTTATGGCGACCAAAACAGGCCCAGCTTTAGTCTAGAAGTTGAAAAACATTGACATACGTGAGAAATGTCACAAATAATAAAGCACTGAAAAAGAGGCGAAGATTTCAGTTCATAAAAAAAAGCTTACATATATCATATCTCGAGAGTATCTATAGTTAAGATTATACAGCACAGAAGGTTCATGCAGATAGCTCAGTTGCATCAGATCGTCTACTCCCTCAAGAATATCAGGATTTGCAGGTAACAGATCTTCAGTTTTTACGCGCAAAATCTGAAACAGAGTACGAGGGCATGGATTAAAAAGAAAATAAAATGAATCAGAAGAGAAGAAAAAAATCGTAGGTCTCAAATATGCATACTTTGTCGTCATGAAGACTAATAAGAGATTCTCCTCCTGATGAAGACAGTATCTTTCCCAGACTCCAATCTCCATTTGCCAGTTGACACCAACCTTGAAGCTTCTGAAACAATCAACTTCAACATGTAGGTCTTACTATCAATAAACAGCATGTATGTCAACAAAAAGATGTTGTAGAAAATGATGTACCGCCATACTACGAAACTATACCCAAAAAATACTTAGCACCTAGAAAACATTTATCAAAACCTTCAAGAAGATCTGCATGTTTCAATGGAAATTTGAAGACCAATTTTTTAGACAACAAGAAAGTTCAGTGCTGGTTCTTCGCAGAGGAGAGCTAATTACTTTTCAGTAGTAATTGTTTATGAAAACAAAGTACACTTTCGTGTATGATCTTTCAGTGAATAGACAAGAACTGCAAGTAAGCCAAGTGGACTAACGGAAAATGGTCAATGCTGAACATTTCCGTTGTCCCGTGGTTTATCTGGTTGAAATAAATAGAAAAGGATTATCAAAATACATTCAATGTATGGTAAAAATAATATGCTACATGGAGAAAAAATATGGTCGATGCTGGACATTTCTGCTGTCTCATGGGCTATCTAGTTGAAATAAAATGAAGGGGATATCAGAAGGCATTCAAAGGATGGTCAATATGTGAAGACGAAAGCCAAGCATATGGTCGACTGATCTTATTTTAAATGGCATATCTAATCTATAAAATACACCAGTGGTGTACAGAACTTCGATTCAACGTTATGTATTCTTCAGTATGTGTTTCCTCAACATAAGATATTGTATACTCTAGTTCTCGCAGGCAATGTGTCAATACTTCATAGAATGTGCAGCGAAAATTTGGATAAATTAGTTAAGTGATTATGGAAGTGGGTAACAGTGTCATTAGTGACAATTAAACAGTGATATCTGGCGCGCGGGTAGTATATACAATACAATTCGAGCGTTTTTTATCCCTGAGAATTCTGATGGAAGTAAGAGATAATCACTTCCATTTCTAAGCTTCTCCCTCAGGATCAAATTTTAAGAAGTCTTGCAGAACATGAACGAGATGGTAATATGAAATAGAACCATTTTTTAACAATCTGGATGAAGCATTGTCTTGTCAACTCAGATATAAGGCTTCAGCGTTTGTCAACAGGCACCAACTTAAAACTGAAAATGAAGTGATTCACGTCAAATTTGTTGAGGTTTAATTTTGCATCAAGCTAATGGATTATATCCTGAAAGTATATTTTCAAATAATAGATAACCGTAACATAGAAAAATATAATGACTCATAGCACATTGCTGAAATAATTTAAATGCAATAATAGTGCATTGATATAAATGTCAGATCCATTAAGAGAACGTATTGCATAAATTAAGAAAATATTAGTGACACAATACTCAATTTAGAATTTTGAAGAAAAAATCCAAAAATTGACCGGTTTCAGCTCATGGCACGGGCAAATACTAGACCATGAAAAAATGATAGACAGCGAAAGACAAAAGTTTAAGATTCTAAAATTACACAATGCATTTTCACCGTTTACGCTGCCCAACTTAAGCTTTAAACACGATTAACAGGCCAATGTAAGAAAGCTGCCGCTACTTACCTTCCTACTAGCAAAAGTGCTTGTGTCACTCCATCTTGTTTCCGTCGGTGATAAAGAAATTGAAGGCGCAGGAAATGCTGCAGAGCCCGGAAGTTCGTTCCCTTCTTCTTGGGCACCATCGTCCTCGAATCTTGGAGTCTTCGCACTATAAGGTGACTCCACGTTCTCCTCCTGTTCCCCAATATCGTCCTCAGCAAAAGAAGCAAGCTTTGCATGAGCAGCATTCATGGAGTCCTCTTCCTTGTGAGAGGAGCCGGATTGGAACCTGAACTCGCCAGGGAGGGATCGCACAGACTGCAGCGAGGGCGGAACACGCCCTTTCAATTTGGGCTTGTCCCGAGATATTGGTGGCGTCCCCGAGTAAGGGACTTCGACGGATGCCATCTAAATCCGAATTATATCCGATGAGTTAACCAACCAAAAACGTCTAGAAGGGGAAATTTTCTGCCGGGTGTACCGCCTCGAAAATCTCCAAACTTTCTATTTAGCGTGGGATTAGAATTTTTCAGAAACTGGACCCCGGTTGATTTCCTTTCACTCTCTCTCCCTCTGTCTGTCTCACTCACTTCCGACTCACGGACAGCAAAACATCCGACATGTAAACGGCAATCTTCATCTTCTTTATTTTTCAGACGCTAGACAGGATCCCGAAGGCCAGAGAAAGGGGCATAGAAAGAACTAGTAAACAAAGAACGCTACGTCAATGGCATAAAACTCCAGCGGGTAGCCCATAATTCGCCGCTGGTAAGAGCAAGGCGGAGGCGGACCTCGAAAATTCACCCAAAGAAAGGCGAGAAAACGAGACAAACGACGACTCGCTTCCACGAAAGGAAAACCAAGGATAACGGCAGGGAATTTTCCCGGGGATTTCCTGACAGAAGCAATGAGAATCCGAAAATTCAGCTGATTCTCTCCTCAATCAAATTCCGGTGATTCCGCATAGATCGCCCATCAACGGATCGACTTCAGGCGGAAGCACGAGAAAGAGGAGGGGAAAAAAGAAAAGGAGGGAGTCGCAGCCAAGCAGACTTTCTCTGACCTCCGCCTTTCTCTGTCTTGTTCCCTCCTCTGACTTCCGCCTTCTGTTCCCCCCACTCTCTTCAGCCTTCTATTACTATTATTATTTATTCCAGCAAGACGACGTCTCTCTCTCTCTCTCTCTCTCTCTCTCTCTCTCTCTCTCTCTCTCTCTCTCTCTCTCTCTCTCTCTCTCTACGTGAGAATATCAATAAAAAACTAAAAAAAGGAAAATCTGGAGCCCAACGTTCTGGACAACTTCAAAGACTATTAATCTGCTGTCATCGCAGATTAGAAGGAAACCAACGTCTCCGGTCCCGCTTTGAATTTTCACCGTTAGATACTGATCGGACGGCCGAAGAAACGTATGGAGACGATTAAATTAGAATTACAATACGAAAACCCAAAACTGCGCAGGGAGAGGCGGGACAGACGGTATGATCAACGACGGGGCCGTTTCGAATTTACACCGTCCGATCCTCATCACACCGACGAGATCAGCCGATGATGAAAAAAGGGTTCCATTAAAATCGATATTCCGCATTAATGGCAGATAAAAATAGACGCCGACGGCTGAAGCGAGACTAGCAGCGCCGTTTAAATGCCGAGAAACGTACGACGCGACGTTACGAGAAAACGACGTCATCTCTTCCGGGGGCCACACGTGCGGGGCGACGTGGTGCGGGCCATCAGCTACAGATTAGGTGCATGTGGCCCGTGGTGGAACCAACCAAGAGACCTACGACTGGACCAGGCGGGCTCGCAGAATGTGGGGATGAGTGTAGCCACGTATCCCCCCAGGTCACCCACCAACCTCATCTCAACATAATAATGTGATACCGAGGTCTAGGCTTTGCATTATCATTGCATGATTAAGAGTACACATGGCGCCGTTCTATGGTTCCCGAAGTGGACAGCTCGTATTTAGCCGAGGCTGGTCTTCGACCAAGTCCAAGTGGGACCAAGTAAAGGCGCGTGCCAGCCATTTCGGTGAGCCTTTCCCTCACATACCATGTGACGTGACGGACTTTTTCTCTCTTGGTCGCCTCTAGAGAGAGAGAGAGAGAGAGGCGGTGAGCCTTGCACGTGCGTCATTTGACTGAGAAAGCGAGGAGGCGGCGAAAAGCAGAGAGGGGGAAAGGGTGTATGGGTGTCTGGGCGGTGGTCACATGGTGTGCCGGGAGACCCGCCGTTCATCTGGGATCGGGGCCGAAGCGTCCGAGTCTGACCGAGCTGATGCAAACCCGCACGTGTGGAAATTATTTGATTAAAATCATGGTTTCCTTAGTCAAAACCACTCTTTCAGCCGTAAAAGTTCGTTTGGAGACACGTGGCTCCAGCTCCGTCTTTTCACCGCCTGGGTATTTCGGCACTATTGGGCCGGTTTTCGGATATAAATCGTGGCCCGAACGAAGCGGGATATTGGACCTGGCCCATTTATAGCCCTAGTCTCTGCTTCTTCCGGTTCCCACCCACAACCCGTCATCCGTTTGCCTCCTGACAAGGAGGGCGGACTCTGCTGCAGCGTCTTCCGGTTCCGGCGGCTCGGTGTCCTCGCTGCGTCTCCCTCGCGACTGAAATCAATGGAGCCGCTCCAGTGGTAGGGTTCTGACAGTAGACGGCATTATGCGCTGTTCCATGGTTTCTGTTTTCTCGAGATGGAACAAAAGAGGCGTTTGATATTTTTTTGGCGGATATTTTGATGCACGTATTCCTTAGAAGAAGCTACGATGCTCTCAGGCGGCAACGGATTTCTCAGACGCTCTTATCTTTTACATTATCTCTGCATTTTTAGAAAGCTATCAGAACATTACCGCTGCGTGCGGTTTATCATTTGCCATAGTATGTATTCAATTTGGAATACGCGCTGCCTGCAGAATTGGCAAAACAGTAAGCTAAGCCACATACCCCTATCCGGAAAAGCATTTATCTAACGTTGTTTTTTTAACGCGCATAGAGTAGTCGAACTCGATGATTTCGCGGAAAACACAAAGAGACGGTTTGTAATCTCTCCTGCGATCGATTCTTTCGGACCTATCTTTTTTTAACTATCATGAGTACACGTACTACAGAGTATCGACATTGTTGGAAAGTTTAGTTATCAAGTATCCATTTGTACTTTCAGAATATTATGTGATTTATGTTCGTTAAGGACACTAGAGGCAACATCATTTATCAACTCTTTTTAACGAACTCGTTTCACAGACTTCCATCGACTGAAAACTTGGAAACTGACTTGACTGTAATTTATCAAACTTTCTCTAATGTATAATCAAATTATCTCCCTTGTGTTTAGCTTGCTGACTGATGTCAATGCTCACTGTAAAACCATAATACACAAATGGTCATTTCCCGCAGGAATGTTAAATTTTATGAAAGATACTAGTATACCTATTATTTTTCTAGGCCATCTATACAGTGACTTCCTGCCTTCCTTGAAAACCTTTTATCTAGCTAAAAACATAGTTAGTTATATAATGAAAGTTTTATCAACACAAATAAGTATGACACATGAATTGAATGGTCAAGACGTTGTATAACATCTTTTTAGACTACAACATCAATTAAATTGACCATCGAACATATTCAGTATTATCCTTCTAATATCTGTGACTTTTTCTCGATGTGCTTTAGAAAAATCTCTTCCCAAGGCCAGACCATAATAAATCTCGATGGGCTTTATTGATGGGGAATTGGTTTTTTCAATTACTATTTTGGATGATTTCTTTTATCTTGATGCTTTTACAGACCCTCTTTATCGCAATAAGAAATTTAGTTATTTTCTGTCTTTATTTTTTCTTCGTGTTTACAGCTCCCTACTCACAAAATTAAGTTGTGTCAGTTTTTTTTCCTTCAGTGGACTGTGCTACTAATTTGATTGATGTTTTTGATTGAGATGTTTGATATGTGAAAATTCATCAATATTTATGATATCTGCCATAAGATTCGGCGTCCTTCACTTTGGTGTTTTAGTTGAGGTGAAATTTCAGGATTCTATCTGAGATTTAATATTTCAAGGATCATTATCTTTTATGACGATTTCTATTTTTTTATTCATGTAGATATTGGATCTTGGCCATAAGATTCTTGAGCTATCAGTTTTCTTTCAGGCAGTAGGTGGCAAATATTTTTCTGCCTTTAGAGTTTTGCTTTTCAGCCAGAAGGATATTGCCATGGAACTGTTAATTGGTCAAACCCACAGAAGCATGCTTGGATTTCTTTCCAAACACAGCTATATTTGTCTTGGCCGTCACTCTACCCAAAGAAAATTGTTCTCTGCAAGAATGGGCAGATTCCATACTACAGTTTCATTGCCGAATCGAGCTGGTGGTGAGAATTCTACCCTCACCCTTTCCACTGTTGGATTCAGAAACAAAGATAACATGGGAAAATTGGATAAAATTAGTCATCCTACTGAAAAGAAGCCATTAAATAAGTTACGCCAAACTGGAGTGAAGCTCATCAGTAGTCGTGTCGAAAAGGCAGGGAAGAGAACTTCTCCTGAAGTGGACACGACTCTATTCAATGTGAAATCATTCTTTGAGCTTGGTCTTTCGCCATTGCTGATTGAGAGGTTGGAGAAGGAAGAATTTACTGTTCCTACTGATATTCAGTCGGCAGCAATTCCCACCATCTCCCAGAAACATGACGTTGTTATCCAGTCCTACACCGGTTCAGGGAAGACCCTTGCCTATCTTCTTCCCATACTCTCCAAAGTGGGCCCTCTGAGGGATGCTGTTCCTGAGGAACAATCGGACATGAAGCCTGGGATCGAGGCAGTGATTGTCGCACCTTCAAGGGAGTTGGGGATGCAGATTGTGAGAGAAGTGGAGAGGCTCTTGGGGCCCAGTTATAAAAGATATGTACAGCAGCTCGTGGGAGGTGCCAACCGTTTAAGGCAGGAAGAAGCTTTGAAGAAGAACAAGCCCGGGATCGTTGTGGGCACCCCTGGAAGGATTGCAGAGATCTCTGCTGCGGGGAAGCTGCACACACACGGCTGCCGTTTCTTAGTGTTGGACGAAATTGACCAGCTCCTGGCCTTCAATTTCAGGGAGGATATGCACCGGATTCTGGAGCATGTGGGGAGGAGGGCCGGCAAGCCTGTCGCTACACTTGGACCCCCATCGCAACAAGCCGACCGCCAGATCATCATGGTCTCTGCCACAGTCCCATTCTCAGTCATACGGGCAGCTAAAAGCTGGGGGAAGGACCCACTTTTGGTCAAGGGAAAAAGTGTAGCTTCCATAGATTCTATCTCCCTCCCATCTTCTGAGAATTCACACCCAGCGTCTGGTCCCTCGCAGCAGCCCCGTGGTTCAGTGACACAGGTGGTCGGAGAGAGCTTGCCGCCAGCCTTGAAGCACTACTACTGCGTGGCCAAGGTTCAGCACAAGGTCGATACGCTTAGGAGATGTGTCTATGCCCTTGATGCCAGGTTCGTCATCGTCTTCATGAATCACACTAAGCAGCTGAAAGATGTGGTCTTCAAGCTGGAGGCCCGCGGCATGAAGGCTGCCGAGCTGCACGGGGACCTTGGGAAGCTCGCAAGGTCGACAACGTTGAAGAAATTCAAGGATGGAGAGGTGAGAGTCTTGGTCACCAATGAGCTGTCCGCTAGGGGGCTGGATGTGGCCGAGTGTGACCTCGTGGTGAACCTGGATCTGCCGACCGATTCAATTCACTATGCCCACCGGGCTGGCCGCGCGGGCCGTCTCGGTCGGAAGGGCAACGTGGTCACCATATGCGAGGACCAAGAGGTCTTTGTGGTCAAGAAGCTGCAGAGGCAGTTGGGTGTTCCCATTCCAGCTTGTGAGATCACAGAAGGCAAGCTTGTAGTTGGCAAAGACGAGGAGAAGATGAAGAAGAAAGAAGCTGTCAGATGATGTTCTGTGGGCTCTCGGTGGGTCTCTGCGGCCAGTGGTTTTTCATGTATGTATATCTTTCCTTAATAGTGAAGGAATAAATTATCTCATTCTTATATCGTCAGATGATATTCTATGGGATCTCTATGGACTCTGCGGCAAGTGATCTTCATCTATATCTTTCATTTATAGCGAAGGAAGAAATTATTTCATATGCTCATATACGCTCTCTCTCTCTCTCTCTCTCTCTCTCTCTCTCTCTCTCTCTCTAGACACACACGTAGATCATCGTATCTGCTGGGACTGTCGGTGCCAATACCCTGGCCTTCCGTCAAGCTCAGCTGACCGGCCCACAAACTGTAACGTGGTAGATCACTCGAAGATGGGGCCCGCTGTGGGGCCCTTCGAGATCTTTTCCCATCAGCCTCACATTTGCCCATGTGGCCATCTAGTGGGCCCATTTACCAGGGACACGCGGAAGAAGATTTCACGTCTCGTGGCAGAAGTCCACCAAGGAAGGCCCACGATCGTAGAATATTGCGGGATATCTTGATATCTTACATCTCTCTCGAATATTGTATTATATTATTTAATGGAAATAATATATTATTTATCTGTAATTAATTCGAATATTTTTAGTATTTCTCACTCAGAAATCCACATCATCACTCCCGCCGTCTTCGGCGAGAGGTGGACGTTCCACGCAATCGGACAGATGACGTGGCCTACCCGATGAGATCAAGGGGACGCGCTTCTATCTGATGTGGACGGGTCTCAAGCGGCAGCGGTCCGATAACCCGGTTCCTGGGGTGGACTCTGGATACGTTAACCCCACTCAACAAGATACAGAAAAAACAACTTTTCTATTAACTTTGCCCTTATCCCGCCATCGCCGTCATCGGAAGCAGTCAGGACCTCGCTGTGTAGATTTCCCAGCTGCCGTGAGAGGGCTGCGGCGGCTTTCATCCCGATGAGGACCTCCAGGATCCGACAACAGTTTCCACATCGCGGGGAGCCGGTAAGATCCGTCGGCTCCGCCGAAGTAGGCACCGGTGGCGGTGTGGCAGCGCCGACGGACGATGGCGGACTGTGGCATAGACTCGACATCTTATGGGTTGGGTGGGGGTGGGGAGTTGAGAACGACGGCATTGAAGAAGAGGAGCACGGAGTGAGCAAGATCATACCCGCGGAAAGCCAGTGGCTTTATCGCGTTCGATCTCTCGCCTCAGACGTGAAAACATTCGTGCTAATAATGTCGAGAAATAGTAGTTCTTCAGGAAATTTATATGAGTCGCCGCCACCATAATTTATCTGGTATTGTACAGAGGTGGATGGGTTCGGACCAGCTACTGCACACAAACAGGATAGAGGGCGGCGGGCTTCGCCGACACTACAGTCTGTTCACAGAACGGGAGAGAGCGGAAACTAGTAGTTTGTAGAGATGTTTTGAAGGTCCTTCCCCGGCCATCGGGAAGAAAGAGGATGACTAACAGAATCGTTCAAACGAGCGGAGATGTCCTGGCAGCGCCGCCGGAAGGATTCCTGCCTCTCCAGATTCATGCGCGCGCGCACCTTATTGATGAAGGCCTCGCACCGCCGGTCCATCTCATCTAGGTCCTCCGGCACCGCCACAACCCTCCCCTGCGTCTTCGGACTCAACGGGCTCGGCCGAGCCGACCTAGCGCCCGCCGACGACGATGAGGTTTCCTGGAAGGTCTCCGACTTCATTAGCCTCGCACCCACCGCCGCATCTCTGCTCCGCTCGAGCGGCACTCTCGCAGGAGGACCCCACGTGTTGTTCTTGCTGAGGCGCCTCCCGTGCGCGATCGACTCCCAGGTGGCGTCCATCGACTCGCAGTTCTTCTCCTCGGGGGGAGCCGGGGGAGCCGAAGGTGCGGTGGGGGGGGCGGGGGAGAATCCATGAGGCCAGCCGGCGGAATAGGCGGTAGCTTCCACCGATTCCCAGTTCCTCATGGGAGACGCCGACGGCTTCCCAACGACGGTCGGGGAGGTGGAGCGGGGAGACCAGCTGCTGGAGGAGAGACCGGCATTCCCGGGACAGACCCGCTTAGGCGCCCTCCGGCCGTCGCTATTCCTCTCGTGGGGGGGCGACGCCCTCCTGGCGGCGGTGGAGGAGCGGCCGGGATGCAAGCCGCCGGAGACGGAACAGGTGGCCTTGCCGGAGGCGCCCGATGAGCGGACCTCCGACGGCTTCCTGAAGTCAGTGGAGGAGAAACCAGCAGCCTTCGGGCTACGCCGCTCCTCCGCCATGCCAAACGATCCGCAGGTCTCCTCGGGGGGCGCCGACGGCGTACTGGCGGCGGCGGCGGCCTGGAAGGAGGAATCCGGTGTAGCGTCGGGTGGGAAGGAGGAGGAGGAGGTGGCCCTGAACCACGCGGCGGGGTGTCCCTCGGAAGTTGGCGCTTCTGAAGACTCCCTGATCCTCCTCCTGGAGAGAATGCTCAGGACGGCGATGGTGATGAAGTGTATGGCAACGAGGACCTCTTCACGCTTGAGGTAGCCGAACACCGCCGCTTTCAGTCCGGCTAGGCCCGAGCAGAAGTCACTGAAGCGTGCGGCGGCGATCCCCACCAGGAGTGCCGTCGAAGCGAGTACGCCGAGACGGAGGCACAGCATGGCGGCCCGGAACGCCGCCCTGTACACTGGTATGGACCTTCGCGGGTCCAGCGGCATAGATTTTCCCGACGAAAACATCGTTGCCATCGAAGACGATGAGAAGAAGGGACAGACTACAGGGGGGTAAGGAGCAAGGGGACGATGGAAAACCGAGGCCGGGGGGGGGGACCAAGGAGAGCCCAATCACCCGCTACTTCGAGAGGCAGGTACAGATGAAGATCTAGAAGGAGGGATTCTACAAGAGTACACACACGGATTTACAAATCAATCAGGTATGGGAAGCCAGTGGGTTTCCGCCTAAGCAGCCTCTGCTTGAACGGCGAAGAGGAGGAGGACCGTGGGAGAGGGGGGAATAACTGGCTTCGGAAATCAGCGGGCGAATCCTCCGTCGCCACTGCCCCCATGATGCAGCAGGAAGAAGAAGGCGAATGGGGCCAGCGAGGGAGGGAGGGAGAGATGAGTGCTGAGAGGAGAGAAGGCCGTTGCTTTATTTATATCTGCCCCGACCGACCCCTCGATCCGTCCGGCGACCCCATCCACTGACCCCCCAATCGTACGTCACCCTGATGACGTCGACGTCTCGGTAGAGTATCCGTGAAGGAACTTACGCCCTACGAAGCTGCCCCAGTTAACAAAGTCCACGTTCATGACGTGAGAAAATGATCCCACGCAACGGCCGTACCCCGTTAACTGGGGGACGTGGCTTCGGATGACTGACGGCGTCGTTACTTCACTGAAACTCACGTCAATTGGAGTACGTGACGCGAGCTACCTATTCAAACCGACCGTGGCAAATGTGCAAGTCTCCCTTAAAAACGGTTGACTTCTGAACAGCAGCTACCCGGAAGCTTACAGAAAAAAGCCTATTTTTCCCCGATGACTGGCAGCGCCATTTTGTCGTCATTTCAAAAGGCTTATTGAAGTCAAAGCTCGATCACTTGCGATTTGACCGACCAGAGGGAAGATAGATACGACTGGGGAGTTTGTTGTTCACGACTGCCCGGGGATGCAGCTGGGAGTCCGTGGATCATGTTGACTCCATCTCCCTCTGATTGGGCGCCTACATCAAGTCAAGAACAAAAGGATAAGAGCATCCATATCAGGCCCAGAGCTTCGCTCCAAAACGTCTCTCTCTCTCTCTCTCTCTCTCTCTCTCTCTCTCGCTAAGTATGTATAAATAATGAAAATCTTGGATGCCCAGAACTTCCCGGAAAATGATGGCATTGAAGAGTAAGGATCCCGGAGTGAGCAAGATCATACCCGCGGAAAGCCAGTGGCTTTATCGCGTTCGATCTCTCGCCTCAGACGTGAATATAGTGGAACTTGGATTGCACCCTTTCAAAAAGAATCTGAAAACATTCGTGCTAATAATCTCGAGAAATGGTAGTTCTTCAGGAAATTTATATGAGTCGCCGCCACCATAATATATCTGGTATTGTACAGAGGTGGATGGGTTCGGACCAGCTACTGCACACAAACAGGATAGAGGGCGGCGGGCTTCGCCGACACTACAGTCTGTTCACAGAACGGGAGAGAGCGGAAACTAGTAGTTTGTAGAGATGTTTTGAAGGTCCTTCCCCGGCCATCGGGAAGAAAGAGGATGACAAACAGAATCGTTCAAACGAGCGGAGATGTCCTGGCAGCGCCGCCGGAAGGATTCCTGCCTCTCCAGATTCATGCGCGCGCGCACCTTATTGATGAAGGCCTCGCACCGCCGGTCCATCTCATCTAGGTCCTCCGGCACCGCCACAACCCTCCCCTGCGTCTTCGGACTCAACGGGCTCGGCCGAGCCGACCTAGCGCCCGCCGACGACGATGAGGTTTCCTGGAAGGTCTCCGACTTCATTAGCCTCGCACCCACCGCCGCATCTCTGCTCCGCTCGAGCGGCACTCTCGCAGGAGGACCCCACGTGTTGTTCTTGCTGAGGCGCCTCCCGTGCGCGATCGACTCCCAGGTGGCGTCCATCGACTCGCAGTTCTTCTCCTCGGGGGGAGCCGGGGGAGCCGAAGGTGCGGTGGGGGGGGCGGGGGAGAATCCATGAGGCCAGCCGGCGGAATAGGCGGCAGCTTCCACCGATTCCCAGTTCCTCATGGGAGACGCCGACGGCTTCCCAACGACGGTCGGGGAGGTGGAGCGGGGAGACCAGCTGCTGGAGGAGAGACCGGCATTCCCGGGACAGACCCGCTTAGGCGCCCTCCGGCCGTCGCTATTCCTCTCGTGGGGGGGCGACGCCCTCCTGGCGGCGGTGGAGGAGCGGCCGGGATGCAAGCCGCCGGAGACGGAACAGGCGGCCTTGCCGGAGGCGCCCGATGAGCGGGCCTCCGACGGCTTCCTGAAGTCAGTGGAGGAGAAACCAGCAGCCTTCGGGCTACGCCGCTCCTCCGCCATGCCAAACGATCCGCAGGTCTCCTCGGGGGGCGCCGACGGCGTACTGGCGGCGGCGGCGGCCTGGAAGGAGGAATCCGGTGTAGCGTCGGGTGGGAAGGAGGAGGAGGAGGTGGCCCTGAACCACGCGGCGGGGTGTCCCTCGGAAGTTGGCGCTTCTGAAGACTCCCTGATCCTCCTCCTGGAGAGAATGCTCAGGACGGCGACGGTGATGAAGTGTATGGCAACGAGGACCTCTTCACGCTTGAGGTAGCCGAACACCGCCGCTTTCAGTCCGGCTAGGCCCGAGTAGAAGTCACTGAAGCGTGCGGCGGCGATCCCCACCAGGAGTGCCGTCGAAGCGAGTACGCCGAGACGGAGGCACAGCATGGCGGCCCGGAACGCCGCCCTGTACACTGGTATGGACCTTCGCGGGTCCAGCGGCATAGATTTTCCCGACGAAAACATCGTTGCCATCGAAGACGATGAGAAGAAGGGACAGACTACAGGGGGGTAAGGAGCAAGGGGACGATGGAAAACCGAGGCCCGGGGGGGGACCAAGGAGAGCCCAATCACCCGCTACTTCGAGAAGCGGGTACAGATGAAAATCTAGGAGGGATTCTACAAGAGTACACACACGGATTTACAAATCAATCAGGTATGGGAAGCCAGTGGGTTTCGGCCTAAGCAGCCTCTGCTTGAACGGCGAAGAGGAGGAGGACGGTGGGAGGGGGGGGGATGGGGGGGGAATAACTGGCTTCGGAAATCAGCGGACGAATCCTCCGTCGCTCACTGCCCTCATGATGCAGCAGGAAGAAGAAGGCGAATGGAGCCAGCGAGAGAGGGGATAGGGAGAGAGCGAGAGAGCTGATGAGCGAACGGGTCCTGAGATAGCTGCCCCCATTTATTTATATCTAATGAGCGAGCTGCTCCTGTCCTATCGCTCTCTCACCATGGGAAGCAACTGTCAAGCTGCTGCGAGTTCAGTTTGGGACCATCGATACCGTCGGATCGCACCGACCCCTCGATCCGTCCGTAGACCCGAAGGCCGTAAGATTGTCTACGTCATCCTGATGACGTCGACGTCTCGGTAGAGTATCCGTGAACTTGCGCCCTACGAAGCTCCCCGGTTAACGAAGTCCAGGGACCAAATTGAACAGCAGCTACCCGGAAGCTTCCATTGCTGAAAAGCCTATTTTAACTGAATGACTGGCAACGCATTTTGTCGTCATTAAAAAAAAAGCCTTATCGAAGTCAAAGCTCGATCACTTGCCATTTGACGGACCAGAGGGAAGATAGATACGGCTGGCGAGTCCGTGGCTCACGATTGGCCATAGATGCAGTTGGGAGTCTGGCTCATGTTGACTCCATCTCCCTCCGATTGGGTGCCCAACATCAAGTCAAGAACAAAAAGATAAGAGCATCCCTACAGACCCAGATCCTTGCTTCAAGACGTTTCTCTCTCTCTCTCTCTCTCTCTCTCTCTCTCTCTCTCTCGATACGTAGAGATAATGAAAGTCTCAGATATAGCTTACTTTGGGCCCCTGGAACTTCCCGGAAAATGCCCATGAAAGACTTGCCGAATCCAGCAAAAGATGCCGATGGAGCTCCTAATTTCCTCGAACCGCGTTGGAGTGGGGAAAAAGGCGCAGCAAAAGATGCCGATGGGACTCCTAATTTCCTCCAACCGCGTTGGAGTGGGGAAGGGCACAGTAAAATGAACGCGATTGGACTGACAGCGGCCCTAGTCGCCGTCGCCATCGTCCTTCCTCGCCTTTGACAAAATGGGAGTGGATCGCTCTTATCAGCCGCGTGGGTTGTCGCCACTTCTGAGGGTCTCCTGTGGCATCTTCGACCGGCAGGCGTCGTCAAAGAGTATGATTTAGCTAGTTGAACGGCCGAGGGGGGAAGATCTCTTCGTCATATTCGCTTCTGATGCCGTGTTGTTAGCGTCAACAGGGATTGAGCTCCCAACACGCCGAATAGAAATCTCGGAACGGTTGGGTTTGCCGCGTTACGGCGATATAAACATGTACTTTCGGAGTGAAGGAAGGTCCCGGCCGGGCTCAGACCAGACGTGTCCGCCCGAGGACAGCCCGAGATCTCTCTGCCTGTCTAAATTAGTACCTATAAACCCGGAACACCTGCTCGATCAAGACCAGATGAGACCGCCAGCCACATCTAAAAAGAAATCATGCATTCAACCATGACGCGCCAGTGTAGCTGGCAGTTCCTGAGATCAGCAGGAAGTTGGGCGGTCAGATTTCTCCAATCATGAATCTACTGACCTAAACTGACACTTTGAACGCGGTTTAATCGCTCTGATACAAAATCTCCATTCTGGGCTGTTTCTGCTGCGGTGGAGTCCTAGGAGGAGCTAATAGTGGTCTCGCACCTCAGGGCCCAGGATAGCCAGACAAGCAGCTCTTCTCTCGACGTGCGAGTGCACCTCTTCTCTCCCACCTTCCTCTTCTGATCTTCTCTTCCTCTTTTCTCAGCGGCAAGGTGAGAAAGATGAATATGGGCCGTCAAAATAAAGCACATAAGTGAACTTGGGTATCATAAATCTTAGGAAGATGTTGGGTACGATCTTGAAAAATCTAATGAACAGTGACTGATAGAGCAGAACCGGCAGATATTTTTAAACAAGAATAGGCCCCGAAATAAAACAAGAACTAGGAGCCGCGGTTTGAACCCAAGAGATGGATATGAACACAGATTTCTAGAAAGGTCCATGTCATCATAAAGAGCAAACAACTGTCAAGAACAACAATATTCAGATGATCGACAGCGGTACCTTCGTTTAGGGTCCTCTCCTCATTTCTCCGGCGAAAAAAATGGTCGTTTGAAATGAACTGAACAGAGTAGTGTTTGCAGTAATATGCAACTTTTTCTTGGGAGTTTGATGTCAAAAACTTACAATGGATGAATAATCTATTTTTATCCACCAAAAACAATGATTCTATCCTACATTTTCATCACATGAAAACTGAAAACCCAAGAATCTGCAGAAGCCCTCTTCGTGAATTGCCCAGAACTACAGGAAGATTACACCCAAAAATAATCAACAACCGTTTACTCGTTTCTGAGAGCGAAACCGAAACGCCGATGAGAGTCATGAAACAGCATATATCATGTATAGTCCATCAGGCTTGAGACAAACATTGGAAACACTTGTCCCGGGTTATCTGTAATCAGCACCCACAGCCTCCTGAACTGATTTGAAGCCGTCCCTCTCCAAACATTCCGCTAATTCAGCCTGTGCAAATGAGAAGAAAACATATAGAAACGAACTCCTTCAAGTGGAATTACACAACGAAGAACAAAAGGGGCATGAGCAAATTAAAATTGAACAAAATCCACAATATGCAACGTGAAAGAGTGGAGAGAAGAGGGGTGGAGAAGGAGAAGATAAAGGAGAGGAGAAATGCTCCAGCTAGGTTATGAAATCTAGAATATGATAAAGTTCCTTTTTTTGCCAAATGATCCAATGTTGTCCCTCTGATTTAGCTCAACGTGCTCTACAGGTCAATTTTTATCCAACTTGCAATAAATAAAACAGGGTGAAATGAAGGGATGCAAAGCCCAAAAAAATTGCGTAGTCTTCGTTGACATAATTGGGGGGTGGACTTTTGCAGCCAAATTGATTGCAATGGATGATATTGGGTACCCTTCAGGAAATCGTCTAAGATCATCATCATCGCTCACAAGATATGTAATGAAGACGTTATTTTAAAATAATCATCCTGATCATTACATATTTTAAAATGGATAAATTTTTCCAATTTACGACGTTATTTTAAAATAATCATCCTGATCATCAATAAAATGCTTTCATGGCAACGGTTTATGAGATCAAGATTTTTTTCCAAAACTAGCATCATTAGTAAGAGGAATTATGATTTTCGATTTTAAAGGAAACAATGAATTTTTCGATTTGGAAAGAAAACGACTGGTGGAAAAGGGCAGATCAGATAGTTCCCGCTAAAAAGATTTGCAACAAAAAGTTTGTTTACACCTAAACTTTAAATTCAACAGCTCAAAAGCCTCAACAGATAATATAGGCTACCTTGATCTGAGGAATGAGCGCAGGTCCTTCATACGCAAAAGCGGTGTAGAGTTGCACAAGTGTTGCTCCAGCTCGTATCTTTTTGTATGCATCTTCGCCCCTGCATTTGGTGCATTAGTGGGAAATTTTCGGTAAATCTTACAGAGATATGAAGGAAGACAAGGCCGAAACTGATACCTGCTAACACCTCCGACCCCAATCAAAGGAATTTTCCCCTGTCAAGTATCAGGCAAAATAGATCATAAAAGCAGCTAACAGTCTAGATTCAGAATGAATCAAACGCAGAGAAATTAACAACTGAAAGCAGAAAGGAAGCACGTCAAATAAAAAAAAGTAGATTCATATTTCAAAAAATTAATTCCGTAGGCTAAAGGCATGCTGCAGAGTTCAGTCGCATACCCGAGTAAGGATATACATCTCCTTAAGAATATTCGTTGACAGATCAAAAAGAGGCTTCCCACTTAAACCACCAGCTTCCCCAGCCATAGGATGGGCACTTGCAGGATCTGGTCTTGAGACAGTAGTATTTGATATAATCTGAGATATTTAGTCGAAGAATCATCATAAAGATTCATAATGAAACAAGACGACACTCTGGCAAAAAAGGATAAATAAAAAGGCATGTTGTCAATGATATTCTACAAAGGATGCTCCCTGAACCATAAAGAAACACTACCACGGTAATCGAATAATGCGCTGGGAGCTAAATGTGCGTACATGTGGTAGAGATTTCTTCTCTACCATCAAATTGTTAAACAATAAGACACAGAGGAGATTCTTCCTCAATAGGGCATGTGATCGACTTCCAAGCACAGAATTGTCCCATACTTTCAAAATAAAATTAAGCAGAGATGAAAAGTAGAATTGTCATTACCTCTTCCACAATCAAAAGAGAATTGTAGGCTTTCAGGTAATAAAAACAAGAGTAATCCCCTTATTGTAAGTTTAATAAACATAAATCCACTTGTGTATATCACATGTGTATCTGAACCAAGCAAATGCAATTTAGATCTTACCAAGGGAACGAGCTTCCAAGATCCCATATCCTGAATGAACTCTTCCTTATTTACGTGGATGTGATTTCAATTTTTAACAGCCACACATCCATGTCATCTAAATTAGCCACCTTTACAGACATTTCAGGGCAATCCCACATGAAGAAACAATTCGACCACACTGAACTACGTGGTGATGTCTTTCTGGCAGACAACCATCAAGCCCAAGCTGGGCCCAAGAATCTGATTAGGACCAGATCAGCTAGGAGTCTCGTTCAGGTTAAAGGTGTAAAAGTTAAACAGATGAAACCTTGGGTGAAAAATCTTCCACAAAGGGAATACCTTCAGGGATTTGACTGAGCACTGACAGTGCAACATTACTTCTTCCTGGCACAGACCATCATTTTAGAGCATTTCCTACGTAACTCTCAGGCAACAAAGCAACTCAGGAGATAGCATTATAAACGTTGTAGACTTACTCCAGGAAAAAGCATTCTGCTTCGGACTGGTATCAAATGAAACAATCCATTCTCAAATTATATCACGATGCAAAACTACATGTACAGCGGCTAGAAATAATTAAACTGACCCGAGTTGGGAGAGCTTGATTCTTTTAGAGTGGGGCCCTCATTCAGTTAACCTGATTGTTATTCCGCTTAGACATTACTCCGAAAATCAATTAGCAGTTGATGACAGCGGCTAAATCGGAATAATAACTACAGGGAGGCTTCACCCCATCCAGTGGATCATAATAGAAGATCAAGTGCTTTAGAAAAAATCAAATGCTCTCTCGCAGTCAATCTCAGACATGTTTAATTGATTTTATTCAAGAATAAATAAGTAGACAATATGGTCTCCGTGAATCCTAGTTCCAAACATTACCGTATTCCACATGCGTGCCCATATCAACATTTTAACATTTTCATTCTTTGAGAATATTTTTTTCTTGAACCATCAAAAAGTTCAAACAATTGGCCATAGCTCAAGCCTCGTGTAAGCATTATCCGAGTGAACTACATGAAAAGGGAATATTTACCAGTCCATCCAAGTGAAGGGCAAGAGCAACCTGGAAAAAACGAAGAAAACTATTATGTTGGATAGAAACAATTATGTAACAAAATAGATATAGAAGATGGCATGACTGCATACTGCCGCAATGTCATCAAGATCCTGTTTAGATAAATCAGGGGCGATTTTGACGAGCAAGGGAGGAGGACCATCGTCAGCCCACTGCATTTCATCACGAGCAGCTTGTACCTACAACAAAATGACAAGCACAGCGGAAACAAGGATTCAAGGGACGTGCAGATTAGTTGATGATCGATAACAAATCCTAAATCTTCAAATTAAGGAAGTAGTTAAAAGTTTCCAACCTTCTTGACTAGATCTTTCAACTGGTTTCTTCCCTGAAGTTTACGCAGCCCAGGGGTATTTGGCGATGATACATTTATGACCTGCATGGAAACAAATTACCATGCAAGAAGAAAGATGAGATACTCCGAAGAACATAATTCATTCCGACAGAAAGCTGATGAATTAATGCATGAGTTTCAAGGCAGTACAGCCTAAAGCAAAACTCCTTAACCTTCGTTATCTAAGTTTTCTTACTCGAAAGCGTCCATGAAAGTAGTGGCTGAGAACTTCCTCTAATGCGATCATATAGCCAACGAAGTGAGTACAATTTCCTGATTGGTGTTTGAACCAATCCAGGAGATGTCCTGGGTATTTTATTTTTAGGAAAATGATTCCACTAGATACTTCCTCTTCTCCCACCATCCTTGTGTAAGACCCAAGTAGAAATAATAGTAGAGTGCATGTGTTAAGATAAAAGTCTGATTAAGAGGATTAAAGATGGCACATCCATTGATTATAAAAGATCTATAAATGGCATGAAAACCAATTTTTGGGATACATACACGACTTGTAAACCCTTAAAAGTACAGATCCTTTTAATCACATACCTACTGACAAGTTCACAAACCTGAAACCATAAACTTTCCTTCCTAGTGACCGCAGGTAGAATTGGAATGGGATGCAAGGCCATTTTTGGGTTCTGTTTCGACATAACTATTACACTATTTTGAACTGGAAATAAATAGGAAAACTAAATGTAATCGATTTGGAAATCAACTGACATTATTGCAATGATATGGACAAGGGAGAAGCAAAATTTGATGCCAACAAAGCATCAACGGGCTGGTCAACAAAAGATAGAACATGTTTAAAATCATGGAATCTACTAAATGAAGAAAAAGATTTCGAAGACAAATACGAAAAGGAATTACGTAGCTTACTGAAAAAGACATATCAGCAAAGGGTACTGCTTTTCATTCAAAATATCTGTGTTTTACTAGCAGAAACAATCAGCTCAGTACGATAGGATTCACTTGCCATAGACTTTCAACTGACCATGGACAGGCAAACATTCAGCAAACAAGATCAAGACATGTGAATTTACTGAACTACTTGGCCAGAAGAAAGTTATAATATCCACTTTTGTCAAACACAAAATGTCCCCAAAAGAAAAGAACAAGACAATTTCTAGTAGAATTTTCTTATATTCTGATGCCTTCAACACGCTTCCAACTGTGTTAATAGTTTGTATTGCTGTTAGATCTTTAACGAACTGAGAATCTCAAAACAATCAATCTTACCATCAGGAGTGTTCATTGTATTTGACATACAACACACTTGCAAAGGATGGAGTGAAGAAAACAAAAGAGAATGGAGGATGATGATGAAAGAAAGCAAGAAGACAAAAAAGAAAGAAAGTTGAAAGTTCCTCTAGTTTCAGACGGTTCTACACAATTCATAATAGTTTCCAGCTGGTATCAATACTAGATCATTAGAACACTGGTTCGAATCATGTTTGATTGATTCTAGTTTAGCTGAAGGTGTTCATTCTTTGCCTGATAAAGATGGTACCATGTCTTCATCTCATCTGCAAAAGCTGTCGGCAGGAGCAGGTCTCAGATGCTTTTGGCGAAATAGGGGAGATACCATTCCGATAATTGCTATCCTCCAAACCAGGAACACAATTTAGGATGCAAACATGCAAAATGTTAAGTGTAAATCCAGACATTCTGCCAACCTAGCCATTCTGAATGAAGAGAGCCCTCATTGTTTTACTTGTTCTCCATTGGATCGTCTCGGTTCTTTTCCTAAGATGTCTAAGGCAACAGAAAAAGCTGCCCAGTCTGTTAGATGTACACCCAGCAATTAGACAGAGCAAGCAGCATCCGATGATGTCGCTAGCAATATACAACAACGAATGAACACACAACAGACCGTAGCCTCCGTACAACTTTTGCCTTAGTTTTTTTTTCTAAACCATACATGACGAATAACATGAAGAAGTTCCAAGATTCAAAACCCCATGTCCAGATTATGATTAACCATGCACTGTATTTTTTACAGAATTTTATCTCCGTATTAAGAAATATTTCATTAGGTTTAGAGATGCATTATAAGGCTTTTTTAGATAATGGTAACGCCATAAATTCGGTAAAATATAAATTGTGATTTAGGAGGAGAATTACCAGGTAATCGGCAAACTGGGACAAAGTGTGGACTCCTTGAACATAGTCAGCAGTAGCATCTTCACTATTTTTATTCTTGCCAATGTTTACTCCAAGAATACCTGGACCTGCTTTACCTCCTTGTTTAGTTTCATTATCAGGTGAAGAGTTTGTACTTTCTTCCAGCTTCCTTTTACCGTGTTGAACACCCAATCTCCTCGCAACAGCAACAATACCTTCACTATTAAACCCACAACGGTTGATAATAGCTCTGTTGATGAACAAGAAAGAACGCATCCATTAGAGAGTTTATGTAACTTAATTCATTCAGTCACAAGTACGCAATAAGACGAATAATAAAAAAATCCAACATTTGATCGTACCTCTCCTTTGGCAACCTGAAAATGCGGGGTTTTGGATTACCCTCCTGTGGGATAGGGGTAACCGAACCAACTTCTACAAAGCCAAAGCCTAACCCGAGCAACCCTTCAACAGCCTGGGCATTTTTATCAAAACCCGCAGCAAGGCCAATTGGATTAGAAAACTTCTGGCCCCAGACTTCCACCCCTAATACTGACGGATCCGGTCTTTTCTCTCTTGGAACCCAGCCACGAGATGCAGCTAGTATGGCTACACGATGAGCAAACTCAGGGTCCAGCAATGCAAACAAAGGGTTCAAGTATTTTGTTGCAGAAAATAGCCATCCACTGAAAAAAGATAAAAAGAATGAAATTAACATCATTGAGATAAATACCAGTAGATGTGTATAATACAGCTAGCAGTGAATTTCTCACTCATGCAGAAGAAAATGACAAATCCATGAAAATTATCGTCAGATTCTAACAATTTCAACCAAATGGCTGAGTGATAAGAACAGGTGTTCGATGATAAAACGGCAATCTGTGAAGCTCTAAGATTGTCTGCTTTGCACGACTATCATCGTTCTTTACTCTTACATTCAGGAACCACTCTTCTTTCTCAGCTGAATTATTCAAACTTGTTTGGAATAAGTGCAAAAGATCATCTTTTTTTTCATTTCAAATCCACCCCACAATAAGAGGAATACAGTCAAAATATGTGCTAAATGAAAGATAAGTAATTTAGCCACTATCTTGGCTCCTAATCACAAGCCACGTTTGCCATGGGAATGGTACGATCATCATCACATGACATGAGAAATAACCACTGTTATTCGAACGTAAAACTAAAATGAAGAGCCTGAATATACCAAAATGTAGCTTCATCTGCAGTACTCACATATGCCCCTCCACCAATAGCCAGCCCAATCATGGCTCCGGTCAGTAGCCTACCCTAAAAAAAATCAAGTTGAATTTGAAACACAAGAAGAAAGAACCAAGTCGCACATGCTGTAAACTTTCACATGTAATAACCCATATTTGGGATTAAACATTATTTTGATTAAAAAATATTGGCGAAATTTTCATAAAGGACTGGCACGTATTTGCGAAAACAGTACCCCATAAACATAATGCTTGTCATCGTTCTAAAGCCATTCGTTGATCCATCAGTGTAGCATACCAAAGAAGGTGGAAACTTGATGTAGGACTGAGAAATTTCTTAACGAATTCAATGTCCTACGGATACAATGATTTCATCTCCAACATCCAATGTCGATAAGAAGATTTCAATGGGGCAACGGTGAGGCATAAATAACTATAGTCGTAGAGTTTCCATCTTTCTTTATCCACACTACAGTGATTAACAAAAACAAAATAGAGTATATCTCATCAGTAATGCTTGGGCGCACCATATCCAAACCCTGTTTACGACAAATATCACTCTTTCATAATGTACGAATGGAGTTGGCAGTTCTCTGTCCCTTCCGGTGAACAAAACCGCATATACATTCACACCGACGAAAACTCACAAAAACTTGGATCAACTTTGGACACATCTGCGGAAAGAAATGAAACCATAGAGCGAAGCATGAACAGCAATGGGCAGGCACCAATCCACGTGTACCAGGAGAACCACTGATGCAATGCTTGGGACCTCGAAATGAATAAGGAACACAATACACTAGCATAGCTCACAAGAAATGAAACCAAATACACCCAGAGAAAACGGAGAATGAAGATAGATAACAAGGCTGAAGTGGTACCTTCTTTGAAGAATGCACAGGCGACTTCGGAGTCCCTGCCGCCCCGGCCTCTCCTGCCGCGGTGCTCGATCGCCTCAGACCGCCTCCCACGTCCCCCGCCCTAAGACGACCCGACTGAGCATTCCTAAGGAAACTCCTCAAGAGCCTACTCGTCATTGCCCCACTTTCTCCTCCTGGAACGAAAGCCGAGACCTCTCCCGCCCGCTCCAACCCTACTTCAATATCCCCCTATCGTCGTCTCGTCACCAATGACGGAGATAGAAACGGAGGCGACGCAAAGGCTAGTTCCTCCCCCGAATCTCCATATCTGGCAGAAAAAGGAATAACCCACAAGAAAATATCCGCCTAACTCCCCACCTCTACGTCACGGCTGCGCGGGAGGGAGGCACCGGAGAGACGGAGGGAGGCGCACGTCGAGGGAGACAGCGACGCGAGGCCTTCTTATACTGGCGTCGTATCCACGCCAAAGCGAATTATACGTGCATTACATATAGATTTTCATAAAAATAATGTCAAAAACTTATTACTTTCTCCAAAGTTTTTTTGTTGACGATAATGATTCTGGGTATTCTTCTGCTCTTATTCTCTTTACCCTTCAGACGATTACCTCTGAGCTGATCTTGCGAAAATACAGGCCATCAATAGATGCCGCTATCTTCCCCGATCATTAAATCGCCGATTCAGACGAGATTACAGGTATGAATTTATCAGTGAGATTAAAGGTATGAATTTCTCTGTTATGTACATGTAAATCTGGAAAAAAAATTCCATCCACCGTATCCATGGATAGAGAGTTAGAACCGGAGATAATCTCAGACCAGTTCGACGTCCTGAGACGAACTGGGCCATGATCTTCCAGTGGCGTCATGCACGCAAGAACTCGATCCCGTCTTCAGCTTCAGCCAAGCTGCCAGAGTACTGATCCAACAGACGATCACAGATCCTGAGGAGCTCGTCGGCAAGAGGGGGAACCCCCGGATTCCGCCCGTCATTATATCTATGCGCATTGAAATTGATTAGCCAGACATCACGCCGGAACTCGTCCCGGTTCCTGTACTCCATCCTCCTCGCCTTCTCTTTGATAGTGGAGAGATCGATGGGGTTCTGTATGATGTCGAGGTAATCGGGGGCTTCTCTCCTCGAAACTGGTCTCACGAAGAGGTACGATATCTCGTGGTGCTTTCTCAGATCGTCTACGATCGTTTCTAAGATGGTGGACAGCATCACCTCGCCTGTCCGACGGCGTTTGGAGGGTACCAGCTGCCTCCTTCCACCCTGTGGGCGGGTCTCGTACGAGCCTAGCGAGCCTGATTTTGCTTTCCTCTCTCCCTCTCGGGGATTCTTCCTCTCGCAAGTCGTCGTCCAAAGCAATCGATCCTCAGAAATGTTCTTCGAAATCTTCTCCTGCCTGAGAAATCTCCTCGGCTGCTTGCTGTGCTTCTTTATGTCCTCCACCAAACCTCCCCGTTCGGCACTGGTTCCTGCATCTATGAAGTTATTATCTGCCTCGGCCTCGCCCGCTTCCACATTACTTACAAGCTTTGGCGGTTTCAAGATGATCTTCCGGCGAGCAGGGAGCCGCAGCACGAGAGAAGATATTTGCGACTCTTCCTGGTTATCCCCCGACTTCGTATGGCCGGAAATCTCTGCGATCCTATCTCCATTAGGGCTGGGATGAGCATCGGTTTCTTCCACTTCTTCACGATCCAAATCTCCCCGAATGCATTTGAACTTCAACCGGAGAGCACCGCTCCCCGGCGCATTCATGCCGGAGCCTTCATCTCTCTCAGAGATTTCCACCCTCATCAGCTTTCTAGTGGAGGCCTGCAAAGGGGGACGCATCCCAGACTCAACAAGAGATCTCGCTGATGCATTTTCTGATTCCGATGTTCCTGACTCGTCTCTGTGCTTGGGACAGTTTTTGTTCGTCTTCATGTGCCCCATTTGGCCGCATGCTCCACAGGCGAAAATCGGTCTTCTCTGTACGCTGATCGATTCTTTTTTCCCATCAAATAATCCAGCAAACATATCACCGTTCTTCTCCGAAAATGGTGCTCTCTTCAGAGAATGAGGTACGCCCTTCACCCTCCCTCTTGTCTTCTCCTTGATCTTCATCTTGATATCATCATCATCGTCAAGGCGGATGCTCATTAGAGATGCCTCGGATGCTTCATCTTCTTCATCTTCTGCTTCTCTCGGTTCATCATCCCCGAGATCAAAGAACCTGCGCTTTCCTTTCCTGGATTCTTCGGCAACCAATAGATCTTCAAGATCCATGGCAAAAGAATCCAAATCAGGGTCACCTTCTACGGCAGGATGCGAGAGACTCCGAATCCCCCGATCCCATATCTCCAGGCATTTTCTTTGGTCCAGATGAGGAGGCCTCACCATCGAACATTGATCGTACCTGGTTCTCATCATAATCTGACAGTAACAGAAACCTAACATGGGGAGAAGATCAGAAGTGCCCCCGACACTCAGATTTTCAAGATCAGCCTCATCAACGGAAGCTCTCAATCCTGCTCGAAAAGCAGGTGCCTTTCTGTTCTTCAGACCCTGATTCACCCACGAAACAAACCTTGCACTCAGATTCCATGGGGTCATCAGGAGCTCCCACTGAATATATGAGGCAGCAGCAAGGGCAGGGGGATCCTGAGAAAGCTGATGAAGCCTTGATGGCAGGCTGATAGGGCGCCGAAGCTCACTGATCCCCATGCGTTTCAGGCTGTGAAGACCAGCCTGCATGCTCTCATAAGAGCATACGTCCTCTGGAGACAAAATCCTCCTGATTTCTCCCTCAGATGGCACCCGGAAATCTGGCTTCTTCACCCAGAAACAAGCACCATTTGGCCTCCTAAGGAAATCAGCGCAGTGCTTCAGTCTTTTTCTCAGAAGCCCTTCTGAGAGGCTCGGAAACTGCAAAGAGACTTCATCTGCGCGGATCCATGGGCACAAACGAAACTGTTCCTTGGCACAGAACTCCCTGTACACATATACCAGGAGCCTCTTCGAGTTGTAATTCCGAACACTCGCCATTCCAGGAGAACTCACCTCTACGTGAGGCTCCTGCTGACCTACCACATACAATTTACTGATCCTCCGAAGAGAAAGCATCCCTTTTGCCGATCGAACCAATAGATAGTCGGTCGACGATGACTTGTGCAGAAACAATGGCGCCCGGTACATGTTTGTCTCGAGGCTTAGCTGACTGGAACCAGGGCTAATGTCTCCGAGGAAAGGAGACTCATCAGCAGGATCTAATGTGATGACATCCCCAAGACCATCATTTCCATTTCTGGGTGGCGAAGGAGCTTGGTCTCCGTGCTTCGGCTTGCGATAATAGGCACAGATTCTTGCACCCATGCCAATGTTTCCCAGAAGGAGGGGCCTCTCCTCACTGTATTCCATGAGGAGAGCGCGCCCATCTCGAAGGGAAAGGTCAGATTTCCTTATGAATGCTCTGAGAGGACATGAATACTCACTACTCCCCGGTAGAAATCCCACACTCGGCCACAAATGTAGTTTGCTCCTTATGATATGAAGTAAAGAATTAGGTCTGACGTCCTGATGGGCAAGAGGCTTCTCATCCTCGAGCTCCTTTCCTCGGTATAATATCTTGACCTTCTCGGTCAATTTGAAGTCAAGCTTCTTTGCTATTTTTGATTTGATGAATAACGCTGCCCCCCCAGCATCCATATGAAGCTTGATGTGTTTTCCCCCTAGCGCCTTCAGCATAATTTTGATGGGTCCTTGAGTACAGAGAGCTCCCTGCAACTTAGAGGCGTATTCATTCTCGTGAGGGTACCAAGTAGATTTTGGCCGATGAAAGTGAGCAATTTCCCGGGTGGTCAACCTTGGTTTCATGGTCTGCAACTTTAGAGCAGGAATAGAATGGATTACTTTGGGTAAATAATCAGCGCGCCTCTTGGGGCGGGATCTTGGCTGCAAACCTACGGTGAGGTCTGAATAGAATTCGTCATTAGATAGGTTGAATCTATCAGTGGGGAGCCCACGACGATCTGAATGACCCAAAAATTGTGGAAGAAGGACCAGTTTTGGCTTTGGAATGTGATCAGTTGGATCCCATACAATCTGATCTAGCCAGCTGCCATCGAGGAAATCCATATTCTGCAGTGACAGCTTTCTAGTATGCCATTCTGCAAGTTTTTCCACTCCTTTCATGGTTTTAACTTCAGCAGTTTCTTGACCTATTCTCATCTCCTCCGAGGCTTGAAGCTCTGTTGGTCCACAATCTTCTCTTAATATCAAGGGCACTTCCTTAGAATCGGCACAAGAAACTAAATGGTGATCCTCTTCGGGCTTCATCCGGAAACCTTGAACAAGATGCTGTGAATTGGCCATTTCTCCGGCTTCAGCGTCAGTTTCGTGCTCAGAGATCACGCAACTCCCGTACCCGTGGCTTGTGCTGGGTGGGCTTTCCCAAACGATTTCATCTTCCCAGTTTCGCTGATCAACGAGGTAGAACCCGGGGCCACCGTCCTCCCACCATCTTGCAGCTTCATCTACGACTGCTTCCTCTTTCATCGGCTGCCCAGGAAGGCAAGAGTCTTCATCCCCTCCCTGCTTGTCTACATGATCCTCTTTCTCTAGACTGAGATCTCTGCCGATAACTGGAACGTGAAAAGCAGTTTTCAGGAAGTCCTCCTCATCGTCTTCCACAGTATCAGTACCCCCCAAGTTCCCGAATTTTGCTTTAATGCTCGGGTTCCATGGAAGGAACCACCTTCCCATCGTCATCGACGGCTCGTGAACGCCAAAAATCTCAGAAAAGCGTAAGATTTCCTTTCCGCCTTCTATGCACAAGACAGGAAGATCAACCCCCTCTTTCGACTCACTTGATTCCAGCGCAGCGACGGGGTGTTCCAGGGGATCTTCCACGTCTGAAGCTACGCATTCATCGTCCTCCAAGGGTTCGACGGATATGAGACAGCCGCCACGAGATCCTAACAACGCATGCGATTCGGGCTGATTCTCCGCCACCTGACTCCCTTTTGCGGTTTCGGCGTCCGCATCGTAGTCTTCTTCGTCAAAGAGCGGTGGTTGAGTGGCCGAAAGATCTACCGAAGTATCCAAAACAGAGAATCCCTGGTTCGGTGACAGCCCGGGCAATTCATCGTCCTCATCGTCGCCACTGCAAGCGAAGCCGGCATCCTCTTCCCCATCATCAAGTCCTTCGGCTGCGGCCAAGGGGGAGCCCACCAAACCTAGGTCAGCGAGAGATGATCCCAACTTGTCGGCCAAGGCGGAGAGACTCTCCTTCGCGTCCTCGTCGAGGTAATCGGCGTCGACGTACCCCGAAGCGTCGACGTTCCCGAACATGAAATCGAATAGACGGTGACCACCCTCTTCCTCGTGCTCCTCGTCCTCGGCTTCCATGTCGACGGCCTGTTCGAAGCTAGGGTTAATGCTGGCTCGCCTAAAAGACCGGTAAAATTGAATTGAGAACCCGCTATATATATAGAGGCCCGAAAAATATGATGACGCTTTTGTTCCTGAAATAATGTAAAATTACAACTTTGGTCTCCTCTAAGTTGCCAATTTAAGAGACCGGATTGTTTTCAAAAAGATAAATCGATAGATTGCTCCAAATCAATCCAGAAATCTGATTTATATTTTTAAATACATTTTTTTAAAATTATTAGGAAATATTAAGTGGATTTATACGGGTTGGTTGGACTGCTGACTACTGTGAATCGGAGGAAGATGAATAGCATTCTCATGCATGATGTTAATGGGTCAAACCGGGCCACATAACAAGTTAACCTATACGGCCCATTTTCCCCGACCCACAGGTGAAAAGTGGCAACTATTTTGTAAATATATAACAATTAAATTTATATCGATGTAAATAATATCTACTAAATAGACGATACAAAATTATCTATATAAAAATATAACTAAATAAATAAATAAATTTATAGAAAAACTCAAAAAATAGGGTCCGAGCCTGTCAAAGCATGGGGTAGGCTAGGGAGACGACCAGGTGGGACCGGGGTGTGGGCCCATTCTCTTTTGGGCTCGATATCGAGGCCCAAGCTCGGAAAAGACGGTCTAACAAGGCGGCCCATCGGCGACCCTAATCACAGGAGATTCAACCGCCGTCATCATAAAACGTAGATTTTTAAAAAAGAAAAGTGGACGGGGAGGGGGGACACATCTGACAGCCACAGAATCAGCGTCAAGATTCCCACTGGAACAAATTCATGGCAGAATGCCGCCCTTTACTGAGACAGATTGGAATCACCAGGCCAGACCATGCCTGGATACTCGGTAAAACACCTCACTTTGAGGAAGACAGATGTGATTCACCTTTTCCTTTAGACAAAGTAACAGGCACCACCCCGTAGCACAGAACCACATAGCTAGATAGATAGATAGATAGATAGATAGACAGATAGATAGATAGATATATAGATAGATAGATAGAGTGAGAGAGAGAGAGAGAGCGAGAGAGAGAGAGCCAGTCAAAGAAGCAGTGCCTCCTCTTTCAGTGCACATTCTTGGGAACCGTCTGTCTTGATCGTGCCATCTAGATGGGGGAGGCAGTAAAGGTTGAATCCACTGATTGTATGTATTACAGTACCGAAGATCTAAGATTTGATCATATGAGTGTAGGCATACAGGTCAGGAGCAAAGAAGATCATGGGCATATGGGTATTCATTCATGAAGTCTCCATCAGATGAAAAAAGCAAGTCTAGGAGGACTGATGAAATGAAATCGATTAGACCATGGGGAGCACCCTAAACATAAGCAGTAAACAGTACCTTACATCTCTGAAGAATGACGCTTGAGAGAGAGGGCAGTGGCCGATATTATTTGATGTACCCAATATCCCTAAGATGAGAGTGTTTTTGTACCAGAGAGGATGCTCGCCAAGAGACTAGGGGTTATCTTCAGCTCCGCATGAACACAGAGAAATGTACCTTCCACTCAAACAATGGCCTCAGATTCCTCACTCAGAACGACCCAGAAAGCCCACACGGGAAAGACAGAGGCCGGAGGGAGGTCAGAAAGAAAAGGCTCGAGTTCGATGCATGGAGAGAGATGATCGAGAAGAAAGAGATGGGCTTTAAAGAATGCAATCCAGCTGATTCACTCACTTAATCTAATGAGTAGGCAACTGGAATCGGTGGTTTAAAGAATGCCCCGACCTGCACATTAATGAGCCGTCCTCATGAAAATAAATAAAGGTACGGCTGGGCTGAATCGTGACCGACTAATGCCACGATGCATTCATACTCATAAAAATAGTACAAAAAGAAACCAGTGAGGCAACCAGAGGCAGCACTGCGTACGTTCCAAAAGAAAGGTGCACTGAAACACAAAGAGAGACCACGTTATTTTCATGGTAATAAATGCGAGAACATGAGTTTGAACACCCGTTCTCCGCCACCATGTCCTCTCTGAATCCCCACAGGGACAAGAATATATAAACATAAGCAGAGAGAAGGTAGAGGAGTGCCGATGTCTCGATGGCACAATCACAAGCAGAGAGAAGTCCCCACAGTTTCCACACCCAAAGGGCCCTCTCGACTGCAATCCCAACTCTGTTTCTTAAGATTGCCGAGAGAAGTTTGTGAGGTCACAAATCTCCGCGCAGGAATCCACTGCAGCCTGTGCCATGCGGCGTTGCAGAGACAGCACTAGAGAAAATCTTGACATTACACCGGCCAAGGAGGAAACGTTTCAGGTAGCCGCAGGACTCATGGTGAGGAGAGAAAGAACATGGCCGTGGAATTGCCGATTCCAAGATCATCTCTTCTGACTCGCGATGTGATGGAACCGTGCTCAGAGAAAGCGGCGATTTCGAGCAGTTCCAGGCATGATGCATTCAAACGGAGATCGCCTCCTCGCTGAGAAAGCCCGCCTGTTTGCACCAACGAAAGAGAATGGATGCTTCGGAGCCTTGGAGTTCCGATGAATTCGAGCGTACTAGCCCCCAATTCAGATCATCCTCCTCTGAGAAATCAACCTGGGAAGCCGGTCGAGCAAACCCGACTTTCCCCTTCCCTCTCCGGTGACCCGCACAAGCATAACAATGACAGAGGGAAGTAGAATCAAGAACGGACAAGAGGCGAAAACGTGAGAAAGCCCTAGCTACTCCATCCAAATCCACAAGACATGACATCTCCAATTCCCAAGCTTGAGGGAAGAGGAAAACCAAAGCTAGCCCTAATCCTAATCCCATGGAAACCGACACTTACCTCCACAGGATCAACGTTGCTCCTCTTCTCTCCTCCCACCGGCACCCGCAGGAGCCCCAGACAAAGACGCCAGCAAGTTTAGATGCCCCTGACCCATTGGCATGTAGTTCCCCACCCTCGCGGCAGAGGCCTCGCCGATGGGCTGTACGGTCGCAAATCGGCCCGCTACTGACGCCGCCGTAGCAGCAGAGGGCGGCACCACCATCTCCGGCGTAGCGAGGCTCCACATGTGGCCGTACTCAGACGACCTCGTGGGCAGAGCCCAGAAGCCCCCCCCCGGCCCAATACCCATGCCGACACCGACGCCGATATGTCCTCCTCCACCAGCGCCACCGCCACTCATCCCGGCGCCGTCATCCTTAGCCCCGTTCTCCGACTCTTCGTCCGTGCGGAGACGCTTCCCGAGGATGAAGGGCAACGCCAGGGCCTGCGGGATGTGGTGCCCCTGCGAGTTATGGCTTCCAGGGCCTCCGCCTGATTTATGGTCGAGGGAGGCGGACATGGAGGGCGAGGAGGAGGTGGTAGTCGGGGACTGGTTGTTCTGGCTGCTGCGCACGGACGCAGTGGCGGTGGAGAAGTAAGCCGGCGCGGTGCCGGTGCCGGTCGCCGCGATGATGGCGGGCTCCGCTTGCCGGAGCAGCCACTCAATGGTCTGTCCGTCGGACTTGTGCCCGAGCTCGCGGGTGAGCTGGAAGACCCGGGCGGCGCAGATGATGGGCATGCGGATCCGGCGGCCCCGCCCATCGACCTTACTGTGGCGGTCCTTGGAGGGGGGCTTCTTGGTCATGGCCGCGGCCCCGTTGCTCGCCGCCTGCTGCTGCAGACGCCCACCTCCCTGCTGCTGGTGGTGGTGCTGCTGCTGATGACGTTGCCCTGGGTCCGTCAGGGCTAGGGCGGCGCCGTCGGCCCCTCCGTCTGGGGTCGTCATGGAGAATAATTATTCCACAGCAATATACTATCCACCCCCTAGAGAGAGACAGAGAGAGAGTGGTTGAGAGCTCTAACAGGCGGGGGAGCCAGCGATGGGAGAGAAGTAGACCAGAGGGAGGAAGAGGAACAACAACAGGTGGAATGCCCGGTTAGAGAGCTGCTGAGAGGTTTCCGAGCGAAGCAAAGGGGGAGCTAATCATTGAGCGGCGGCAGCGGGTGGAGGCCGCCAGGAGGGCACATGGGATGGTGGGCCCCGCTTCCGCTCCTCCTCCTCCGTCCCCACCGCCGGACAAGCAAAGCAAAGAAGACGTCGCTGGTGGTAGCGACAGATGCCTTCGTTCTCCACGATAATTACCAAAACACCACTGTCAGCGGTGATGCGCTGGGACTCTGCAGATCACCAGGTAAGCAAGCTGCTACGGGCGTCCGTTAGAGAGCTCCTCGGGATTTGAGCCATAAAGTTGAGGCCCACTTTCCCGGGGGCCACCATCGCATCGAATTACCCCTCCTGCCACCCTTTTTTCCACATATTTACTGTTATGCTACTGCCCTCTGATCCGGATAGGATTCTCGATGACCTGGCGTCAGACGTGGCCTCCCTGAGGAGATTTCCGACCGTTCGGCTCTCTGTCTCTCTCCCTGTCTCTCTCCGGCGGAAACCCGAGTACCGCGCCAACAGCGGCGCGGACAGCAAGGAATCGGCTTCCGTCGGGCAGTAGATGGAGGGAGTCCTCGTCTCCGGCTTTCCTCATGCTGGGCCCTGTAGCTTCCCTCTGTCTTCACTGTCGTTGTTATTCATGCGGAAGAAAACAAACCGACCAGAGAATTCCCCGAACAACTGAATTTAAAATGGCCGGGGAGCAGTGGCGGAGATGGAGGAGGAGGGGGTGGGGGGACCCCCTCCCCACTGGTTCCACGAGCCTGGCACAGACTGCGACAGCGGGCAGTGGATGGGCCAGTGAGAACTTCTCTGTACCCCCGAAATCTTTCTCCATTTCCGTGGTAAGAAGGAGAAGTTATCTCCTCGTCGTCGCCAAGCCCCGGCTCGCGGGGGGGGTGGTGGGTGGGGAGCCTCCGGCGGCTATAAATGGGACGTAGACGGAGGCGGAACAGAGACAGTGAGAGCGACTGCATGTTTTCCCGTTTCGAAGATGCCGGTGGGGGGAGGATTCTCCTTCCTCAGGCGGCTCCCGCCCTTTAAAGAGGGAGGGTGAGCCAGAGGAGCCGCTGCAGGGGGGAACTTAAATGGGCACTGGAGCGGGTGCGGCAGCGGCAGCCCGCAGCATCAGACTGTCCATTCAAGACGGGGGATGGTGGGGTGGGAGGAAGATGACAGCCCCCACAGGCACCTGGTGCGCAGGTGAGGTCCTTTTCGGGCGGACCCTCCGCTCCGATGGTTGAACAGTGTCCGGTCGGCTGTTCCCCCCTTTCCCTTTCTCCCCACCCCTCGGCAAGGAGGCAGGGAGATCACTCGAGCCCGCCATTAATGGCCCCCCTCCGCACCCTCTGTCGACGGGATCAGCGGTAACTCCCCTCCCGTTGAATTCCCCCCTCTCCTCACCAAGAACCAGTGAAATAATCCGTCATCTCTAGGACCCAGCAACAAAAATCCAACTTCTCGTGGAACAGTCAACGGCCCCGACCAGAAGACCTCCGCCCTGCCGCCATTGCCGCCATTGCCGCCATGACCTCCTTGGGGATAATTACACCGTGATAATCTTAATTGCAAATCGGAATTATTCTCCCTCTTGCGACCCAAATCGGGCAGAGTTCCCCTGCTCGCCGATCATCCCATCTGCACCACATTAGATATTCGAGGGTCTCGAGAGTGCCGTGTGGGACATCTGCATGCCTTTTCTATGGTCTGCGTCGGAGATTAAACAAATAGGCCCGTATTTTTTATGGCATGGAGGAGGAGCCCCTTGCCACTAATCTAATAACGAAGTGGCGCGTACGATCTCCCGAGGGCCATCAACTGGGGTATATGATATCTACTACAAAATTGGGCATTTTCCAACCATTCGTCGCCGTTATCAGAGAGAGAGAGAGAGAGACCCGTGTCGAGGAATCGGCTCCGGAGGGGCGATTTCGTGGGGTCGCGATCGATGGGCCCAATGAGTCAATGTCGGTGTGACGGGTCTCACAGTGGGGGGTCGTTCGGATGGCGACGGCCTACCGACGACGGCGGCGGTCGTTCGGAGGGCTTGGAGAATTATGGGGTGGCCCACCCACGGCGACCTGAACATTTATCTAGGCGAGGCTCTCCGGACCGCCACGCCTTGGTCGTCCGCGAGCCCGGCAGTCTCGTCGGCGCCGCCGACGCGGCCATGGCTGCCACGTCGCTGGGGCCTTCCCGGTGGGCCCGCCGGTCAACCGCGAGAGGCTTCCTCTGGGATGGTCGCACTGCCAGTGGTGATCCTCTTTCTCCGTCTCGGGCGGAAGATGTGGCGGCGGAAGCCCACTACTCCGCCCTCCTGCAGAGGTGCGCCGCCGTAGCGTCGGAGCCGAAGCTTGGCGGGGCCATCCATGGCGGTCTCCTCAAACGCTGCATCCTCCCCTCCTCCCTCTTCCTCCAGAACCACCTACTCAACGCCTACTTTAAGTGCGGCGACGTCTCCTCGTCCCTCCGCCTGTTCGAAGAAATGCCCCAGAGGAACGTGGTTTCCTGGTCGGCCGCGATCGGGGGCCTCGTACAAGGTGGCCTACCGGAGAAGGCGCTCTCCCTCTTCCTCGAGATGCGGCGCGGCGGCGCGAGGCCCAACGAGTTCACTCTCGTGAGCTCCCTCAATGCCTGCACGTCCAGCGGAGACCTCGACCTAGCGCGCCAGTTCTACGCCCAAGTGATCCAGTTAGGGTTCGAAGCCAACGTGTTCTTGATGAACGCTTTCCTCACGGCGTTGCTGCGGAACAGGCGGCTAGCGGAGGCCGTGGAGCTGTTCGAGAAATTTCACGGCAAGGACGTGGTCTCCTGGAACACCATGATCGCCGGCTACCTACAACTCTCATACTCAGACGTGTGGGGCTTCTGGTGCAGAATGAACAGAGAAGCTGTTCCTCCCAATGAGTTCACATTCAGCAGCATCCTCACCGGATTGGCTGAGACCGCTAGCTTGAGACACGGCCTGCAAGTTCACGCGCAGCTAGTCAAGTACGGCTACGGGGACGACACCTGCGTGGGCAACTCCCTGGCCGACATGTACCTGAAGAACCAGTCACTCCCCGACGGCCTGAAGGCTTTCGACGGAATGCTCCACAGAGACGTAGTCTCCTGGACCCAGATGGCATCTGGCTGCGTCCAGTGCGGAGACCCAGGCAGCGCTCTGCGAGTCCTAAAGGGGATGATGCTCGCCGGCGTCAAGCCCAACAGATTCACTCTAGCGACGGCATTCAACGCCTGTTCCAGCCTGGTTTCCCTCGAAGAAGGGAGGAAGACCCACGCCCTGAGGATCAAGCTGGGGGAAGACGCCGCGGACCTCTGCGTGGATAACGCCCTGATCGACATGTACGCCAAATGCGGCTGCATGGAGGGAGCGATGGCGGTTTTCCGGTCGATGAGGGGTCGGTCGGTGATCTCCTGGACGACCATGATCATGGGCTTCGCTCAGAATGGGCTTCCTCGAGAGGCCCTCGAAGCTTTCAAGGAGATGGTATCGGAACGGGTGGAGCCGAACTACATCACCTTCATCTGCGTCCTCTACGCCTGCAGCCAAGGAGGGCTCCTCGAAGAAGGATGGGAATACTTCGGATCCATGGCGAGAGACCACGGAGTAGAACCTGGAGAAGATCATTATGCTTGCATGGTGGGGCTCCTCGGCCGTGCCGGGCGGATCGCAGAGGCCGAGGCTCTGATCGAGAGCATGCCCTTCCGGGCAGGCGCTCTGGCCTGGCAAACCCTGCTTGCGGCCTGCCGGGTCCACGGAGATGCCGAGACCGGTCAGAGAGCGGCAGAGAGAGCCCTCTCTCAGGATAGGGAGGACCCATCGACCTACGTTCTACTGTCCAACACTTTCGCTCACCTCAGGGATTGGAACGGTGTGGGGAGAGTCAGAGGCCTCATGGAGAACAGCGAGGTGGAGAAAGTTCCGGGTTGCAGTTGGATCGAGGTCATGGGTAGTAGCAGTAATGCTTACACTTGATGAGGCCCGTTCGCCGTTTAGTTACGAACCTGAAGCCATGCCTATCGAGCAAGTGCAACATGATGCCAAAGAGGATGTGGATGGAAGGCCTCCTCCAGGTTTCAACAAAAATTTATGAGTTTATCAAAAGGACCAGCAGGATCTGACCCGATTTACAGAGATTGAGTAGGCAATTACAGTGAATAGATTGGGGAGGAGCTCATGCAACAGCAATGGAGTCCAGCAAAGAGTCCAAATACTCCTTCAGTTTGGCTTTCGAAATGGCTCCCTCTCTCCGGCTCTCTGGAACCTCCCGTCCATCTTTGAAGAGAATCAAGGCTGGCAGACCATAAACCTTGTACTCTTCAATCAGCTGGGGATTCGCGTCATGATCAATCTTGACGACCTTTAATCTGTCCTTGTATTCCTACAATTATCGAGTGTTATTTCCGATTTTTTTTTTTTTTTTGACAGAGATGAAAAGATATGGATATCTCATAAATCAGAACAAAATAGCGTTAGATATAATTTGTCACTGCCGGTGTTTTTCAAGAAGACCCGGTGTCGCCACTGGCACAACCTTCAAAGATTTGTACTGGTGATCTCATCGCACCAGGCTGGTTTCATTCTCTCCACATCCGTTCATATCAATTAATTTAAGCCTGATTTGCAGCCTAAAGAGACAACTTTTACCGTGTGCCATAGCCACAGGAAGCAAGACTCGAGACAAAACCCAAGGTGAGAAAAACTTTGATGAAAATCTAGTCAGGGTCATGTAAGTCATACCCATAAATAAAACTTGTAGATGAACAAAATGAAAGAGATCTTAACAGTAAACACTGAACCATCAAAACCTGGGAACTAAGATCTTAACAGTAAACACTGAACCATCATTCTAATCTGGGAACTAGGCACAGACTGACAGCAATAGCTCCATTAGTGATGGTCATGCAATCAAACCAAGCTCTCTACCTTCCAGAAGAAATGAGGAGAATTTAGAATTTTACTGAACCTCCACAATCTGCATATCACGGATACATTTACCCTCGGTTTTCTCAGCTCCAAAACTAATAAGCAATTACAATATTAATATCTGATCTTTTTCTACGCGAGGATACCTGCTACATATCTGGTGAATTCGGGAGCCACAAGGAGATGAACCTTTGTGTGGGAGTGTTTCTAGGGACCCAAGATGGTCTTTATCAAAATCCCAATCTCTTAACTGTGAAAACTCAAAATCTAAAGCCTCAAAAGATCAAAGCATTTGGAAACCGGGATCCTCTCTCTTCTGATTCAATAATCCTTCTTTTAGGCCATTTTTTAATTCTTCTAGCACGTGTATCGAGGTTGCACACAAAATTCAACCCAAAGTCAGCTTCTATCATCCATAAATCTTGTACCTACATTTGACTGTCACATGACTACGAATCAATGGTAAAACATGAAAGGAACATTCACTCTTACATGATAGTTGTAACCTTGGGTAATTTTAGAGCAGGAGCGTATGTCATCGAAGTTTGAAAACAAAAAAAAAACAAAAATACCATAAAAAATAGGGAGATACATGAGAACTACGCGGCCACAGAGAAGGGGAGGAAAACCGAAACTATTCATTTGCACTAAGATCAAAAAAATTCATTTGCATCACTAAAAGCTAAGGTGTCCATAAGTTCACCAGATTACCGTAGCCAGCGCACTATTGTGGCTGCAAATAGGGTTAGATACGAGAGCACCCCAACTAATCCCTCTGCGGCAGGATGTGAGTTCATCTGCTACGAAGTTTAAACTCCTTGAAATAAACGAACGGGTAACTCGAAGTAGAGAGATTCCCACAAATTTCGTCCACTAAGGTAGAGCCTCCATGACACTTCCCAGAGATCCAAAAATCATGAAATCTGATTTACGAAGGTCAACGAGATACAGGCATAATGGAGGATAGCACGGATAGGCGATCCGAATGTCGGAAATCTGAGAAAGGAGAGAGGGAACAGAAATAGGGAAGGATTTTGTACCTGGGAAGCCCATTCAATTACGGGCGAGATCAAACGGCATGGCCCGCACCAATCCGCCACGAACTCCACCAGAACCGGGACGTCAGACTTTAGCACCACTTCCGGAAACTCCGCCTGGTTGGTGGCGGCGACGCCACACCGAACCAACAACCTCTGCCTGGCAAGAGAGCCACGGCCACTCCCAGCTGTGGAAGTCCGGAATCCACGCAGTTGCCTACCGACTCTCAGAGACGGGGAGCCGATGGAGCTGCCGGCGCGGACAAACGCGGCAGCGGAAGGAGCCGCCGACGATCGCGCCGTAGCGGAGGCGAACTTGACGGAAGACTTCGCAGGACAGCAGAAGGCCGTCGCCATTGTAGAACCCCCTCTAGGTCTGCGTGGATACCTTCGAGGCCCCAGATAAGGTGTAGTGATCGGCCGCCTCAAGCTGGACCGAAAACGCAGGGGGCCTACTTTCGTTTTGCGGCCCTGGTTTCTGCCGTGGGACCCACAAAGCCCGCAATGGATCGGACGGTCAGGAGGGAGGATCCTATCACAAGATCGCGTGGCAGAGAGCCGCACGCAGTATCGAAGACGGCCAGAAAACAAAAAGCATCCCGTTGACAGCTATCTGAGACAACCGGCGGCTGACATGAACTCCACCATCACCCAGAACAGGAAACCCTCCTCCCCTGCGACCCGGATGGAGGATGAAAGTAGTTTGACTTTCTGGGTGATGATCCTTAGCTGGACAACAAAACATAAAGACAAGTCAGAGGAGGGCAGAAACTTATAAAACAGCATTTTTAGGGTTTATTCGTCTGACCTTAGATCTCATCGGCGAGCGAGGAAAGAATGGAGAGAGGAGGCTGCCCCGCGCTTCCTTGCCTGGAATACGTTCAGAGTATGAACAGGAAGGTCAGCCATGGAGATGGGTGACGGTTGGAATTGGAGTAGGCAGTTCAGGAATCGGGGGCGATGAATACCTTCTCGGTATTGAACAGGTCCTCAGCAATGGCCTCCCTTTGCTTCTGAATCTTCTCCTCCCTCACGTACTGAGCAATGTCTTTGTTGTCGTAGTCGAGCTCACTGGACGTCGAAAGCGGTGGTTATCAGGACCCAGCGGGATCAAAGATGAAAGGAAAGGAAGGAAGAATAGGTGTTTGGGTCTCACTGATAGGGTTCATTTGAGAATGGAATGAGGTTCCTGAAGGTGTTCCCGGATACAGTCTCTCTCTGTGGAACAATGGAGAGAACTGATTGAGGAAATAACCCAAATAGCATGAACAGCATGAACATAAACCACCCTAACCCTAAAATATCAATCAGAGTTATGCCCACATAAAAGCAATTGAAGTGCAACGATAATGTGGTGGTGCTTCACAATGGATGGCAGACACAGAGGTACCTTTCTAAAGCACTTGAAGTTGATCACTTTCTGCTCCGGTGCACACCCCACATAATCAGGCGCCACAACATCTCTGACTATTAGGGATTGGCTGTAAATAACATCTGACTTCTCATAATTTCCAGGTTCAGGCTCGTCATCTTTGCTCAGGTTGATGATGCGGCTATCTCCAACTTTGGTGCTCGTGAACTCGGCTCTAACTGATGTGTCACGTTGCCAGCCCTGCATCCCTCCATCTTCTCGTTTATTAGCATTTTCAACTTTAGTAGCAGCAGAAACATGATCGGATGTCGCAGTGTCATTCTCCAAGTCTGATTCTGCTACAATGGTTTCATCGGTGGAGTGGGATGATGGAACAGAGACTGCGGTATTCCAGGTAAGAAGAATATTAATATCCCATGGACATCAGATGATATAAATATGGAATAAAAATAGAACTAAATGGGCAAATAAAAGTACACGAAGAATGAAGATACTCTCATTGTCGTATTTTGTTCTATGGTAAATGCTCATTATCGCTCATCACAATAATGGCATCACAACAGTCCTAAATCATCTATTATCTGAATATGAGACCAAAAAACCTATTACCTGAGCTGGGCATGCTTCGTGCATACTTACATGAATGTTCCTCGAAGGCAGACGGTTCCAGATTTCCTGATAAAATAGCAGCAACTAACTTGGCCTCCGTTATTCTGGGTAGAGATGTGAAGTGATTGAGGAACCCAAGTTCATTTGCTGACCCTTCAGGAATCACAAGAACCATCTGCTTGTTTCCTCCATCTGCAGGGTCCTAGATAAGGAATAAACCACACTAACAATTCAACTGTAGTCCCAGACAAAAAACCATCTGTTATTGCGATAACGATATACAAAAAACCCGATGTCATGAATAAACAGAACAAATTTCGGGGGTAAAACTTGAGAAATTTTCCAAGAACCATAATGAGGATTGTGAAAATCAAGATGAAGCGGGTAATTTCCCCATCTTCAACATGCACTGATATTTTAAATGGCTATTCCTTCTACAAGTTGAAGAGATACTAATGCAACCAAAGAAATACCGAGGGAAACCCTGCGTTACCGGATACTAAACGTCTGCTTTTAACTTGGCTAACAAAATTCTACATTGATAAAGCTGATTCTCTATCAATTTATGCTTCTCAGAATGACTAGACAAGCCTTATGTCCGATTGGCTTCAATTAAAAACTTAGTATGGCTAAGCCACATTGGCCCTCTCCTATATAGTGAGTTAAGGCAAGGAAGAGATGACTGTCTGGAGTATTAGAACGGCAAATTGGTGGGAGTGGAAAAGAAACAAAGAAAATGTATGATGACTACCAGAAGGAAATCAGTGAGAATTTGGAAGTACGTAAAAAGACCTAGCAAGGATCTTAGCAGAACCTTTATACTTGAAGAAAATTCCCGAACATGATGAACGTTTCCTCCAACAAGTTGTATTAACAAAGGCAATTTGCTCCCAAATTTGTACTGCATTGATACGATATATGTAAGGAAAGGAAGTTGAGAAACTAGACTCTAGTACATCATGAACATTACCGGGTGCGACTGTGCCAAGACAAAGGCGTATCTTTGCAGACAGTTCTCTCGAGCTGCAGGTTCAACGACTTTAACAGGCTTTCCATCAAGCATCAAGCTTGGCAAATGGCTAGCATATTAAGCAAAATTAAAAATTGTCACTTTTAAGTTCGAAACATAGTTGATGCATGAAAAGATGTAGACTAAGATACGATGTTACGAATTATGAACTATTCTAAAAGCAGACTCTTACTTGGCAAAGCTTGGAAGTTCGGTACGGATGTTTTTCTCTCCAAGATTCTGAAAGAGGGCATGAGTGAGTAACGCAGAAAATTCTCGAGATTATCTCAATGTAAAAACACGAAATGCAGGTATAGAATAGCACATCGACGAGGTGAAGTTACTACTCAGTTAACGATGTCAATGTAATTTCTTTTTCACAGAAAAAGATGTCTCAAATTAGGCAATGACGTAATATGCATGAAGTGTGAAGTAGAAATGGCAAGATTCTCATTTATGACCAAAATGCTCCTGAAGAATTGTAAGTCATAGTCATTGTTTATTAAGACCACTGGACAACAGCATCAGTCTATTAGCTATTGAATACAGTGCCCAGACCACAATGAGATAATCAAAGAAAGTACTTAAGAGAGCATTCACCAAGAGTAAAATAGCAAGAAGAAAGGGGGGCTAATAAAATCACTGTTCATGTAAATCTGACGATCATATGTTAAACTTTACAATTTTCTTGGAACTACACACATTATAGGAAACTAAACAGTGTAAATTAGACGCATTAATGATGGGGATAGGAGTACATATGTCAAAAAGAAAGATATGCAGAAGGCGGTAAAACACTTCGGAAATGAATTGGAAGAGAGCTTAGGCGGTGACCTAAGGTAGATCGAATGGGTTTGAACATTAACACCCAACCTGACATTGAAACATTACAGAATTACATTCTGTTCGGCGGTTTACCTACGATTTGAGTTTTATTACAAACTAATAACCTATAGGATCTTGTCGAGTTATAGCATAACCAGTTTTAAGGAGATCAACATGTGGGAGTACGGTGTTTGTTTCCCAGATAGTAAACTCACCCTGGTGCGAAATTTCTGGGAGTACAAGTAGCTTTTATCCTGAGACTTGTTAACTAGGGTTCAGTATATTTAAAAGCGCAGCTGCTTTCTAAAATTATATAACTCTTTCTCTAAACACAGAACTCCGCATGACTATGGGTGTCTGGATAATTCAAACAGCATAAAATGTCTGAATAAAGAGCATCTGCATTTAATCTCATCTTCTCCAATCATCCATTTTCTTCATTGCCACCAACATGTCATGGGACAGTTTTGACTCTGGGACTACAAATACGAACTTCATTATAAAATCTAACAAGATGCCAGGTTTGTAAAAAGGTATAATAGTTACAGTCATTATCAAAAAAAAGCAAGCGATTTGCACGTGTGATGCTTTTAAAATCTAAAACATAGATGTCATACTTGACTATAAGGCTTAATATCCGTTTGATTGCAACACATTACACGATCCACAACGTGCAATGGGAACTGTCCATGAAAACGTACAATGTACCATAGGGGCTCAGAGTAAAAGGACAGGAGGATAACGAACAATTTCAGGTGCATGGAGTTAGATATTTACAAGGGAGAGATGGAAATGGACGCAATTCTGTGAGTAAATATGTAGGCACAAACATAAAATTCGCATTAAGAACAAACGAATTTGTCACAGAAAAAACCATGACACCAAATTACAGGTTTCATTACATATTTGTTGTCCAAGATAAAAAGCACAAGGTAAAAAACCTCATTCGGTACAAAAATGAATGAAATATTGGGGAGATTGATTCATTAGCATCTTAATATACCTTGATTTCTGAAATGCCAAAAAAAGAGAACCTCGTTCAAAATGGATTCAATTTTAAAATATTCTAGATGGCGGCCATTGACATATCCTCTTTAACTAACTGTAAAGTATAACGATGATAAACAACAATGGAAGGAAAATGATACCATAAGCCAAGTGCCACGGATGACAGGTTTTCGTTCTACTATTGCACCGATAAGATCGGCCATTACTGGTGTTGATTCCTCAACTATCACGTGCGTACACTGAGGGCTGTAGTGATGAGTAAGGATTGAACCTAAACAAAACTATTCAATTCCTGGATAAATAAAGTTATTGAACAAAGCAACTAAGACATTCCATCACATGAGAAGTCAAGAAATAAGAAAGGAAAGCGATAAGTAAATAACTCGTGGGAAAAAACAGTTACATATGGGACGCACGCACAAAACATCAGGCTTTTCACTGAGAAGTTCTTGAAAAAAAAATTGGTTCGTCGCTGAGAAGCTGAAGACAAACAGGGGAACGATTCTATCTACGCAATCAAGTTATAAGAATTCTGGTTGGAGAGGGGAAGGGAGAGAGAGAGAGAGAGAGAGAGAGAGAGGGAGTGGAACCCAACAAGTTCATCTGCCATCTATGTGCTTTAATGTTAGAACGAAAGGAAAGATGAAGATGGTAGATGAGCATAAATCGGAGTTTTCGCCTCTTCATCTAATCCATTATTTTTTATTTTATTTTATGGAGTCTCATTGACGCTGGAAAAAAACTAATAAGACTTCAAATTTTCCATGAATCCCTCACAGGGATGATTTCGCTAAACTATATTTTCAGTGTATTTGACTTCATGAGAGCAAGACTGTGGACAGAATTCAATAACAATTTCAACAATTGAAGTTTTACTCAGTACCGAAACAACTTAAAAGATAATATTAGAGTTTCGTGAACAGAACTATTATGAATATAGATAAATAAAATGCGAAAATTTTTCATTCATTTTTACTCCATGAGATGTAAATGTCAAATATTTTATTCATATTCCCCTCCGTTTATCAGTCAATCTGTCATGTTTTTTTCTGATCTGTATTGTTCAGGTAATCACATTTTGATAAGATGACGGTAGAACTTCTAAATTTTTTTAGAATTAATTGAAAACAAAAAGGATAAACGAAGTTTTTCAGGATCATGATCGCAAGTCACCTTTCCTTCATGCACATGAAGATCACAATCTGTCAGGTAATTTGATACTTCTGTTTTCAATTAAAAGCCATCCTTTGGAAGGAAAAACATGTACATGTAAAAGCATGCAACTTTTCATTCGTTTTCCCTGAAACTCTAAAACTTACAAAAATTAGACAAGCCAAATCAAAGGGCGCACAGATGTTAAAGAGATAATTGTAAAGTTAGAAAGCCAACTGGTCAATAAAAGAATAAACGAACTAAAATATCACACAATCAACATTCTTAGTCTTTGTAACCATGAAAGAATAAGGAGATCACACCAACCAATTGATGAAGCAGCTTCTTCAAAGGAGGGATTTGCTTCAAGTGACCTTGGATCGACAAAAGCTATGAAAGGGATAAGGCAGAACCTGAAAAATAGTTCAATTTATTTACAATCAAGAATCTAACAGCCTCCAATTGCTTCCAGTGCTTAGCATATAAATGAAAAGGAAGAAAATATAATTTCTAAAAGGCGAGGCACAGTTGTACCAGGGGTCATTATCTGAAAGTCTACCTTGATGCAAAATAACAACATAAGGGAATTCTTAGAATACCTGAAAGTTGCATTACCCGTTCCAAATGACAGCAAGTCCCCGTCTTTCAGAAGTGCTTCCTTATTTGGAAAGGTGTTTACAGGTTGGCTTCCAGATTCTTTGTTTATAAAGGTGCCAAATTTAGAGTGATCCCTGATACGAGCATATGGGCGGTCGGTGGAAGATCTATTACGTGAGGAATCCCGAGGATGCATAGCATCAATAATAATCTCAGCATGAACACGAGAAACAGCTCTGTCCGTTTGGATAATTACATCACAATCTACAAAAAATAACAGCAGTTAGCTGGCAGAATGCTGCACAGTGTGATACAAAAAGGAGCGACATGAGAAGAGTAGGATTATTTGCATGAAAAATGATCTACTAATTAACGGAAAAGAATTGGATCCAACCCCGGGTAGAGCGAGTAAATGATAGGATCTGGGAATTAGCACATATGAGCAAAGCGCAGCAAAGAACACAACACTTCATAGCTCAAACAAAGGAGTATTAACATAAATGAAAAAAAAATGGAGGTATAAGAGAAGACCAGAGTTTGGATGTCTTCATTATGATCCTCTTCTCCGTGAAAAGCACAGCGAGAGATAAATTCCAATGAAGTTTATGACTGCTTAGAGTCATCTCCAAATAACATTAAGATTGAACTCTTCCCCTCAAACAAAAGTAACAGCGAAGAATCTACAGATAGTAAAAAAACAGCTCGAAATTGAGCTACTTCAGATACTTGGCTTTCCGTTTCATATAGTCATAGGTCGAAGTGTCAGAAGATGAGAATTTCGCAAAGTTACTCACAGACAATGAGCCCTTAAAAACAGCAGCAATACGTCACCAGAAGAATGCCCGTCCCTTTTGCTAGAGTTATACTGAGGACGATAAGAATTTTAATACGAAAGAATCAATTATACGTACCTTTCCGCCCAACCTTATAAGCCCCTTTCGAGAAAATATAGTACTCTTGGGCACCTGCATCCACGACGCCGACGAGCAGAAAACAAAAGGAACTATTAAGGGAAACGAAAATCGACCTTGAAAAAAAGATGCTTCAGAAGGGAAGAATAAAAATCCCATCTACAGTCGCAGGCAAGCACTTAAAGGAAGAAATGGCGATGCAGAACGAAGAGAAAACCTGGAAGAGACTCGAGAGGAAAAAGCCCCCAAACCATCTCTTGGCTCGATATCGTTCGCTGATGCTGTGGTGGCAGTCGATAGGCGGCTCCGGAGTCCGAGGACTTCGAAATGACAATTTAAACGAGGGCGTCCGGAGTACCACCGAGTAGACTCCGGCGAACCCAGACACGTGCCGCAGAAAGCGCACGTGTTTCGGCACTCCCAGTCTTTCCCGCCATGAGAGTCTCGCTCCTCTGCGCTAACGTCCTCCTCCATCTCTGTTTACTTCTCTTCAATGGCAGCGACTCCAGCCCGCCCCCTCGCCTTGCCTCCCAGATCCTTCCTTCCCCCCACCAAACAATGCCGACGGCCGCAGCTTTGAGATGTCGATGGATCATGTGAGGTCAACGGCCTCTTGGACGTCTTCACCCTCCTTGCAGAGTTAAACCCCCGCCTTCTCGTTTCCCTCATCGAGGTTGTGAGGTTGCAGGTAACTTCCGATGATTTTCTTCTGGACATTGTATGTGTAATATGTTGGATCTAATCATTTTGTTCGCTCTTATTTTATTATCGTTCTTGCTGAATCTCCATGAGGAAGACCTTCCATCATAATATTCTTACCACGCCACGAACGACACCAGTCCTGTTCACGCTTGCCCTCTCTATCCTCCGAGTTGACTTCAAGTGAGATCGCAGAAACGCTCGTAGAGATGTCGGGGGTTGTCGCAGAGAACACTGCAGGAGAACGCCTGAAGGAATCAGGAGTTAGCGAAGGAGAAAAGAAAGGCGGATGGAAGAGATAATGGTTTGTTTCAAATTTCAGAAGGATTCCGATCAAAGGGGAAGCTCAACACGACGTTCAAGAACAGAAGCTGCAAATGAAAAGCCAATCCCGCATCAGAGGATCCAGTAACAAGGCTGGAGAAGGGGCAGTGGTGATCCTCTGAGCCACTCTACCCCGTGGCTGGGTTCCTTCATTTTCTACCTATTGATTCGAGTTTGATTTATTTAGTATCTATACATACATGGAATTGCCCTTTCCAAAGTCTATATGCTGAAATCATGGGCCCTGGCGTTCGAAGGTTTTCATCCGCTGAATGAAGAAGACATAGAGAGATCCTCTGAACGTCTTCCACTCGCCGTCACAGAATTTGTTGGTTGAGGCAGGTTCAGGACGAGCACCTTGTCCTTGAGTTTCAGTAATATATTTATTCATTTCTTAAACAAGATGTGAGATGATTTCTGAAACATATCCTGCCCATCCCAGACGATACTGGAGAAATGAAACAGATCTCGGAATGGCTCAGAAATCTTCATCTTTTCTCAGAAACCATCGGTGGGAGCTCTCAATGAGCCGACCGGAGAGATTTGCCCGGGATGGGAATGCGCAGAGAACTTGCCTCTCTGCTGCCATCTCGATATCTTCATTATGTGGTGGCTGCAAGTTACCGGAAGGAACTTACTGTCTATCGACCATACTGCTCCCCGCAATCTTCATCACCCCTCTCTCTTTCAAGAGATTTCGGACCGTGACTACATCATCCCACCTTCTGGCGGCCGCATATATATTCGATAACAGAGCATATCTCCCCCCATGGTTGGGCTCCATCTCAATGAGCTTCTTCCCCAGTTGCTCGCCGAGCTTGTCGTCGCCATGAAGTTTGCATGCGCCAGCCAGAGCACCCAACAGTCCAGCATGCGGCTCAAATGGCATCCCTTCCACGAGAGCTTGCGCCTCCTCGATGAGCCCCGCCCTGCCGAGCAGATCGACCATGCAGCCGTAGTGTTCCGGAAGAGGCCTGATCCCGCACCCTCTGGTCATCAGCTCGAACAGCTTCTGGCCCTCGTCGACCAAGCCAGTGTGGCTACAGGCGGCGAGAACCCCCAGGAAGCTTATGGCGTTCGGCGGTTGACCCAACATGAGCATCTTCCAGAAGAGAATCAACGTCTGCCTCCCGTGCCCGTTCATGGCCAAACCTGCTATGATAGCGTTCCAGGAGTAAATGTTTCGGTAGGGCATCGCGTCGAACGTTGCGAGGGCCCTGGAGATGTCTCCGCACTTGCCGTACATATCGACGAGCGCGGTCCAGAGGGTGACGTTGGGCTCGATACCGTATTCTTCTATGCAACGGTGAACCCACTCGCCTTCTTCCAGCGCTCGCAGCTGCGCGCATGCGGACACTGCACTGACAAGCCCAGGCTCGTTCGGCCTAGCGCCGGCCCCAACCATCTCCTTGAAGATGGCGAGTGCCTCTTTGCAGAGCCCTGACTGGGCGTATCCCGAGATCAGCGCTCCCCATGAGGCCGCATTCCTGTCCGGCATAACGTCGAACAAGTGCCGCGCTTCAGCTGTTCTCCTTCCCCGCGCGTACCCGGCGATCATCGCATTCCAGGAGACCAGGTTCTTGGAGGGCATCCGATCGAAGAACCAGCGCGCGAGGTCTATGGATCCAGAGTTTAGGACCACGTCGGCGGCGTAGGCGCACAGGTCGAACAGTCGGCGAGCGGAGCTCATGTCGCCGCATGAAGAGTACATTGCGATGCCGTTGTTGGCCACAAAGACGTCGGAATCGAAGCCGAACTTCACAACATGGCAGTGGATTGCCCTCCCCAGCTCAACGGAGGACAGAAGGGAGCAGCACCGGATCAGGAAAGGGAAAGTGAATTTGTCCGGCGAGATCCCAAGGCGGAGCATCCGGGGGTAAAGGCGCGCGCCCTCGGCCGGCTCGGCGCTGCGGGAGAAGCCCCTGATCATGGAGTTGTGCATGGAGGCTGTTGGCCGCTCGACGACGGTGAAGATGGACTTGGCGTAGCGGAGATCGCCATGGCTCGAGACGGCACAGAAGGCCAACAGCCTAGAGACGGTGAAGAGGTCTTTGGCCCGCCCGCTGGTTATGACGTGTGCGTGACCCACCCTCAGCTCCAACATGGACTGAAAAGCGGCTAGGGATTGGGAGAGGTCCGGGTGGTGGAGAAGCTCCAGCTTTGCGGCTAGCCGACCGCCGGCCGCCATCTCTCCGTAGTTGTCAGCTTCTCTGCAACTCAGCTTCAGGATCTAACAGGACTGTGGCTCCCAAGAAGAAGCGCAGCCAGCCGTCGGGCCGAGTACAGGATTGCGGCGCATGAGAGCTGGCCCGCACGCGGCGCTGAGTTGCTCCTCAGCGGAGCACCCTTTGCATGCGCTGCTCAAATCATGCAGGAGCATCAGGCAGCTCAAGGAGGCCCACGCTCACGTCATAAAGGAAGACCCGTTGCCCTTCGACGGCTCCGCCGCCAGCTTCCTGCTCTCGGCATACGCGGTCTCTCCCCATGGGAACGTTGATTACGCCCTGTCGATCTTCGGCCGTGTTCAAAAGCAAAGCATCTTCCTATGGAACTCCGTCATACGAGGGCTCTCTACGGGCAGGAAGCCGGAGGATGCCGTGCTCTTCTTCGCCGACATGCTCCGGGGGGGATTGCGGCCGAACAACTACACCTTCCCGTTCCTGATCAAAGCTTGCACGGAGGCCTCTCTGATCCGATGCGGAGTCTCCGTCCACAGTCTCGTCGTCAAGAACGGGCTAGAGTCGGATACCTACATACGGAGTACTCTGATTCGCCTCTACGGGGGCGGCAAGGACCTGGGCGGTGCGCGAAAGCTGTTCGACGAATGTTCCGACGGAGACGTGGTCTCTTGGAATTCCATGATCGACGGGTACGTCAAATGCGGAGAGCTCGACCTTGCGCGCTCCGTCTTCGACAGGATGATCTCCAGGGATATCATCTCCTGGAACACGATAATCAATGGCTATGGCCTCCTCGGAGATCTGAGGGAGGCCCGGAATCTGTTCGAGCAAATGCCGCGCCGCAACGTGGTCTCCTGGAACTCCATCCTCGCCGGTCACGCCAAGTGTGGTGACGTCGACGGCGCTCGCAAGATATTCGGGGAGATGCCTCAGAGGGATGTCGTGTCCTGGAACGCGATGCTGGCTTGCTACGCGCAAAGCGGGCGGCCCGGTGAAGCCCTCGAGCTCTTCAACCTGATGCGCCGTGAGAAGGTAAAGCCGACCGACGCGACGATCGTCAGCCTGCTCTCGGCGTGCGTCCACCTGGGAGCGCTGGAGCAGGGACAGGTCATTGAAGCCTACATGAGAGACAACGGCATAGATATCAACACCATCCTGGGCACCGCTCTCGTCGACATGTACGGCAAATGTGGGGACATCCGGCGCGCGGAGGAGATCTTTCGAGCTCTCGAGCAAAAGGACGTGCTCGCGTGGAACACCATCATCGCCGGCATGTCTATGCACGGGCATGCACGCGAAGCACTCGGGGTTTTCGAGGAGATGGCGGCGAACGGCCCCGCGCCAGATGATATCACCTTTGTTGCAGTCCTCAGCGCGTGTAGCCACTCGGGCATGGTGGACAGGGGCCGACAGCTGCTGAACTTAATGGAGACGACCTACGGGATCGACCCGAAGGTGGAGCACTACGGATGCCTCATCGACCTTCTTGCTCGAGCAGGGTTGCTGGAAGAAGCTCTGGATGTGATAGGGAGCATGCCGATGGCGCCCAATCCCGAAGCCTGGGGAGCGTTACTCGGAGGGTGCAGGATCCACGGGAACGTCGATGTAGGGGAGGCCGCAGGGAGGCGCCTTCTCAAGCTTCAGCCCGAGCACAGTGGTCGGTAAGTAGCGGAAAAAGCCGCCGGTGCTGTCCTCCTCCCCCTCCTTTGGTTCTGACTGTGGGACCTCCCATTCTCGACAGTTATGTCTTGCTGTCGAACATATATGCGGCTGCGAGGAGATGGGACGAGGCCAGAAAGGTGAGGCAGCTGATGGATGCGAGAGGCGTGGTGAAGTCCCCTGGCGTGAGCATGTTGGAATCGGACGGTGTGGTGCACCAGTTTGTGGTCAGCGATCGGTCGCACCCAGAGGCTGATGCCATCCGCGAGAAGCTCTCGGAGATGTGCAGAAGGCTGAAGGTCGAGGTCGGGTACTCCCCCCACACCGATCAGGTGATGTTCGACGTAGAAGAGGAGGAGAAGGAGCACGCGCTGGTCGTCCACAGTGAGAAGCTGGCCGTCGCGTTCGGCTTGCTGGTCGTGAAACCAGGCGCCGCCATCAGGGTGGTGAAGAACCTCCGGATCTGCGGAGATTGCCATCACTTCATGAAGCTCGTCTCCAGTGTCTATGGCCGAGAGATAATTATGAGGGACCGGAATCGCTTCCACCGGTTCTCCAGCGGGAGATGCTCTTGTGTGGACTATTGGTGAAGTTTCAATGGAGGACGAGACGAGCTGCTAATTGAAGGAGATTCATGAATCAGGTTCACCCACTCGACTTCTCGTCGTCTTCGTCGTCAAGCTGTGGATGATCGATCTCTGCTTTCATTTGCTTAGCCATGGAACACAGAAGCATATGGATTTCCGCTGAAGAAGGGTGTCCCCGATCATGGGCGGTGAATCCGTGGACTGTCCCGTCGACCTCGACCGAGCTGAAGCCTGGTGCCTTCCTAACGCCTCTCTTCTCCATGGCGCGTCTCATGCTTCTGGCTTCGTCCCACCGCCTGCCGACGGCGTAGACATTGGACAAGCCGACGTATCTCCCATCGTGCTCGGGCTCCAGCTCAATGAGTTTCTTCCCCACGGCCTCCCCAAGCTCCACCCACCCGTGGGTTTGGCAGCCGCTGAGCAAGGCGCCGAGCACGGAGGCGCTCGGCTCCATCGGCATGGCCTCCACGAAGCTTAGCGCCTCCTCGACGCGGCCGGACCGCCCGAGGACGTCGACCATGCAGGCGTAGTGCTCGATCTGAGGGGCACGCAGGGATCTGAAGAAACTCCCAGCCTTCTCCACCAACCCGCCATGGGCGCAGGCGCTCAGCAAGCCCAGGTAAGTGATCTCATCCGGCTTCACGCCCACCGCCTGCATCTCCCCGAACAGCTCCAGCGACTGCCTGCTCAAGCCATGCAGTGCCAGACCTCCGATCATCGCGTTCCAGATGAGAACGTCGGTTTTGTTCGCCGGGACGGCGCGGAAGACGGCCAGCGCTTCCTCCATTGCTCCGCACTTTGCGTACATGTCCACCAGGGAAGTGGCCAGAGGCAGGCTCAGCGGCAGGTTCTCGGCCTCCACGAAGCCGTGCATCCTCCTGCCGAGGTCAAGGGCCCCCAGGTGGGCGCAGGCGCAGAGAACGCTCACCATCGTCACCGTGTTCGGCCCGGCCCCGTCGCCTCGCATGGCGCCGAACAATGTCAGCGCCTCCCGGTACTCCCCTGCCTTCACGTACCCGTCGATCAGCGCGCTCCAAGACACAACGTCGCGGCGCGGCATCCGGTCGAACACGGCGCGTGCGGCCACCATGTCGCCGCACTTGGCGTAACCGTCCAACATGGAGTTCCATGAGACCATGTTCGGCGCCGGTATTTCCTCGAACACCCTCCGGGCGGCGCCGATGTCGCCGCAAGCGGAGTACATGTGCAGCAGCGAGTTCTGAACGTAGCCGTCGGCGCCGAGGCCGCCCTTGGCGGTGTGGCCGTGCACGGCGGAGCCAAGGAGGAGAGACGAGAGCCGCGCGCAGGCCCTCGCCAGGAAGGGGAAGGTCAGGTTGTCCGGGCGCGCCCCCTCCCGCAGCATCTCCACGTAAAGGGACATGGCGCGGTTAGGGTTGGAGCCCCTCGAGAATCCCCTGATGAGGGTGTTCCAGACGAAGGTGCTCGGGCTGGGGAGGCAGCGGAAGACCCGGTACGAGTAGTTGACGTCGCCGGCGTCCGACACGGCGGAGAACAAGAGGACCTTCGAGACGAGGAAGCTGTCCCGGAGAAGACCCACGACGGCAATGCGGGCAAGAATCTGCCTCAGCTCTCCCATGGACCTGCAGTGGTCGAGGAGTCCGACCAGGTGCTCGACTGGGCCGCATGCCTTGGTGGGAGATCTTCCTCCGGTCCACATTCCGCAGCGCACGCGGCCGGAGGGAATACCTTCTCATGGTCTTCCTCTTCGGGGAAGGTTTCCCCAGCGTTCACACCACCGCCGGTACCAGGGAGAGTAAAGAACATACATATAGAGATAGACTCAGAGAGAGAGAGAAGAGGCAGGTAACCAGGAAAAGAATGAACCCAGCAACCGTGGTTGAATAGCAGGTTAAAGAGCAGGTTTTGTACAAATTCTTTCATGTGAGTGCCCCGGTGGGCCACAAGTCAGGGCACAACATTAACCAGGAGACCCGAAGGGTGAGAAGTATTTTTAGAGTGTGGGGAGACGATACCAGACGACATCAGCAGAAACAAGTAAAAAAGATCAGCTCTAACCTGATTTTGCTGTGGCATCCGATGTTCAGCCGGCGGAGGGGAAGGAAAACCTCCACAGTGACCACAGAGGCAGGGGTGATGGACTAACCAGTCCAGTAGTGGCTCACTAGAGCAAGAACCAACGGAAAGCAACTCAAATGTCCGAGTTTACTGTTTGTTGCTTCATGAAGAATTTCAGGCCAACTGCTTACCATCCAAACATAAAGAAGCAGAGATCATAACGATGGAGATTCTCTCTGGATACTTCCCTCGCAAAATCTCCATGATCCATCATGATTTTTCTTCAGAATATAAAGGATTTTGTACGAGCTGCAAAGAGCATTGAAAGCAAGTTGATGACTAGGCAGCCGTCAAAATGGCAAATCAGGCGGCAGTACCTTGGTTTCAATATCTAACCTGTAGTAATTAGAGCTCTTGGGCTGGGCTGCATCAACAAGCTCTGCTGCTTCTTCGAGCGCTGCTTCAATCTCAGCCACCTCTCCACCAACTCCGTCCGATAAAATTTCAGCACGCAGGATGGATAGCTGTAACAGAACAACTCTCCAAAAACATGACCTTGCTTTTGCAGAATTCGCCAGACCTTTCCACTGTCCCAGTAGCAAAGGCATCAAATTACTACTATGAATCACCACCGTGTTTTAATCCAGCATTAATTGTCGACCTACAAAATCTCTAAAACTTACCTGTGAGAGCATTGCTTCGGCGAGAATATCAGAGAGGATCTCGACCTGGTGACAGGATCCCAAAGCCTCAGCTTTGATTGCTTGCCATTTTCTCAGAAGGGCTTCTGCTTCTTCCAGAGGCATCTGCCTTCTGTGGATCATGCCACCAACAGCAGCAGATGCCGTGGGCAAATTGAAATGAATATCAGGAGACCAAGAGTTCTCCACAATTCCAACGTCAGTTGGGTGCAGCTGCTGCTGGGACATTTTCAAGAGTTCCCCGAGCTTCTGAGCTAAATTACCACGGACACCATTATCAGGTCTGATCTTTGGATCTGTGTCGCCCACAAGCCGAGAAGACATACTCGCTTTCCCAGTGGCACAAGTATCGTTCAATATAGTTGGAGGTCTTGTCCGCCAAAATTTCATGCTGAACAGCCGGAGCGCGGAAAATACAATGCAACCCAGCACTGCCACACAAGCAATTGCGCCGGGTGTTTTTTCCCTGCCCCACCAGCCTTCCAAGGTTCTTCTGTGACGCACTCCAAGGCTTGATTTTCGTTGAACAGATTGATTGTCAGTACTATAGCCAGAATTATCATCCGTAAGCTGCTTCCCTATGTTAGATGGAGCCAGTTGCTTCACAGCTTCTCCCATCTGTCTTGTAGAGTTCAGCTGCGTAGTATCCTCGAGAGATTTTTTATTAAGAGAGAAATAAGGAGACGATCTATGGCTCATATCTGGGTTTGGTTTGGCAGTTCCTTTATGGTAGTTAATTCCTCCTAGTATCCGCTTTTGGGGCCCAAAAAAATTCGCCTGCAATATACGACAGGATGAGGTTTCTCCTCAGAAAATAACTGCTTAGGGATATGAGTAAACTACACTCACAAGTGATGGAGGGCAATCCCGTGTGTCTGGAAACACACTTAGCACAGAATCCTTCAGCCATATTTCCTGGTCAATATCAGCATGTCATCTGGGATAAGACAATCTAAGGCAGGAAACCAGCCTACTAGAAATTATTTTAAGATAAGAAACATGTTACCTCAAGATAAGTATCATTATGCATATGAAGTCTTAAACGTAACAACATTGGAAAGGGAGGAATTCAAATTTATGTATGCATTCTGCTTACCTTAATCGTCATTCTATTAATAAAACCTTATCAAGCCCAGGAAATTTCCGAGGTTAGAAGGTTGTAATATCAGATATGCACATGGCAGGTTTCAAGACGAAGAAAGAAAAAAATTTAAAACCTAGTACGTTTTTCCATGCACCCTACCAGTTCCCTATGATCTCTGCTGAACGGACTCCACTTTTGAGTAGCCTTCTATGACTGTCTAATATTTTTAGGGGACTTTCAACAAAGGTAATAGCCGCCTCTTTGTAGTCCTCCAAGCCTATAAAAAACTCCTGCATGATTCCCCTCATGTGAAGCGAAGTTATGTCTGATCCCTCATTCTCCCCAGCCACCAGATTATCAGGCTACCATTTCTTGAAAGTAACTTAATATTTCTCTCATTTATCTCATTGAACTTGCAAATTTCTTGCCCTTAAGGATCAAAAACAAACTCTGCATGCCACTCTCAACTTTTTTGTGATCCACCAGTGAAAAACGGAAACAAAATGTTAATAGGCCTCATTTGACCCTGATGACGACCTTGCGTCAGTAGATACCAAGGATATAGATTAGAAGCCATGCAAAATTTAACCAGGTCTTCCCGTAAACATTCGATAAAATAAAAATAATAATGTGTTCATCAGATTCTAATCAATTTTATTTATCCCCTAAATGGATTTATTTTATTTTATTTTCACAGCAGGTGGAGCAGCCATTGATGTTTGGAAAAATAAGTGTTATTTTCCTATTATGACAAAAATATGAATGTTGTAATCAGGCAACGAATAGAATTTACCATAAGAACATCAAATAGAATTTATATAGCTAGCCAGCATCCAGATCTGGAAGATTTTTCCATGAACATATTAGATACATGCTAGGATCCTGAGTTACAAATCAAGTTGAATCCGGATAAGATGAGACGAGGGTCCAAAAGACGACGAGAACAATGATTTAGAAACACATGGATCCCTAGCCATGATATTAAAAATAATGGAGAAAATGTACACAAGAATAGAACAGCATACCACTGACTGATTTATGCCAGTTTTTCCATTGGTTTCTTTACTTGAACTTTTCACTTCAACATTCCGTGATACTGAACTCCCATTGGATTGAAGCTGATGAAGCTCTTCAACAGCAGCGGTTTCGATTCCCTGATCATCTAAATTTAGGCTTTCCCAAGGTTATTATATGAAAAAAAAAATCATTTGCTACCTGCCCAAGCAGCAGAGAACAGAATGCTTCTTCAAACTTCAAATCTGTACCCTCTGAAGCGACCAAACATTCACAGATTTTCATTGCTTTACCGATCTGCATTTTATAAGCGTCAAAGTTAAATGAAGTAGGGAAAAAGCTTATCGACAAATAACCTAACATCAGCGCTCACCAAATCCTTTTGTCTGGTCGAAAAACCCAGTGCAACATGAGCAATCATAACCACATAAAAACAATTAAAATCGATTATAATTCTTTGGTTCTGAGACTCGAGCGATTTCTTGTTCTTGCGGGTAGTAGCCAAGACATCCCAGGGAAGAAGATCCACTATTTCCGCAGCCATCAGCCTATTCAATGCTTGAAGCAAGAAACACGGCCAATCCTGAACTCTACAGGAAGTCTCAACTTCGAGTCCTTGTCTAAGAAGTTCTTGCAAAGCAGCAATTGCTCCTCGTCTTCGTTCACCATTCTCAGGTATCTGAGGCATGCTAAGTAGCTCAAGAGTGCAAGCAGGCGCAAGCTCCTCTAAGGATTCCTCAATCTGGAAACATCCCAATCAAGAAAGAATCAAGAAATTCTCCATGAGAAACATATAATTCCAAATGAGGCACTTGCCTGTGATAGTAAAGGCAGCTTTTCCAAGGAACTTTTGCTTCTTAGAAGGTACTGAGATCGAGCAAGGGCTTCAAACCCTTGGGATACTTTGTTCGTCTCGAACGCAATCTTAGCAATTGAGCACTTCAAACAATATAATTGGCGTGAGTGGACGGTGGAGATGAAACGGTAATTGACAAGCTGCTTCAAAGAAATATTCCTTACTTCAGCTAGTGCCATTGACAGAAGCAGATCGTGAACATATAACTTGGAACCTTGATGCTGCAAAGCTACTCTGCCAATTTCAAGGACCAGTTTATCTTCACCAACCTACACCAGCAATTCAGATTTCATGCCCTCTACAAAGAAGAGAAACATAAAGAATTTATCTTCACCAACCTACACCAGCAATTCAGATTTCATGTATCCTGTACAAAGAGAGAAACATAAAGAATAGGCTCTACAAATGAAAGAGAAAAAATGTTAATTGGTTCGAAAGAGATTGAAAAGGTTGTCATACAACTGCCACAAGAAGACATTGGTGGTGCATGCAAAGCATAGATATTCATATAAACCTTTGATCACAGAGTATGCTAGAATAGTGATTAGTTAACCCAATAGGTTCAACCTTATATGGCCCCGGCGTATTTTGACCTCTCTCCAAGACAGAGGAGAGAGAGTCATCTCAATCAAAAATACAATTTAGTTTCCCTCTTTTGAAGCATGAACATGTCTAAATTTATTAAAAGTTATAATAAAGATCTCAAATATATTAAAAGGTACAATGACGCATCAGTCTGATTACCGCTTCTCCATTGAAAAATTGTAGCTACACAAATTAGATCATGGAACTTACCATAACTGGAAAACGCTCAACCTTGGCATATGCAGATAACAAACTTGTGAAATTTTTAAACTTCAGCTAACAAGAGCAGAATACTGCCTTGGAAAAGGAATAGACAATACGGTAACAAAAGCATTGCGTCTAACTTAATGAAAGGAAAACAAATATCATATCATGGGCTTTTAATTATCTACAGGTGAAAACTGTTTGAAGATGAATACCAGAAAATGTGGATTAATTTTCCTGAGAGCATTAATGAAGGAAAATCTGAAACAACTCACACTTTTTTTAACTATTCCATATCCTGATTTTCTTAAATGATAACCCATCACAATTGCATTTCCCGTTTGTTTACTGATAATCCAGAAAGTTGAACTTTTGTTTGATTTCAAGATTCCTCTTCTCTATCCACATTCATATTGAACATTGCCCACTTTTTTACCTTGCCTTATAGGATAAATGACCTGATAGAAAGCATGCACTGCGTGGAATGAAAATGTTTATTTAACAATGTTTATATTTTGAAAAAAAGAAGATATACTTATTTCAACAGATTAAAGTGACAATGCGTACCAAATATTTTAGGTTCAAAATTTAAATAAACTTAAAATTTTCTGCCGTAACATAGAATATATATTCAAATATATCTGATGATCTTCTCTGAAAATGAAGGAAATATATGAAATGCAGTGATGTTTCCTATGCTTAAAACTTTTCTTGTATTGAAAATTCGTCATTAGCTAAGTTGAAGATTTCGTACTTCATTCAGATTATCAACAAATGGAGGGTGACATCATGATATGTCCAAGCAAGAAGCCAACAAATGCTCACTGACTAGTTAAAAAGGAGACAAATGGAATTATAGGCATGAAGTCCAGCAAGGAGGATAAGTATTTCGAAACAAGTGAAGAAAGTATCATGGCAAGGTACTGAATCCTTTTCAACAGCATTAAAATTCATCTTTGAGACCAAAAAGAGAAAAGGGTAAGGGTTTAAAAAAAATTGTCCTTTTAGAGAACAAAAACATTTAGCAATAATTATTCAAAACAGATGTCTCCAGTAGAAAAAAACATTCTCTCTCAATATAAAATATTTTATTTTATTTCTCCGGTCTGGCTGGTTCCTAGCTGGGCCGTTAGTTTTTTTTTGCTCCCATGAATCATTCATCAATCGATTAACTTGGATACTTTTTTATTGTATTGGAATTTGAAACTCATTTTTTTTTTAAGCTGCAAGAACGACAATACAATGAACAAGGGAAATTTAGATTCCTATTACTAGCGTAGCATTTACTCTATTAACAAGGTAGAAGCTTTTAACTATCACGCATTCGCTCCATTCTCTAAAAAAAATTAAGCTTCAAAAACCCAAGATTCTCTAAAAAGATTGCTTAAAAAAGACAAGCAGAGATTCGAGAAGCACCTCTAGCAAAAGACATAAAGCAGCAGGAAGCCACCCCCATGGAATACGAAGAGAAGCCTTTGGAGGAACTTTTTCTTTTATACTGCCAGCATACTCTGGTTCAAAAAGAAGCTTATCCCTAACGTCCGTCAAAAGGTCCTATAAACGCAGGAAACAAAAAAATATATTCATGACATCTTTGCCAAGATCCTATTGCTCGTCATGAACACAATCATGATATCACAAAGAGAGAATTTTTGAGACCTGACGGGAATGAATGACATCCATCGTATATCCATCTTCAATCTCAGAACCCTTCAGCTCCATCACTGTCTTAACAACCTCATCCTTCTCTGCCTTTTCAGAAACACCTATAATCTGCACGTTAAATATTAGTAATTGAACGTACATGAAACAAAAACATCCAATGATCTTCTCTCCACGTTCTGTCAGAAATGGTGTACTTTCATTTAAGCCCGAACATTCTTGGAAGTGACAGCATTATCAGATTTCTTGGTGAATCCAGACCTACTCAAGGACAGAAACATTTGGAGCAAAAACAGACACGATAGAAAGATATAGGAGAAGTGACTGAAGAATTTGACGATGCGAAAAGGGTATTTAAGGTTGGCGGTACCTTTCTGGCGAACTGAGCAGAAAGCTAAGGCATGCAGGAAGGATGTTCGAATATAATGATACTGGGATCTTACCCCTGGAAAGAGACACGGTTCCATTATTTCAAAAGGTCTGAGAACTAGTTCGACTTATAGTTTCCCTCTATGACATCTTGACCCCATGACCAACAGTTCTAGACCAGTCTGAGAAATATTGCGTAAAATTTTCAACCTTCGAATCCTGTGTAGAAGTAATATCCTTTGAGTGTGTGAGTAATGCTACCCACCCAACGAACTCACTCTTGCCACGCTTTTTACCCATAAGAGGGTAAGATACGTTAAAGTAATCTAACATTGATTCGAATCGTAAGGATCCTGGGGAAGGTATGTCTACTGGTGTCGAACATTGAGCCTCTTTTGGAAAAGGGTAAATCGGCATTGAGACAGGGGGAGCTTGAGTTTTGGAAAAGGGCACTCGTGGAGTATTAAACTGCTGAAGAACATGCATCTCCGCGTTCTATTCGGCACATTAACTATCTATTCACCGATCAGGGCAACAGATTTTTAAGTAGCAAGTTTATTTATTGAGAGTAATTGAGTATGATGAAGTGCGACTTGACTAGATATTTGGGAACATATGGTGCGGGGGCCTTCATTCATACCTCGTTTTATTCAAAACCAATAAAAACAGAAATAAATAACCAGAAATGTTTCGATGCTACAACAAGTGGGAGGTGGGTGTCATCCTATGACTTCATTAGGGCATAAGATCAACGTAGCTGAGGGAGATGTGAATGATATTCAAACGCTTCTTCACCCTTGGAGGCCTGATTTATCATCCCTTGTTGATTAGATAGCTTCTCATTCAAGTTAACTCCCACATCCACGAATGAAGGTTTGGATTTCGAAGATCCTACTTGTATATAATAGATAGCCTGGTTTCATCTTCAATACGTCAATGAGCAGTCACCTATGTGGTGGGGAAAGAAATCATTTAAGATTATGTTCATTGACTCGTAGAAATACTAGCTCTCATAGAAAGCACGTGTAAGCTGGTAAACGCAGTTTATCTCAAACATTTTCTCGCCGTGAGATGGTGTTTAAAGTAGAAAGGAAAGGTGTGGACGATACTGCTTCAGGCTACCATCAAAGTGCTTCAGACGGAGAACAAGCTCACAGCACTACATGGGATCCAAAAGATATAGGAGGTCACCATTATCAATACGAGTTCACAGGTGAACGGAGGTCCAACCTGATAACAGGTGACGGGGATCTCCACGCTTGCGCGAGCCTGACCATTCTCCACGACAGGCGAGTTCGAAAGCTCCAGCCTCCCGCGTACCGCAACCGCACGCGGCTGGCCGCCCTCAGAAACCCTCTTCGAATAACCATCAGCTCTACCGTTTCCCGCACAAAGCAGGGAAGCTGCGGAGTTGACAAACGCAAAAGCCCTCCGTCGCCCCTCCGCATCGCGTTTCCCACAGAAACCACACGGCCGAGGCGGACAGAGCGCAGGGTTAGCCAATGCCATGTGTAACAACGGATGCAATCAATCCGCTCCCCAGCCCCGACAAATCCCCGCCACCAACGCGCCACCCATAGCCGCACGACTACAGGATTGAAACATGGACGGATTAGAAACTGGCGTACGATGGAAAGAGGGAAATAATACCAACCAATGCCGTGGCCGACGCTGAAGTCCTCCCTCAGCCGCGGTGTCGGAGGCTGCCAACAAGCGGAGGAGGAAGCGGGGAAAGAGAGTGAAAGGCCAGAGCAGCGCTGCGGGACGAGAAAGAAAGACGGGACAGTCCATCTGACGGTCTGCGACAAGACCGTTTCAATCGGACGGACAACATCCCACGACCCAGACTCCTGCATCTAAACTAATTCTTCCATTCAATTGATTACTCTGCTGACGTATGATGTAACTCGGGTCTCCCTAACGGTCATTAGCCTGTATCGGTAACCGTTGTAGCCGTAGGTAATCAGACTCTGGCACGCGACCTTTGGCAGCAATGACCGCCTTTAGTTCCGTGAGATTGCTTCGTATCAGAGCCAAAGCATATAAGCTCCTTGAAAACACCAAACCCGTGACAAGGACGAGAAAAAAAGAGTTAATGGATGGAGAAAATAAAAAAAGCCCTTTAAAATCCAAATGTGGCAAGAAAAAACGGTATTAAAAAAAAAAAATTGATAGAGAATCAGCCTAGCAAAAACCACATGTGAATCTTATGCGTGAGTTTTGGGTAGAAAAATGAGTACTGCATACGAGCTATAAATTAATTCCAAATAAAAAGTTTAATGATGAGTTGGTTCTACCAAGGTAAATGGTAAAATGTAGAACATTATAAGCCTGAATGCATGTGGAAGTATGGCTTTGAACATGTGTTAACTTAGGCATCCAATTAATTTTCAACTTAGAAGAAAACAAAAACTTTGGTGCTGACTATTGATTTAAACCCAAATAAATCAGTACATGACTATTGATTCCTGAAAGGAGGGAGTATCAGCCTGTAATTTAACGAGCGAGGAACACTAGATTCGAGTAAAAATTTTATTGCTCGAGGATTCCAAGTACCCATCATGAAAACACTCCTCTTCGATGTCTGATATTAAAATAAAAGAAAGCATATTTACCTCTATTTATCTTCATCTTGATTTCATCGATAGCAAGCCATTGCTCTCGATAGTAAGATTTGAGGTGTTCCATGAAAGCGGGTTTGTAACCAGAGAAAGAGGACTCATTAATCTGCAAATAAAATAGGATGAAACGTGATGATACTCAAGATATAGTTTAATTTGGGACAGCTCCTGGTTAGGGCGTGAGATGGAACCTCAAGGTCATAGATAGAAATTTCACGTATTTTCTCTTCCCTATGGGACTTTTATTCCAGCTTTCCTGTTATCCTTAATTGGCCCAGCATCTCATTGTGATTCCCAACTATATTATGACGGTAATATTTAAATACTTGTAATCTTCGTACTTATGTTGATGACTAAGTAGGAAAGAAAATAATATGAGATTTAGGTTGTGAGCATTTTTGTGACTATGAGATTAGGTGTAAATCCCCTTTTCCCACTTCACTCTATTTCTTGGGCTCCCCTCTATCACTGGCCCCGTTTGTACTCCCTTCCTCGCCTTCTACTTTGCTTAGAAAGTTCCTCCCTCTGTGTAATCCCCCTCTCGTCAACAGACTGCACCCTACTCTGGCGATGGCTCTCTGAAACTCACTGACCTCCTTGGAGGTACGAAGGATAAATGTGGCAATAGAAAGGCCATCATCTCATTTGTAACATCAATTAAAGCGGGTGTTGCATTACGACGGAGCTCCTAATTACCTACGTGAATTGATGTTCACTAAATGCTATTTTTTTTCTCTTTTTTTCATTATTTCTGTCGCATTTTTGCAACTTTGATCAAATAACAGAGAAAAATAATTAAACAAGCAAATAAACAGAGGGATAAATTACTCGATTAGGATTAAAAAGGTAAACCAGAGCAGTGCGACGCAATAATAAAGAAATGTATAGAAAATAAATTTTATGAAGAAAATAAGAACAAAAAAATTTAAAAATGAACGCATTGATATTTTTTTTATAAATATGAAGGCAGAATAAAAAATTTAAAAATGAAGACATTCATAGATTTTTTCAAAATTTCAGAAGAAAAATACAAACTCATTACATACTTTTTTAAATATAATCATAAATAAATAAAAGAATACATTGCATAAACATGCCGGAGTAAAATGAGTTGCATAAACATTGTAAAGAATACGTTGCCTACAGATTTAATAAATAAAAAGTTTATTCCTTTTCAAAGTAATAGTAATATTATAAACAATAAAACACATTATAAAAAGATGAAAATATGGAAAAATCCAAAGAGAGTAAAGGAAATAAAAAGAATATACAAATGGACTAAAAATACAAATGAACGATTACCTTAGAAGGTAATAAACATGTTATAAAGGAAAGGATGTCAAATACAAAAGATTGAAGCACATGTTCAATCTGACGGCGACGGGGGCTTCTCGCGAGCAACCGGCCGGCAGATGTTTCCCGCCGTTGTTTCATAGGACCAAAGCCCGGCTTTCCACGGGTCTGCCCCGGAAGCCCATCTCTCTCTCTCTCTCGCTCGTCCCCCCAGCTCGAAGCTGTGCTGCAATTTCTTGATATGTTTGCGATTATTTCTCAATATATTTACATAATTTCACTAAAACCTAACAATTGTACTCAGATATTTCACTAGGATAGCAATAAACGTAAAGTCCCCCGTCTCCCGGGAGAATCACAGATCGCTGGAGGAGCTCGAAGGGCGGCGACATTTATTCGAGGAGGAGCTTCCTCGAGGAGAGGCACCAACGATCGTAGCAACTCCGAAGATCGGGCCAGTCCGACGCAGAGAAGGTGAAGTCCTCCATCCAGCTTGCGAGTATCAGTTCCTGGTCGTCCCAGGGCAGCCCCTGAATCAGCTCTCCCAGGATAGCTTCCATGTCCCGCTTCTCCCACCCCGTGAGCACGGGGGAGCCCGCGCCGTTGCTGGCGTAGCAGAGGAGGGGAATCCACAAGGCGAGGATCCTGAATCTGACGTCCCTCGGCGCTCCGCCCGGCGTGTGCGCCACCTCCCGGAGAAGCAACGCCGAGATCTTGACCAGGGGGGCCTGGGCGCCGGGATGTGCCGTCAGGGACAGGGCGGCGAGCCTGGTGGCGAGGCTCCACCGCACAACGGCCCCGTCGAGGGCCCCGCAGGCCCTCATCTTGGTCGCTATCCACAGCAGCTCCTGCGCCAGCTTCTCCGACTCCAGGCACTCGCGCCTCCTCCCCGGCGGCGGCGGCGGCAGCCGCTGCGGCCTTTCAGCCACTGCGGAGAGGAGGCCGAGGAGGCCATTGAAGTAGGAGGCAAGGAGAGAACCGAGCGGGAGCCGGCACAGCGCGCGCGAAGGCCACGTAGCGGATGCCTCCTCGGAATCGCGCGATGCCTGGAGGGAGACGCGGAGCCTCTCGCATGTTCGGAAGAAGGCCGAGTAGAGGGCCTCGCGGTTGACCTGCTGGAGAGTTGCGTCGCCGCTGAAGGCGTTTTCGTCGAGGATCCTCTCCGCCGTGCTCACGACAAAATCATACTTCCTGGCGGTGATTGGGACGTCGTTGAGCAGCGAGAGTACCTGCAGGGAAAGATTTGACGAACCATGCGTGGAGAATTTGAAGCAAGAGGATCGGATTGGAACTTTACATGGCACAGAGCCCTTCCGATGGCTCTGGTGGACGGCCCGGCGGCCGAATTCCCAAATCCGCCATGCAAGACCAAGGCTCCCGGCGGGGCCGGAGAAATGTCTCCGGCTTCCGCCGTGACCACACCTCGAGTAGCATCAGAGGGCAGGATACCGAAGGTGGGGAGGTAATCCATCAGGATCCGAATCACCCAGATGGTCACCCACAGTGTTATCATGGTGATGTACCTCAGATGATCCATGGCCTTCCACCTCTCTCCATCATGTCCGGCCACCGTGCTCGAAGACACCACAGCCGAGAGTATCTTCGCCGCGGCGTTCGCGGAGGAGATGAGCAGAGAACCGAGCAGACGAGAGGGGCGCATGACGGAGACACCCCCGGGGGCGAGCCTCGTCTCCATGATCACACTTCCTTCCCGCGGCTGGCGGCGGGCGGTGGGCACGAGGGATGCCTATAAGTACCACCGGGGGATGCCTCGAGGTGTAAAGAAACCGGCGCTGCCTGTCGCCAGCTATCTTCTTCCTGGACTCGTGGGATCTAAAGAGGACGAGGAAGCTGCCACCCGGTTACTCTCTGGTGAAGAGAAATAATCTGTTGCAGAAGCAGACAGCCTTGGAAGCGGCTCTGGCTCTACGCGGCCGACGGGCGTGCGTCTCCCTGTCGACGGTGGCCACCTTCCTACTCGACCTGGCCCAGTGGCTGACGGGCTGGGCTTAGTTAGGACAGTCCGGCCCATAAGTTGTAGGAGCCGGGGACTCGCCGGGTTGACTCGTCAGGGCTGGGGTCTGATTTCCGAGTTCTATAAAACCTTCGTGGGAGAAATGAGTCGCCTTTCCCTTGTACACTGTAAACAAATAAAGAGAGACAGGCCCCGATTGGCGAAGGGGGGAACGAGCGTCTTTCTGTTTTTCCTTGCAGTGGCGGCTGTCAGATCGTGCACGGCAGCCATGAGTCGGCGACAGGCTGCGAAGGCCATCGGCGCGGCGGCAGCGAAGCTGTGCTCACAGCCGAAGCCCCTTCATGCCCCTGCTTCTCTCTCATCGTCGCCCTCTCACTCGCTGTCTTCGCAGTCCCGTCATTTTGCGGCTGCTCCTGCCCCGCCGCCTCCCGTGTTCGTGGACAAGAATACCCGCGTCATATGCCAGGGGATCACCGGCAAGAATGGCACATTCCACACTGAACAGGCCATCGAATATGGCACCAAAATGGTAATGTCTCCTCTTCTCCTTTCATATCCCGGACACTTTTTCGTGGTCTTGCAGTCTTATTTTTTTATCTAGTTTTTTTGTTCATCCTGCATCCTGTGCGCTCGTATTTGGTTTCTGTTAGCCGTCGTATTTTTTTAATTCGATCTTTGGACGGTGGAGAATATAAGAGACGCGTGCTAACTAATGGATTCATTTTGGTTTTTATGATGACCTGTAATGGAGGGGTTGGTTGGTGACGTGTTATTCCTTACACTTGGATGTTTTAAAAAATACTGGGTTGGAAAATACAGCTTGAGTTCACGGCAAACTATAACTTATATGATCCGTGAATGTAACAAATTACCATAATCATAATTTGAAACGGGTTATTCACGCGGTCACTGTTCTTCCTCCGCTTCTTGTTTCTGAGGATATTTGGATGCCATCCATTGGGGATTTACTCTTTAACGTTTTTTAATTCGGCTGATATGATTGTTGCGCATTGCCTGGGTTGTCTGTAAACAATGCTGAACGGTGATGTTCTCGAGTAAATTTCTCGGGACAATGATACCCACTCATTGGAACGTTCTTATCCTCGTCATCTCGTCAGAACTTTCTTGATCTGTCTGTGGTCTTTATTACTTTGCTCACTTTCTGAGTTTTAGTCAAATTGTGCGACAGACGATGAATGAGCTCAGATAACATATGTTGTGTGAAACCTCAAAGTATTTTCTTGTGCGAGTGGCTTTTTTCCATGCATTTACCATATCCTTTATTTGGTCGTCCCTTCTAAACTAAAGGATGAATTTGGCCACACTATTTTCGGAATCTACTGAGTTTGACAGCTCCTTAGATTCAAAGAATCTATGAAGATGAGACATTTAACTTTCTCTTATGTGCTTACATGTTGTGGTATCGGCTTGTGCACCCATGTACTCGGAATGGTCGTGGGAAGGTTTTCTTGCTCCATGGTAGGCGTGCCTCTCAGTTGGAATGGAATTTATGTACTGTGGCTTCAATTCAAGGCCTGACTAGCACATGCCACTGCCAACCAACTGTAAAGTTCACCATTCTTGGTGATGCTAGCTTATCATCATCAACTGAAACGAGAGCCACTCTACCAGCTTCAAGAATTCATTACATTAATCAAGCTGTAACATTTAATATGAACTTCTTTGTACTAGCCCTTTATGAAATCGGAAACATTTAATATAACTTGTGGATTACATAGGTCGCATTTAGTCTTACATGTAATTCGTCAATTTCTTCCAGTTCATTTTTTTGTTAGCTGTCTTGTCTTGTTTAGGTAACTAAATCTTTTCCTCTGATAAAAAAGTACTTGGCCTTCTCAATGTTTCGACATGTTTCTAACTAGTTAATATTTTCTCCATAGGTTGGTGGTGTGACACCAAAGAAAGGTGGAACAGAACATTTGGGGCTTCCTGTTTTCAACTCAGTGGCGGAAGCAAAGGCTGAAACTAAAGCAAATGCATCCGTGATATATGTTCCCCCTCCATTTGCTGCAGCAGCTATTATGGAGGCCATGGAAGCTGAATTGGATCTCATTGTGTGCATCACGGAGGGGATCCCTCAGCATGACATGGTGAGGTTGATAATTTCATGGTTTTTACAGCTCACTGTTGCGTATTATTTATTTTTTACTTAATAGTTATGTGACAGTATGTACTTTTTTTATAATAATTGTAGTTTATCTGAAACGTTTGGAACTATGAATTTTATTACTATGTTTCTATCTTCTTCATTAGCCGAGCACTGGTGCAGTTGTCAAAAAAGAAGGGCAGTCCCTGTTTCTATCAATCTCTATTATCGGGATTTCACATTGGTCTGTCGCTTGTGCCTTACTCTAGAAGAGGTAATATTCGACCCATGTCAGTAGGATACATCAGGGTGGCAACAAGAGAGTGGTCGGAGTTCCACTATGAAGTTTGTTTATGATCGACACGCTAATGTGGATGGCTGGGTTAGTCGAGCCCTAGTGCAGTAAGATTAGATGCCATTGATTTTTGTTATGTGCTGACTTTCTGTTTTAGCTAGAAGTCACAAACAACGGGCACCAGAAGTTTCCAGGATGGAATTAGGAATATCACTACAATGGCAGCCGTGGACTGGAATATTGTGAACAGATTGAAAAACCGTCAACTAAATGCCATCTTTTTCATTGGATGCCTCAATTGAACAATTTCAATACGTAAACTATGTCATTAGATGTCTAGTGCTTTGGAGATAAATTGTAATATTTTTATTAGGGACCTCAGATCGCTTATTCCTTGTAAGGGGGATGCTAAGCCAAAGGTGCTGTCCCTCAGAGATTGGACTGACTTTTGATAGAAGTTTGGCAACCTTTGACAAGGTGGAGAGTAGGGTCTTCTATTGTAATAATACCATGATGCTCTCTTTCATGTAGTGGCATTTTTCGACCTGATCAGGAAATCGAAGACTAATGCAAAGACAACGTCCATCTACATGGAATGACCCAAAATGTAGTTTCTCCGTTCAGTTGGTCTCCTTATCCAATATTGGATTCAGTTGGATCCTTTAAGCCCTGTCAATTCCGTTAAAGGTGAAGTTCCTGATGTGGAGCTATACTCATACGAAGTTGCTTACATGTGATCTTTATGTATCCCATATGGAGCGTATCAGAGGTGAGGATGTTTTCATTTTGATGGTATGTAAGGAGATTTGCGGATTGCACTTGTCCAGTTGTTTTGGAGCACACAGGTTAAGACATTCATTGAAGAAATATTAAAATGTTAAAGTCTCTTGTCATCAAAAGAGGGTCAGAGCATATGGTGGATGATTTGTACAGCCCATTGGGGCATCACAGACTGAAAGGGTCTTTAATGGGGTTTAGTGCATATCCGAAGCGAATGCTGTATTTTATTTTTGATCATGTACGTGGTTGAGTAAAGTTGAGTATAAGAGGTAAAGGAGGAAACCTGTGCGTATTTTTGTGGGTTGTGTTGGTGGGAGGTTGGCGGGTTTGAGATTAAGAAGAGAACATGAGAAGGGAAATCGAGCTTCTTATACTTGCTGACGTGCTTTGGGTGAATAGATGCCGAAAAAAGGACAGATTTGTTATTAGAGTCGGGTCTTAACTTCTGTCAAGCTATGAACGAGCTAAACAAGCAGATATCTCAGAAGAATGAAATAATGATGACATTGGCCATGTGATGCCGAGACAAGAAATATATAATCGGGCATCAATTCATTACTATGACCTCCTACATTGTTACAGCTTATGTAGGCAGAAGCCAACTTAATGAGAATGCAGTTTAGACCAAGAGAAGGAATAACCATTTTAATGACCCTCACTTCTTAGTAGTCACTGGAAAATAGACAGCATAAAATAACTGCGGCTGTCATCCCCGGCCCAATTTTTCATGATAATTTATGAAATTATTGATACTGAAAATTTTTGTGTTGTGTTTTTGTGCCTCAAATTACTGGCATCCTTCTGCAATATGATCTTTTTTTAGAATCATCTTTTAACACTCAAATTTCCTCATCTAGTAGCATGGAATTATAGTCATATTCCGTCCCCCTAAATGGTATGCATTTCTCCTGAATCCGGACCAAATTTGTAGATCACACTTCACCCTCCTTTATAGTCATTCGCGCTTTTACTCTCAATTCACCTTCCTATCCAGATTCTCTATATTCATCTTCTTCTTTCATGAACTTCTGTTGTAAGGTTATCAGGATAGAGCTATGTTGCTTGAGAGCTCTTATTTTCACTCCATAAATGCTCTTTTCTTCCATCAGCTCTTCTTCTTACTTGAAGCACGGGAGTGTTAAAGCTTACGACATTGACTATCAATGCTGATCTGCTGACATTTGGGTGCTAACGTTTTTTATTTACTTTCACTGGATCTGGGTGAAAAAAGACACTACTTAATGTCTACAAATATTCTGGTTCAATGAACAGAGCCTACTATAACTGTGTTTCCATTCTCACCCTCCCTTGCATTTGGTCGTCATTGCTTCGCATAGAAAAGCAATGAATGAGCTGATCGTTTCATCACAAGGGAAAGATAGATTGCCTGCTTACTTCATAGAGAGGTTTTCGGCAGTGAGCGCATGCTAATATACAGTTTTTGTTAATCTTCATGGCATGTCAGCATTTTCATGACAACCAAATTTCAGTATTATTTCTGATTCTCAGTTTGATATTAGGTTCGAGTGAAGGCGGCCCTTAACAGACAATCAAAAACTAGACTTATTGGGCCAAACTGCCCTGGTATCATAAAACCTGGGGAATGCAAGATTGGCATCATGCCGGGGTATATTCACAAGCCCGGGCGCATTGGAATTGTTTCAAGATCTGGTACATTGACATATGAAGCGGTATGTGTTTATGCTGATCATAACAACTAAAAACACCTGGTTAAACCTCATGCATATATTTTTTTTCTTTTTGACAGGTTTTCCAGACAACTGCTGTTGGCCTTGGACAATCGACTTGTGTTGGCATCGGTGGTGACCCATTCAATGGAACCAACTTTGTTGATTGCATAACCAAGTTCTTGGAAGATCCTCAGACTGAAGGTAAATCATTAAAAAATGGAGTCAATTGCGCAGCCAATTTCTCTGTCGTGGGTTTCTCAAGGGGGGTTAGGGGGCACAGATGTATGTGCAGAAGTTGTAAGCTCGATGCAAGTATGCACTCTCCACCTGCATGTTTGTTGGAATGACCAGCATCATAGGTCTCTAAAATGAACATTATCGGTAAATAACTGAGGAAGATTTACCAAATAATTTCAGCAGATGGCTATTCACCTCTATGTTCCGAAGGATTTTCATCAGATGAGATTAATGGCAGTTTGACATCCAAATGTAAATGTCGATGAAAAATATAGTGATTGTCAAGATACAAAAATGTTCTGTATTCTTTGCCTTGAACTGTTCCTAATCTTTTCTCCTTAAACTTCTGCTTTCATAGAGAAAGGTTCCCTAGTCACTCGTCTAACTGTTGAGAGCTATGAAATTCTTATCACGCAATATCATATAATTGTTCCAGCATGCTGTCGTTATTCATAGCAAATGCAGTGATCTTTTAGTTATCGACTTCTCCAGGAAAAAAATTGGGTTCACTATGCCAATCTGTTTGACTCTAGTTTCCGTAAAATTTTCTGAATCTTGGGAGGTACCACTCATCGTGAAATGCCAAGGACGAACGATAATCATCTTTGTGATACTGTGATCTTGCCGTTTCTCAGTATAAAATAACGCTTGTTATCTTAGTCAAGTTGCATTTTATGTCAGGAATTGTTCTTATTGGAGAGATCGGAGGAACTGCAGAGGAGGATGCTGCGGCTTTAATCAAGGTAAATTAAATTCCAAGACAGATTGTTCGATGATTGAAAATGTTTATCATCCTGCAGCTTTTCAAATCATGAGTTCTTGCACAATATTCAGCACTATTGGATGTGAAATAACTTTTTTTTCCCATCATTTATTTATACCCAAAGCCATGCTATGATGAAAGGCCGTGAACACAGAATATTTGGAAGTAATTTGGACTTTTGATCCTTTTGGTTTGTTTTTTTTTCTTGCTTTGGTAGAAGAAAAATTGCTCGTAGTTGGAAGGTACGCAATCAGCTAGTTCAGTATTATTACAAACAAAGGTACATTCTGCTAGGAACAGGAACGACCGACGCCGCGCACTGTAAGAGGCCATGGATAGATAATATCATGAAAGAAGTGAAAAGAGAAGAAACACAACACACATGAATGAAGGATTTTTGGGTGGTTCGGATACTCCACATCTGGGGCCTCGCTGGGTCTACCATGTGAGTTGAGAGTTGCAATATACAACATAAGAGGCGTTTCTCTCATTAGGAAGATAAGCCAACAACAGGTCTCTGAAAGTCGCATATATCGCGTTAGAATTGTAGGAACTCCAAGACATCCTCAATTTTACTTCACCACATTCTGATTTTATCATTTGGGCATAATTATTCACAAGATAAGCGTACATTGGCTTCTTAGTTCATAATCTCTGATGTGTGATAATTCCTTGTAGATGTAAACTTTCTGAGGACTGAAACCAGAGTTTTTCTAATAGTTTTATCTTTTTGCATGATCCCCCTTGGATTTCTCTTCCGAGGCTCTGATGAGGGACGGCGCCTGAATTTCCATAGTTTTCCCGAATCATCTTTTTTTATTGTTTTTATGTTCCATCGTTCTTTTAAATTTATATTCTAATTTCCGGTATTTTTCTGAGACCACGATTCCTTCCTCCCAACGTCTGCGCATTCGAGACTTCCTCATCAGATTATAATGAATTATGCTGTGCATGAATTTCTCGTGCATTTGGAAACAGTGGATGCATTTCTACTTTTCTGCACCATGACGCTTGTTTCTTCCTTTCCCCATATGAGCAGGAAAGTGGAACTCAAAAGCCTATTGTTGCTTTTATCGCCGGCCTTACTGCACCCCCTGGTCGCCGAATGGGACATGCAGGAGGTGAGCGCATTCTTCATCTTTTACCTTGTTCATTTAGAGCTTAGCACTGTGGGTCACACTTCACTGGCTGTTTCTCTAAATCTCGCGTGTATGTTACTTTATCGATCACCCTAAATCCGACGGCCAAATTAAATCTGACAGATTTAAATTATTTCTCGTCCTGTTCTTGGGCTAATGGTTGGCGTAATCTGCCGCTTTGGCCCCCTAATGCGTCGTCGGTTTCGCCTGGTTCCACAGCCATCGTCTCCGGTGGGAAGGGGACTGCGCAGGACAAGATCAAAACTCTCCGGGAGGCCGGGGTCACAGTCGTGGAGTCGCCTGCAAAGATCGGCTCGGCCATGCTCGAGGTCTTCAAGCAGCGGAGTCTTGTAGAGTAGTGAAGGCATCAACACCATATCCCTCCCTGGTGCCTTCTTTTGATCGAATTTATCTGCGTTCCCCTCGGGATCACCCGCTGGGTTTTTTTCGTTCGAATAAAAGAACCCGAAGAATGAGCCCCCCTGGTGGGTCTTTCCTCGAGAAAATCAGAGATCAGATTTCTATAAACCTTTCATGAATTTGGTTCGGGCCAGCAGTTTTTGTCTGAGGAAAGAACACGACACCTCCGACTCAGCTCCAGATGTGTGCGACGAATGGCGCCTCAGTAGCGGTACTTGGTGGAGTAGTCCTTGGGGGCGATGACAAGACCGCGGCCTTTCCTGGCGCCTCGGTAGACGGTCTCCACGATGTCGATGAACTCCTGCTTATCCTTCATGGCCCAGTTGATCTTGTTGTTGTTCCCCGTCCCCAGGTCGATCATGATGTGTTTGTTGCGGAAGAAGAACATCACCGTCGACGGGTCGTAAAGCTCGTACATTGTGTTGAAGTCCGGCACCTCGGTGATGTCCACAAGGTATATCACGGCGAAGTTCTTTATCGTCTCCGCCACGGACGCCAGAACCTCGTCCATCTGCGGTATCATAGCATCCAGGGAATGGTGAGCTCCCTCTGAATCTGTGAGTCCGCAAGATCACACTTTCCGGGAAGCAATAAAACAGGGAAACACTCGTGGAAACAAGAGAATGAAGACGAGAGGAACAGACTACTCGAGAGTTTTTCCAGAAGGTTTTACATAGAAATAATCTATTATAATTGAAGCACGTGATGCAGAGTTGACTCTTGGAGAGATGAGCGCCCGTTGACCCAGTTTCCTCCAGTAACCCTAAAGACATCAGAGAATAATACAATCCCAAGTCCAGACCATTGGATATGATATCAGGGTCTTAATCTGAAGCAACCAAAATCAACTAACCCGGATAGTTTGGACGTTTTCCCCACGAGTCAGTACTGTTACCCTAAAGAAGACCTACAGACAGGCATCTGTAAAAGAAGGTAGAACATCACCAAGAAGATTAAGGTTATTAGAGGGAAACTATATTCATCTAATGTGCCAGGGCTAGGCCTCCCAGGACTGGTTGGATGCTCACTGAGAATCAGGACGCCTCAAATCCTGTTATAATCACCGAATTAGCTGTTTTCGGAGTGTTCTCCACAGAATTAACATACACCTGGTTCGAGTTTCATTTAATGAACTAGAACATAGGTTAGTAATTCTGCCGGTTGCTTACTATTGTCACTCATCTGCATTCAGAAACAGGTCAGGAGCCATCGCCAATACCTTATATCAGCAATCGAGGAGCCCAAAAAATGAATCAGGGCAAGGCGACAAGGGTTTGCAGAACAAACAGAATAAATGGTAGTGAGACATATACAGGATAAATGGGAAGAAATAACACTGGTTCCATCTCGGAAATGCTATCTTCATTTTAGTTCTGGTTCTCAGAAACATACCAGGATTCCCGACGAAACATCTGGTTCTGAAATAAATGAACAGCCCGAAAGAGGGTGATAACTTCTTAAATCTGTTGTCAATAATAGGGATTATCGAGAGAGCATTCGAATCATCTACCAGTAATCGTCTGTGCTAACTTAAATCTGCTAGGTATGGAACATGATTGAATCTATCTAAGAAGTCAAGCATTTTCAAATCTCCAGAAAATACGCCACAAGTCACCGAATGGAAGACCCAACCACCTAACTTTTCCTGTTCACAAAAAGAGAAAACGCAAGTCCAAACAAATTCTCAAAATTCTAAAGGTTAAAAAAAAAAGGAACTACGTATCAAAATCGAAACCAGCCGACGAAAGAAAAATGAACACAATAGAACCAAAGGATAAAAAAGACTCTTCCAGCAAAACGGCAAAACCACCTGCATGCATGTCTCGTCCCAGTCATGCCCAAAGCGGATTACCACCAATCGCTCCTCCTCAGCGAGAATCGCCTGATCTACCGCCCATCCAGAGTGCAAGTGCGGCAGCAGGTACGACATTTGGGAATCCCAATCTCTCTCTCTCTCCGAACAACGTCGATCAAATGTATCAGGACTATGCGCCCGATCTAAGGTTTCTCCGGTAATCTCTGGAAGCTTCGAGGAATATGAAGTTCCATTAATATCCTTCAACGCTCTTGAATCCCCACAACATTTAAGGGTATTTACGTACTTTTAAATTGGTACAGTATGTGGGCGTAGGTGAGGTCACCGGCCGGGCAGCCTCCTAGTCGATATGGTGCCGCCGGCCGGAGAAGCTTTTTGGTAGTATCTGTTCGATTTCGTCCCCGTCTGCCGGCGAGAGGGATGACTGCGGCCGCTGTACCTCCGTCCTACGCCAAGTATGAGGTCAGGCGGCGAAACCCTAACCCTGCGTCTGCCGCTCTGCTTGTGATCGACATGCAGAAACACTTCACATCGATAGCCAAGCCCATCCTCTCCACCCTGAACGCCACCGTTGACCTCTGTCGCTCTCAGGGAATCCCCATCTTCTTCACCAGGCACCGACATGAGTCCCCCGCTGACTACGGCATGCTGGGTGAATGGTGGGATGGGGACCTCATCATGGAAGGAACTTCTGATGCCGAGCTCCTTCCGGGTCTCCATCGGCAGGAGGCTGACGCGGTGGTGGAGAAGTCCACCTACAGTGCATTCAGAGGTACGGGGCTGGAGGAGGTGTTGAGGGAGAAGGGTGTGGAGGAGGTAATTGTGACGGGGGTTATGACTAACCTGTGCTGCGAGACGACGGCGAGGGAGGCCTTCATCAAGGGTTTCAGGGTTTTCTTCTCCACTGATGCGACAGGGACCGCAAACGAAGAGCTTCACGAGGCCGCATTGAAGAACATGGCATATGGATTCGCGTATCTGGTTAATCGTGAGAGGCTCGAGACGGCTTTCGCTGGCGGCACTTGAGATGTATGCCCTCTTTTCATCTGTGAACGAAACTTTATTTCGGATCCCCGTGTGGCAGATGCTGGCGATATGTATATTCTTCGGTTGTGACTATTTCTTTCTACGCCGAATCTTTTTCCATGTTTTCTTCCCCGAGTCTGAACTGAATCCGGGGTCTCCGTATCTACAATCTCGCTCTTCTTCTGCAACTTTATTTTCAGACATCTGCCATTAATTTTAGTTTTCGGCATGATCTGAAGTGTCTCTCTCCTGCAAATTTCCTGAGTCGACTTAACTCTGCTCCGCCACCCGCTTCACCGTTATCTTCCTTCAAAGAGGCGAAATTATCTTGTGGATTTCCTCAACATGTTTTGATCCCCCCGTAGAATTTCTGTCATTCCTGAAACCATGATGATTATCAAGTCTGCGCAGTTACATTAGAGGTCTATATAGTAATTACGGAATAGTTTTGCTAAACATTTTTGTTATTCTTGGAGTTTTGCTTTACATTTGCTGTTCTTCTTGTTATTCTGTGCTTGGAGAATTGATTAACATGGAGTGTGTTTAATGGAATCAAATATGTTGATTCATTTGTCTGAGGAAACAACGAATGACGCACAATCAGAAGAGTAGGTTCTCTTGTTTGAAGATGGTCATGAATATTTCTCATATGAAACATTAATGGTGCAAAAGGAGTCTTTGATTGGCATGCGTTTCGCTTCTGCATCCATCGATTGCAAAGAGCCCAAGGATTAGAGGAGGACAATGCAGAACTAAATGAACAAATGGGGGCTTTCTTTCTGGTTTTTCGGAGAGATTGGAAAGGATTTGAAAATCGTTACCATCTTTGTGGGTTGAAAATGACTTAGATGTTGACCTTTAATTAGCCTATTGTCACAAGATCTGATCTTGTAGAATCTTTTGCATAATCCAAGATTGTGATTTGGCTGGGGTCGAGTGAGATTTCTGGCTTTTGGCTTAGCTTATGATTTCAGTTGGATCAAAATGGCGGAGAGCAGGGCTGTTGAGTGTTCAACTTTTGATTTGATGCACTACACTCCACTAGCTCTTTGTGAAGAAGAAGAGAAAAGATAGAAGAGAGAGAGAATAAAGAATAAGAGGAAAGAAGAAGCCTCTTGAATTGATGATTTACAAAAGTGCCAGGGGTTTCTTTTTATAGGAGTCTTGAAGGTCCTCGAGGATGAAATGAATGCCCTTAAATGGGATGTCTATTTTCATTGAAAAGTGGTCCATATGTGACTGATTGGAATGGGCACCCTTAAATCGGCTGTTTATTTTAGAGAGAATAGGTCTACAAAGGGATCGTTTCTCACAGGTTCCAACTCCTTTCCATGAGAATTAATCCACAAAGGGACACAAAGGGCACCATTATGCTTATCTCTAAGTCATGCAAAACAACTCTTTGAGAGTCTTTTTTGTGAGAATATATGCTAGTTGATCTTTTGTATAGACTAAGTATACTAGAAGCTGTTTTGATGCCACATGCTCATTAACAAAAGTTCAAGTCAATTTGGACGTGTTTTGTTTATTGATAGAAGACCAGGTTCGCAGCAAGGTAAGTGGCTTTAATGTTATCATACTAAAGATTTGGCAGTGATGAGAAGGGAAGTCCAAGCTCGTGTAGGAGAGAATTTAACCAAATTAACTATGGTGTAATATATTTCCAATGCATTTGTACTCTACTTAGGTGCTAGATTTAGTAACTATGACTTGCTTCTTAGAGCTTCACAAAATAAAGTTGCACTTAAGGACGATAAGGTAGTTATTGGTGGACAGTCAAAATAGTAAATTATTTCTCAAAGTTCTTTTAAGATAACATATGATATGTTTGATTGCAATCAATTGTTTACTTATGAGTCATGCATAAATTGACATGTCCAATTAACTACAAAATTAATGTATGGACAGAAAATAGTGAGGTATTGAAAACCCATACATCTCTTCTAAAGAGAAGAATCTACATCATAGTACATGACTCTTACATCACAGTGGTGTGAGTTGGTGATACACTGATGAGTGTAGAGATGGGTTTAAGACCATCCGTCCTGACTCATTGAAGTATATTTATAATATATTTTGCTTAAAAGATAGCATAACTATTAGGATAATTTTTAAACTTAATTTCTAAGAAGTAGTGAGCCTTACTAAGATTCCAAACTATAATCTCAACAATGGATGATGCGATAACGTCAATGTCTCATACATTTGAGTCCGTAATTCTAATAATCCACGTAAATTAAATGAAGAGTTATGATTTATTTGAGTGATCATAGAATAAAGATAAATGTACAATTAAGTAAAAAAACTAACTTCTTAACGTTGTGAACTTAACTGTGTGAATCGTACTCTAGGGGATTAATGTAGACTATATGATTATTTATGGAGATAATATACATGATGTGGAAAGGGATGATGCACAAAGCTTAGTAGTCACGGTATAGTGATGTATTTTATACATCTAATTGTCGTATATATTATTGCAAGGAGAAGACGCCCAATAGTTATCTTGATGAGTAAGTTAAAAGTTGTGTAAAAGTAAGAATTTAATTATTTATATATATCAAATCACATCCATTAGTTCTGTAATTGAGTTGAAAGATCCATTTGCATTCATATCGGGGGTACTAAGACACAAGAGACCAAGGGTCATTTATGCAGAAGTATATTAACTTTAGCCATGGCTGCTCAGTGCATATGATCCTTGGATGTTTTAGTAAAGTAAGCGGGCTCACTTCAGATGTTGTTATTCTAGTACTACTTTGAGAGTGAATCGTCAAAACAATAGCGTAAATATTCGCGAGGAGAAATAAACTAAATAGTAACATTCTTGATAGAACCGACTGACGCAACAATCATATGTGCATCAGTAGAAACAAAGACAATAGACAATGAGAACACTATAAGGTTCAGTGAGCCCTGCTAGTCAACTTGAGAGTGACTTAACAATGACTGATACAGCGAAGGATGCCAGCAAGATACATAGAACAACTACGAAGGGACCGTTTATCACAGACTCTTAACCCTTTCCTGTGATAATCGGTCCACAAAGGGACGTTCTGAAATGGGGATGATCATGTCGTCTAATCTTTTTGAGTATCATGAGATTCATTTCGATTGAAGGAGAGATGGAGCATCCGGCAGGAAGAACTCGGGTTCTGGCGATGTATGGCGGGGACGATGGCCCGGGGGATGATGAGAATGAGGAGCATTCAAAGAAGAGTACGAACATAAAAGAGAGGAAATGGCGAGATGAAATGGCACGGATGCCCGCCCCGTCTGCTTGCAGGCTCCTCCTGCAAGACAGTGCCCGCCGGGGGGGGCAGTCAGAGAGGGCAAGGAGGACGAGCACTTGAGATTACCAGGCAGGAAGAGGGGGGGAGAGACGCGTCCCCCTCGGCCACCACGAGTCTGCGTCATGGGGCCTTCTCGAAAGGACGAAAGGAGGCGGTGGGGGATTAAATGTCCCTGTTCCTCTGCCTGGTAATGGTCCCCGGCTGCTCCGTTCGTCTCTGTAAACTCCTGCCGGTCCTAAAATTGCTCCTGGCATTTGGATGCGAAACGACTGCGAGGAGTCATTCAGAAGATCTCTGGCTCTTCAACGGCTGCGTTCTCCAAATCTGAAGAAACGACCACGTGATACTCCGTTGGCCGCATCCCAAATTCACGACGGCGACTGCGGCTACGCGACAAGAAGCAGCAGTTTTCGCTCCTCTCTCTCTCTTATCTCGCTTGTTCCGAGCTTTTATAAATCGGACTCCGTTTCACTGAGAGACCACATCGAGGGCTTCTCAATGGTGGCTTTGGGATCCGTCGCGCGGCTCCTCTTGGGCCTCTTCTTCGCGGCTCGTCTGCTTCAGAATGCTCGCGGGCAGTGGGACGAGAGCGACCTGGTAACGGGCCTGCCGGGGCAGGCGGCGGTGGGATTCCGGCATTACGCGGGCTACGCCGATGTCCGGCCGGGTGAGGAGAAGGCGCTCTTCTACTGGTTCTTCGAGGCGGAGGATGCTCCGGAGAAGAAGCCGCTCCTGCTCTGGCTCAACGGAGGTCAGTCCAATAAAATTCCTCCCCATTATTGCTCACCCTCTGCTTCCACCGAGATATGTCGATCTTTCTCTCCGTTCACTCCTCTGGTTCCTACGCTCTCCGGATCGAAAACCGTCATCCAGAAACATCCAAATCTACCATTTTCGATCCAAATCTGCTTCATTCTCTCTTCCATTTTACCTAAAATCGGCGGCGAGGCTGATTTCACAGTGTTGGAGCCGTCTTCTCTCTTATCTGGCGGGGTCAGACTATCTTTACACCTGGCCGGTCAAAGTGTCCTCTTCCCATGCCCGCCCTACCTGCTTAGCTTCTTGTACCCTCGTCATGGCCTTGTCATTGCACTGGCGTTGTCGTCGTTCCCCTTTTTCGGCTTGACTCTCTATCTCTCTCTCTGCCCGTCTTTTGAGGGAGAGAGAAGAGAGAGAAAGAGAGAAGCTGCTGATGACGAAGAGAGAAATATTGCAGGTCCAGGATGCTCGTCCGTTGCCTACGGAGCAGCGCAAGAGCTCGGTCCGTTCCTGGTGCAAGCCAGGGGCCTGACCCTCAACCCCTACGCTTGGAACAAAGGCACGGAATCTCTTCATCTTCTTCCTCTTCTTCCTCTCTTCCCCTTCACTCACATTTGGTTCTCTTTCTCCACCGGGCTTCTCCTACAGCGGCCAACCTCTTGTTCCTGGAAGCGCCAGTGGGGGTGGGATTCTCCTACACGAACCGGACGACGGACTTGGCGGAGCTCGGAGATCAGGTGACGGCCGAGGACTCGCACGCCTTCCTGCTCAACTGGTTCAGGAAGTACCCGCGCTTCAGGTCTCGCGATTTCTACATCGCCGGGGAGAGCTACGCTGGTATCACCCGGCTCCCGAGATGGATAATATCCATGGTTTTTCTCGCTGGCCGTGCTCGTCCCCGCCGCCTTGTTGACTGGTTGATTGCCCTAATCGCAGGCCACTACGTCCCCCAGTTGGCGAATCTCATTTACGAAGGGAACAGACGAGCGAGCAAGGACTCGTACATTAACTTCAAGGGCTTTATGGTATCCCCTCTCACTCTCTCTCTCATCTCCAGAAGTGGCCTGGGACACCGCATTGTGCGAAAGATTCCCTGGAAACCCATGAAAGACACTTCTCTCTCTCTCTCTCTCTCTCTCGTGAACTTGGGTTACCGCAGCGTACGATTCATTCTCAGAAAGCCAGAGAAGTTATACTTCCAAGTGCTCGTGGACACAATCTCTCTCTCTCCCTCTAAATATTGTCGCCGGCCGGCTTGCAGATCGGGAACGCGGTGATAAATGATGAGACCGACATTCAGGGGATGGTGGATTACGCCTGGAGCCACGCCATCATATCAGACAAGGTCTACCACTCCTTCCGCCGGGCATGCGTTGGGTCCGCCGGCAACGAATCCAGCGAAGCCTGCGACTCAGCCATGAAGGCCTTCATGCGGGGTTACGACGGCATCGACATCTACAGCATCTACACCCCTGTCTGCCTCAGCTCCCTCTCCCGCCGGCTGGCGCCCAAAACGAACCCTCGCGGCGGCGCCGCCGCGCCACATGTACGTCCTCCTCCTGGGCCCTCCTCGCCCACCTCCGTCCGCTCACCCTTCGTAGTGATAAAGAGCTACCTTTTGTCCAAGCCAGAAGTTCTGGCGCCACAGGCCGATCACCCCAAGAGCCGGTTACGACCCCTGCACGGAGGACTACGTAGAGAAGTACTTCAACAGGAAGGACGTTCAGAGGGCCCTGCACGCCAACCTCACCCGTCTGGGCTACCCCTATTCCTCCTGCAGGTCAGCACCGCCCTCTCAGGGCTTTTTCTAACTCATCGGCCTGTCATCTGCCCTACTCATCGTCAAGTCGTGAACGAGTTGGATGGATCTTCATGGCAGCTCGGTGATAGAGGAGTGGAAGGATTCCGCGGAGACGGTGTTGCCCATCATCCGGAAGCTCATCGACGCTGGCCTCCGCGTGTGGGTCTACAGGTTAGGGCCTTCCCTCGGGCCGCGGCCGCTCTGATTCTACGGCTCTGGTTTTTCTTCCGTGCACTGACCGCCGTTCGCCTGTGCCGTCCGTCCAGCGGCGACACCGACGGGAGGGTGCCGGTGACCTCGACGAGGTACAGCATCAACAAGATGAAGCTCACGGTCAAGGAGGAGTGGAGGGCATGGTCTCACCGGAGGCAGGTGGCCGGGTGGGTGGTGGAGTACCGCGAGGGGCTCACCTTCGCCACCCTGCGCGGCGCCGGACACCAGGTCCCCGCCTTCGCCCCCGACCGTTCCCTCTCCCTCCTCTCCCACTTCCTCGCCGGAGAGCGCCTGCCAGCGTCCCACCCTCGATAGCCGCTCTCCTGCTCCTTTTGTTTCCTAGTGATTCATGCCGCCATAAACGGTGGAGATCTTCAAGTTATCCATCAACCCAAAGTCCCTCTTGTTATTCCCTCCCTGCCCGAACTGGCCCACCGGCTCCCCCCTCCTCCGTTTAAGCTCCCGGTTCCGGCTGCTGTCAGCGGCCGGTCGGCGATCGGATTGAGGGAGGAGAGGGAGAGCCCGCTGACGTCAGATACTCGAACTGGGTTCACCTCTTCTGGATAGAGGGGCGGAAAATGCGGATCCATGACGACCCAATGAACAGTTTTAGCAACTCTCCCTCAGTTTGGCGGGCTAACTCCAATCGGCAGAAGAGAGAAAATGAGAGATAACTGATGGGGGGGGAGGGAGAGAAATCGTTGCGTTTGGCCACCAGTCGAGGAATTTCTCACCAACGTACGTGGGTCGCGGCCTACCCTGTCGGCCCATCGACGTCGACGTGTGAAGTCGGACTTGGCCATCAGGGCCAGAATGAGCGGCCCAGATGGGACCGCGAGTCCAGTCCAAATATAAAAAGATGATCGGCAGAACCTGAAGAAAACCCGATATATTTTCTGCTCACCAAATCGAACGGCTAGAAAGGAGGCAAGTACGCCAAGAACCTCAAACCCCCCCCCCCCCCTCCTGAAGCTATCCCTTCATAAGACCACATACCGCAGGCCCCTGGTGCAATGACCGTGAACTCCGCCACCATGAGCTCCGGCAACAACACCATAAGCGCCGCCATCGAGGCCGTGGGGGGATGGGGCCTCCGGCGGCTCCTCACGGAGATACACACCGTGGAGCTTCTCCTCGCGGCGGCCATCTTCGTGGCCTTCCACTCCCTGAGGCAGCAGAAAACGCAGGGCCTGGCCGTGTGGCCGGTGGTGGGCATGCTGCCGTCTCTGGTCCTGGCCCTGCGCCAGGACATGTACGAGTGGGTCACCGAGGTCCTCAACCTGCAGAACGGGACCTTCGTCTTCAAAGGCCCCTGGTTCACAAACCTCCACTGCGTGGTGACGGCAGATCCCCGGAACCTGGAGTTCATGCTCAAGACCAAGTTCAGCAGCTTCCCCAAGGGGGAGTACTTCCGGAACACCGTCCGCGACCTGCTGGGTGACGGCATCTTCAACGCCGACGACGAGACGTGGCGCCGGCAGAGGAAGGCGGCCAGCCTTGAGTTCCACTCCGCGGAGTTCCGCAACTTGACCGCGCAGTCCCTCGTCGAGCTGGTCCACTCACGGCTCCTGCCGGTGCTGGAGTCGTCTCGCCGAGCAGGCGAGACGGTGGACCTGCAGGACGTGCTGCTGAGGTTGACTTTCGATAACGTAAGCATTCTCGCCTTCGGGGCCGACCCGGGCTGTCTGAGCCCCGGGCTACCGGAGATTCCCTTCGCCCGTGCCTTCGAGGAGGCGACGGCGGCCACCATCGTGAGGTTCGTCACTCCGACCGGCATCTGGAAGGCCCTGCGCTATCTCCAGCTGGGGACCGAGCGGACGCTCAGGAAGAACATCTTGGGGGTCGACGAGTTCGCCTACAAGGTTATCAGCACGAGGAAGAAGGAGCTCGCCCTGGAGTCCGATGAGAAGAAGGCCCCAAGGGCAGACTTGCTGACAATCTTCATGAGGCTCAGGGACGACGACGGTGAGCCCTTCTCCGACAAGTTCCTGAGGGACATTTGCGTCAACTTCATCCTCGCCGGAAGGGACACCTCCTCGGTGGCGCTGGCCTGGTTCTTCTGGCTGCTGGGCCGCAACCCGGGTGTGGAGGAGAAGATCCTCGCCGAGATTCGCGGGATCATCAACGACAGGGAGCCTTCCTCCAGCACGGCGGAGAAGGACGGTTCCCCTCTGGTTTTCCGGCCGGAGGAGGTGAAGAAGATGGAGTACCTGCAGGCGGCGCTGTCGGAGTCCTTGCGGCTGTACCCCTCGGTGCCGGTGGATCACAAGGAGGTAGTAGACGTACATCTTTTTCTACTCCCTCCCCACGTAGCCCGTATAATCTTCACCGTATACTCTCCCAACCGTCTCTTTCTTTGCACGAGTCCTGCGCGGTAAGTACAGATATTCTAACTGCATATTAGGGTAACGTCCAAGGTTCCTCCTTTTTCTGTTAGAATCTCTCTGATCAGAGCAGATGGGTCTCCATCTTGTGAAAACCCTCCCGTTTCTCTCTCTTCTCTCTCTCTCTCTCTTAACATCGGAGGGAATCGCTGTTGCTCGTACACAGCTGGTGGAGGACGAGGTGTTCCCAGACGGGACGGTGCTGAAGAAGGGGACCAAGGTGGTGTACGCCATCTACACCATGGGAAGGATGGAGAGCATATGGGGCAAGGACTGCAGAGAGTTCAAGCCGGAGAGGTGGATCAGGGACGGGCGATTCGCAAGCGAGTCGGCCTACAAGTTCACCGCGTTCAACGGGGGGCCAAGGCTCTGCCTGGGGAAGGACTTTGCTTACTACCAGATGAGGTTCGTCGCCGCCTCCATCCTCCTCCGCTACCGCGTCCACGTCGTCGAGAACCACCCTGTGGAGCCGAAGCTGGCGCTGACCATGTTCATGAAGCGCGGCCTCAAGGTGAACCTCTCCCTTCGAGAGGGCCACCCCAACTAAGTCAACGGCTCATGAAGAATGCCCACGAGGACATCGGATCCCCTTTACCGTAGATTATATATCATAGCGAAGGACTTGTTCGATTTGTGTAATTATTATTTCCTTGTTTTCTCCTGTATCTCTGCTCCTCGACGAGGAACCCCTTCTTCTACTTGGAGTAGGAGGAGAATAGTGTGGTGTACGCGTTTGGTAATTTCCTATATGCCGGGTCTCCGCAGCTGTCCAGGCAGAACGCTTCCATTATATCAATGGTTTCACCATTCGTGGTTCATAAGTCTCTCAGGAAGGGGGAGGAACTTACGCCGGAGAGGGAAGGCGTGGTTTACGCTCTTCCATCCCATTCTTCGTAGAACACCTTCAGGAAGTCCAGCATGAACTTGTGCCGTCCCTCGGCCCTCCGTTGCCCTGCCTGAACTCAACGGCCAAGCAAGATCCCGTTTTTAGGTACCGGTCGGTCGATGGGAAACCAGAACAGCAGCCGCAAGGATAGGATTCTCAAGACAAATGCAACACAGAAAACGGGTTCTTGTTTGCTTCACAGCATGGCGATTAACGAACGAGCATGAACGGGTATGGAATTCTCATATAAATCCAAAGGCTGATATTTTTAATGTAAACCCATGAAAATTATCTCGTGAAAATTACCATTATGGAAACCCATTTATGTTACCTTGGTCTTCATCAGATCCTTCAGCTTGAGTAGTTTCTCATGGAAGTGGTTGATGGAAGGCTGCCTCTCATCCTTGTTCATGTAGGTTTCCTTTGATAAAGCAGTTCGAGGTGGTATTGAAGGATCGTGCAGTGGACGATTCTTGCTCCCCCCAAAGGTAAAGCAACGAGCAATTCCTGAAAAAGTGAGGGAATCGAAAATTGCGTACTTCTGTTAACAGCGCACGACAAATAATGAGAAATCAAACTATGGGAATAATTGTTGAGGAACTTAGTAGTCAAAATCAGCGTTTACTCGTCAAAACTTTGACTAATGGACGAAGTATAATACAAATTGCAAAGGTTCTAATAATGTTGATAAAATCTCTGCTTGCAGACATGCATAGACTTCTTAAACGAGGAAGATTTCAGGATATATTATTACAGAAGGTATGTGTGAAATCAAAGTAAATTCAGCAACCTAAAAATCATAAGCTGATTAAAGAAGCTATGTTAGCTAGGCACTGAACAGTCAAAAAATGTTCATATGTAGGACCTGGCAACTTACCAATGGCACCAATTGCATCAAGACGATCTGCATCTTGCACAACACCAAATTCTAAGGAAGAATCAAAACACGAGGCATGCGTTACTTCATTCTTGAACCCTGAAAGCAAGTTTACAAAATCTATCACGTCCATAGAATATTAACACGAACAATATTTTCCCCACAAAATATGTGAACTAGTTCATCGCCCAAGCAAACTAGGTGAGAAAAATTGTATGCATTACAATGATTTCAGTTGAATACACCGGAACATAAGTAAATATGCTAAAAAGATACAGGAAGGACAGCACCATCCTTGTCCATTGCGCAAAAGATTGTAATCGTGAAGAAAATATCATTCCTAGTCAAATATGCAATTGATCATCGTTGTTGGTTCTTATTAGGTTGTAAGAAAATACCCTCAAGGAAACCTGAAAACAAATGGTAAAGAGGGATATGCCAAATAACAGACTATAAAATAACAAGAATATAGACAAAAGAACTGAAGCTGAGCACGCAAAACAAAGGGAAAATAAGATAAAACTTTGATTACTGGGAGACAGAGGCAACAATCGGGATTGAAAAGATGAATTAATGCAGTGGGGGGAATCTTAGCATACCAACAGTACCATGGGACAATGAATCTCTGCACAAAGCAGAAATCTGATGAATGTAGATGAAGATAACACAAGAAACCAGCATACTGTGAATGGCAATGATGATAGACAAAAATGCACGTCAGGTGATGTTACAGGCTGGGAATCCATAGCACTTCGTAGCTCCAGACGACATGCATGGAGAATACGAGGGCAATAATCAGATAAAAGTTTCTCCAGCTGAGTAGGCAGAGGATAGGCAAGTATTCTCAAACCATTAGAATCTAAATAGATGCCTACCCATTGCCTTTATGATCCTCAATATCTTCTCTGTTTTGCAGTCTTCTAATCCCTCATCGTTAAGAAACTTCTCAACCATTGCTGTATCATCTGTCTGATCCCTAAAAGTAAAGTTGAAATATAGGAGTATGCATCAGTACATTACGTCTGATGAATAGCACGGAGAAGCTCACTAAATCCACGTTGCCTTGAAGCGGAATTAATGACCGAGGAAAATAAAGGGTAGGATACAGATGAGAAAAAAATGAGCAAGGATCGGTCTACCCACTTGGTGTACTTGTAATCCCCTGAAACCAATGTCACCCGCGTTTCACCGCCAATTCAAGTAGGAAAAAGAGAACCACATACTTTTCATATAGAGAGGGCAGAGACATACCAATGTCGTGGAGTAGCGCGGCAAGCTCCACCTAACCGTGGACAACGCAGAAAAATGGAGTCAATACCGTAGAATTATTCTTGCGCTATAGAACTTTGGGCAATACAGTCTCCTACTATGAGAACACAGACAATTCGATGAGAACTGCCGAGACCATAGGAACCTCCAGCTCCCCACAGGAAGCTGGCACTATCAGAAATCGTGGTAGACTTTCATCAAAATTCATCCGGGAAGTGAGGCCATAAGCCCCGCAGCGTTTGACAAATTCGAACTATGGAAAAGATACACGAAGGCCCTTTGCAAAGGTGTAGGAAACGGCGGTTGGAGAGGAGAAGAAAACAAACGGAGCGAAACCTCGAGACTGTATTAGGGCATTAGGAGCTTTCGAATGTAGGTTTGCATCTCCTTGTATAATCTAAATGGCTTCTACATTGAATTTCTAGTCTTACCACTTCTATGCTGTCCTGGGAGTAGCCGGGAGAAGAAGGGTCACCCAGCCCTTCCTCTCTCGCTAACGACAGGGCGAGATCCCGAACCCTGTACGCATGCGCTGCATCGTGGGAAGCATCTCGCCCTTTCGTGGTGTGCTCCAACAGCCTCTCAGCATTCCTCACGATCTCCTCCCGCTCCATTCCTTCCCCTCCCTTCTCTCACTGCGTCGAGACTCTCTCTCCTACCCGCCCGCTTTCCACCCTCCGGGGCCAGGAAACGTCCTACAGTGTCCCCACAATTAGTATGACAGAATTTTCTTTTACAAAGGCTTACTCTTTTTTATTATTTTAAAAAAGTTATTAAGTCAACCTTATTTTCATAATTTTATTTAATTTTTATCCTTCATAAATCAGATGAGTTGCCAAAAAAATAACCCTTATTTTTAAGAGAGATCTGCCGTATTCCCTGTAAGAAGAGGTCCAAGGACTTGACTTTTATGGCTTCCCATGAACGAGGGAAACGTCGTCGTCGCCAGAGGAAGATATTTTCTCGCACATCGACACTTTTTCCGTGGCAGCTGAAGAATTGAACCATCGATAGAAGGTGTTGGACGTCTCTTGAGCTCCGCCGATCTTCCCTCATCTCCTCATCGGCCCGGGATTCCTCCTCGTTGCCTCGCTTACAGCAGGCTCCTGAACGCAGGCAGGCAACGAGATGCCTGCTCTGGGGTTCTCCGCCAACAGCGTCCCTCGACTGGCCCCCTCAACCGCCTACGCGAAGCTATGGAGGTCGGGAACAGAGCAGAGGCCTCGCTTCTTCCCCAACGAGAGGAGGCTATCATCTTCCGCTTCCTTCGAGTGCAGAGCGGCCTTCTCCACTTCTTCGTCCTCCGTCGGGGATTACGACCTCTATGATCTTCTCGGCCTGGATAGCTCCTCCGACCAGTCCCAAATCAAGAGCGCCTACCGCGCGCTGCAGAAGCAATGCCATCCTGACATCGCGGGGCCGCCCGGGCACGACATGGCCATCATCCTCAACGAAGCATACGCCGTGCTCTCCGATCCCCACTCCCGTTTCGCCTACGACAAGGTAAACTGCGGAACCGGAGGGCCCGGTGGTTCTTTCTACTGCGCATGGTCATGTCTCCGATTCAAGTGGGGGCTCCTCGACTGTTGCAGGAGCGAGAGAGGAAGGTCGACTTCCGTGGCTTCACTGGGAAGCCTCTGTACTCGACATGGTTCGGGCCAGAGAGCGAGCAGAGAGCGGTCTTCGTGGACGAGGTGAGATGCGTGGGCTGCCTGAAGTGCGCCCTCTGCGCCCGCAACACCTTCGCAATTGAAACGGTCTACGGCCGCGCGCGCGTGGTCGGGCAGTGGGCCGACCCCGAGAGCAAGATTCTGGAAGCCATAGACATTTGCCCCGTCGATTGCATCTCGTGAGCGCCTTCTCCGAGCCTTTCATCGACGGTGTCGGCCGCTGAGAGCGATTCTAATCGTAAGCGCTGGTTCCCTGAGCTTCCAGGATCGTGGCGAGGTCAGATCTCGCGGCGCTGGAGTACCTGATGTCCAAGCAGCCGCGCGGGGCAGCCAGGATGACCGGCGGAGACAACATCTTTTCAGATGTCAAGAAATTCCAGAGGAGATACAGCGAAATGAAGGACCGAGCCTCAACGGAGGATTTCAAGGTGAGACAGACGTACTGTTCTTGGAGCTCTTACCCCGGTGTTCGACGAAGGTTTCTTCACGTGGAAGCAGGAAAACCAAGTTCGGGATTCGTGACTTGTGGCGATGACTTGACTGCCTTCGGTGTAACGTGCAGGAGTCGGTTCTGCAGAGAGAGGCAAGAGCTGCCGCCATGCGGGGGATCAGGTCCGTCTCGTACTGGTGGTACCGGCGGTCCAGCTCGTCCGCCGGGTCGCCGGAAGCTCGCCGGAAACTGGTGGCGTTCACCGGAACGCGTGTAGGAGCGTCTAATAATAAGAGACTGCAAGAGGCTGCCGCAAAGCGGCGGGCTGGTGGAACCACGCAACCTGCCGGGCGAACGTTGCCGGCGCACAGAACCGGCGAGGAGTACTGGACGCCGGTTATCCATTCGTCGCCGTTGCAGAATTCAGCCACCGACGCATCGACCCCGCGCCGCCCAGCTACTCGCCAGGTGAAGTCGGATAGGAGGCGGACGACCGGCGGGCAACCCACGGGAGGGTTGCGCTTGAATCCCGTGATGATGAGGATTCCTTTGCTCGTCGCCGGGATCGCTGCCGCCACAGTAGGAGTCGAAGGTGGAGAAAGGACAAGCGCCGGCATACAGCAACACTTCGCCGGCGCAGCGGCGCTGGAAATCGTCAACAGCTCCTGGCTGCAAATCCTTCTGGCGGGGATCACTTGGTATCTACTCGCGGCGGCCGCGGTGGGATTGATCGCAGTCGTACAAAGCAAGGAGGATTAGACGACGATCTACCACAAATCCGCGCCGAATATCTTGCGACTCTAATACAGAAGGAAGGAATGCAAGTAGAGGCGAGGGTTGAGGGAGATGGAAGAAAAATCTACGCTACGCGAGAACAGAGATTTCCTATTTCAAAGTAGTATCTTTCTTCATTCGTTCGTCCTTCGATTCTTCTGCTCTCTCTCTCTCCCCCTCTGGTCTACCCCTCCGGCTGCAGCGGCCGTGAATTCTTTCAATATTATTTTTAGAGATCGGATATCTAAGAATTAACGAAGTTTGGGACATCTGCCTCGGCCGTGGACCCCGAAAGCCGAAACAAATAATTCTGTTTTAAAAAATAAAATTAATGTTCGCTTCGTAAAAGAGAAGATATCTGGTCAACCCCTCCAGAAGAGGCGAGGACGCTGGAATTTAGCTTTTACTTTGTTAGGCCCGTACAACGGGCCAAGTCTGCTGGTCCGGCCCATTTCGAAGGGGAGAGAGAGAGAGAGAGAGAGAGAGAGAGAGAGAGAGAGAGAGAGACCTGGACGACAGGGCCAGGCGGGGGATGGAGAAATCGAGCGGGATGTACCGTTCCACATACAACGACAGGGCAATATTTACGGCGGAGGGACCTGGACCCTGGTAAATGACTAAAATACTCGTCCCTGCTGATCTCTCCGTCCTCCCTCTCCCTGTTCGACGCACACGAGTTCTCTCTGCAGCAGCGTCTCCCATTCCCAGGACAAATTGTTTCCCGAAAACGCTTCGTCTTCGCAACCTGTTTCCCGACGCTCACCACCGCCGCAGGAATGGTGGGGTTATCTCCGGCGTTGCGATTCCCCGACAGCAGGTTCCTCCGGAGGAGTGGCGGCGCTGGGTTTGCCTGACGTCGGCGTTCGGTAGGATGCGAAGCTTAAAGATTTATTGCGTAGGAGGGTGTTAGAGGGAGGGAGAAATTGACCCGTCCTCTACTTCGGTCGTGCCTGCAGGGCCGCTGAACTAGGGTTTACGGCGGTGTCGTTGTCATGCCACCAGGGCGGAAGAAGGCAGGTACACAGGGGGAGACGAAGGGTCATTTGAGCGTGGGAGATTTGGTGCTGGCCAAGGTGAAGGGTTTCCCTGCTTGGCCCGCCAAGGTATGCGGTTTTTTGTTGCTTCCTCTTCATTGTCGTGTCGGACTAGTAGAACTTCTCATTCGGCAGCACTGTCCTTCAATTTTATTTTATGGACATTCCTAGTGTTTAGGTCTTCATTAAGCTGGGATGAAGGTGTGTGCGTGGGGGGGGGGGGGGGTGTTTATGCAGGGAACCTCAATTTCTATATGTATATGGTCGATGCCTCCTTGGTTCTTTCTCTTACTCTGCGTTGAAGAACCACGCTTCTTCGTTCATTTGTTTCGATCTCTATAGCTGAGGAATATATTTCTTTTTGTATTCTGTCTTTTCCCCTTATTTATTGACATTTCATTTGGTCATTTTTTGCTTTACTTTTCGGTGACCTGTTGTCAGATAAGCAGACCTGAAGATTGGGATCGATCACCCGACCCTAAGAAGTGTTTTGTTCAATTCTTTGGGACATCTGAAATGTGAGTAATTTTTATTTATGTTTTGCCACATTTTTTCTGAAAAAATAAAGAAATCTGTTTTGATGAAGATAACAACTCTATCTTGTCGTTCAGCGGTACCTTGAAATATGTGTACATAATAATGTCTATAAATATCAGGGGGCCATAATGAATTTGATACCTTTTGATTTTTTCCAGGTCAAGTTATTTTGTTTAGTGGTCTGATCATAACAATTACGATGAGTTTTAATGGTATTGTCAGAGAAGGGTGTTGGTGCCCAATGTTTGCAAGAACCGTCAAGATGAAACGTTTGGATTTCTGATAGATCTTTACCTGTAAGAGAGAAGAATGTAGGTCAGGGCTAGATCCATGGTAGTAAAAAATGGGGAGACGTAGCAAGCCTGCAAGGTGATTATTGGTGATGACATCAAGAAAAATCGACTCATCATATTTGGGTAGTTCCATCTCCTTTGGATGTAAATTTTTTAGGGTGGAAAATTTAAATAGTGTTATTGGGTAGCTTGCATTCTAGGTTTACATTAACACCTCATACAGTTTATTGGAGACAAGAATTGCTTGTTCTGTAGATGTTTCTTCTCACTTTAGGCATGGCTAAGGATCTTCAGTATGACACGGATTAGATGCCTCATCCTCACAGGTATGAAATAAATATAGAGATGTTGGAAGCAGTATAGAATATCAGAAGGGATTATGTAGTTTGGCGTTTCATATTGCATATAACCCTTTGAGCTATTTGGAAGGAAGAGAACTGTTGAATTTTTTGGCGTGAGAGTTACTTGGTGTAGGGGGGTTTGACTCTCAATATTTTCTACTGTGCAAGAGTGGGGAATGTTGATAGGTGATTTGGGAGGGAATGTGTCTACTTTTTGGAGATCCCCGTCTTTTAAGAATTGCATCATCGTGTGCACTTTCTGGTCTGATGCGTTGTGTGTATTCTCTTCTGATTACTGAATGTTTTCATGTTGGTATATATCCTTGTTTCTTTTTTTCTTGATGAATGACTTCGTGGTACTATCCACATCAAAAGGAAGATGCTTTAATAAAACTTTTTGATGAGGCTAAGACGTTTATTAACTAATCGGATAGTTTGATCCTGTGGAAGGTCTATTAGTAAATGGTGAGCACTTTTATTGGAAGTTACTCAAAATTCCTTTTTTTATTAGGAACATAATCTCTAGTCGGAGTATGACAATAAGCTTGTCATAAATACGTTTTTATTTAGTCGAATCCTGCTCCATGCCAGTTGTTGATCTGATAGACTAGAACTAGATGACTCATGTCACATCCTGAATCATGTTCGCCAATCCTGTTCACGTTGGTGCTTGACCCTAACATTTCGTGGAGAGTTCTCGATCTTGTTTTATGATGGGGGTCGACTAATGTTCATAGTACTTTTGTCCTACAACTGTCGCTATTATGTATGATTAGTGAAGGGCAATAGTCCAAAGACACTTTCATGTGTATTCATCTTCTTCTTGGCATCATGGTTATACACTCTACACGTGGCTTGACTTTCAAGAAGTTCGCCCACTTTAGAAATGCCCATGTAACTAACTGTCAGTGTGAGAGCTTTCCCTCTCCATTTCAGAGGGAAGAAGATGCTGATCCTTGGCAGCGTCCGTGACACCCTCTTCCCAACGACCGGATTTAAAAAAGCTTCAGTGCTAACTTGGTGGATAGCTCTTCAGCATTCACATGATTAACGTCGCATCTGTCCTGTTCCTGCATATTGTTGAAGTTTAATTCATTATGTAGCCTCCCTGTGAAACTCTAGAGCACCTTTCATGATTTTCTGGAAACTTCTAGCTTTCCTCTTGGTTGGAATCACCTGCATGGTCAAATTTACATTCTAAATAAGCCCTTATGTGCTTCCGTCATCCAACATTAGTACTAGCTCTTCCACGGAGGTCGTGCTCTGTCCTCCATCGAATGATAGTCTAGGTTCATGTCAAAGATGAGTTCTATCGGCTTTTGTGTGGGCATCTGACTTAGCGATACTTCAAAATCTTGTTACTACTCTGACCGTCTAATCCCTCCTTAATGGGTGGGACTAGTGAATAGACAGTACTCCTAATGCTGATGTTTATCTGTTGGTTGATTTTCAGTAAAGTTATGAATATTCACTTTCAGAGAAAAGAGAGTAAATTTTCGCCATTGATAGCATACCATGCAGCTGACAGATTTCTTATAAAAAAAATATTGAAGGAAGGCTCCATCCCTTTCCATTAGAGGGTTCCAGATGGCTTACTTCCCGCACTCCTACTTTTGTAAGAGTGTAATATGCTTTGGAAATATATTCTGGTGAGAGGTCGCTCTCTGCATGCCGTTCTGTAATTCCATTTTAATCTCAGTTCACGAAACACTAAATTGTTACTAAAAATAGCATACCCAGAAAGGATTGTATGTGTTCCCCATTCACCCATGGTCCTTTTTTTCCCACCTTTTGGAAACTCCCAACCTTGATCAATCTCTGCTGTAATTTGATGTACCACATCATTCTGAAACTTGGATAATGTTTCTGGCTGATGTCTCTTTTTTGGAGTTTGACTCAGATGATTTAGGCTTTGTAGAATGTGATTACCTTCTGATTCATATCAATTTTGTTGTTCTGCTGGATTCCCTAATGGACTGCATTTTTCTTTCTTATAGTGCTTTTATTGCACCTGCCGATATTCAAGTATTTAATATTGAATCAAAGAGTAAGTTGGTTGTCCGTTCTCGGGGTAAATGTGCCAAAGATTTTGGTCGTGCTGTGGAGGAGATTTGTGAAGCTTATCAACAGCTTCATGGAAAGAGATCTGAGAAACGCAGTGATGATGCTGCTGGGAGTGCAATTCGCTTATTACCTTCAGCATCCAATGCTGTGCAGGATAATAAACTCAATGAAACCAGTAAGTCCGAAGATAGGGCTGGAATGCTTAAACAGGAAACACAAACTGATGATGAATGCTCTCAAGATGAATTTACTGTATTGAAGCACAGCTGGCAGGTTCAAGATGGCTCTTGCCCCCCCGATGAAAAAAACCGTGATTTAGACAAGGATTGCAAAACAATGACTGCAAGTGACAGTGTGAAAAATCTGAAGGGAAGAAGTGAGCTCGTTTCTGAGCGGCCTTCTAAGTTTTCCTCTCGTAGGGATGAAAAATCTCCTAGCTCTTGTACTGATCTTGGAAAAGAAAATGGCATGACAGAGTGCTTTGAAAGTAAGAGGGTGGATGGTAAGTTAAAACCTTCCGCTGTGAACAGTCCGCAGGATCTCGTTTCGGAGAAAAAAGGGAATGTGGGGGCACCAAAGCTGCATAAAAAAAATGCAGCTCAAAAGCAGGTAAAATATACAACTTATGAGTCAGCTCATAAACGTTCTAAATCTGAAAAGAAGTTTGAAGATGAACATGATGGCAGGCTGGTAAGCCCACTTGATCGTGGAAGAGTTAAATTTTCACATTCTCCTGTATCAGATTCAGATGCTGTTTCTGAAAAGAGATCAAAAGGTTCCAGAAAATCGAAGAAAGTGGCAGTTGGCAAGGGGAAGTCACCCCTGGATCACGATCGTATGAATACCAAATTAAGCACTACTAAGGAGAGGGATAGTGAAATATCAGTAAAGAAGACCCTAGTCAGTAATAGAAAGCGGGGCATGGAAGTTTCTGAACAGTCACAGGCCAAAAGATCTAGGCATGATATTGATGTTGGTAAGAAATCTAAGAGGCTGGATACAGATGACTCATCTAGCATACTTAGAGACAGAGAAGGTAAAATGTTGATGGACAATTCCTCTTCATCAAAGAAATCTGGTAAGTTCTCACCATCGGCAGCAGAGCCCCTGATCAATATGGTCCGCCTAACTGGCAAGAAAGCTGTGACAGTTTCTACTGAAGGTGCTGAACATGGAAGGGGTTCTGGTTTACGAAAAAAGGACACGCAACTCTCTGATCAGAAGAAGTCTCCTTCTCATACCCACGCGAGGCGAAGAACATTCCGGATTGATGATGACGAGGATGATGAAATTCATAGAACTCCTATTCATAGAAAACATGATAGGATGGGTTCCCCTAAACCGAATGACATGTTTTATAAAGATAAGATATCACTTGATAAGCTTGAACATCGCGTGCAACAGAGTCCAGGTCATAGTGAGGAAAGGAGGCCCGAAAAGTTTGTAGGAAAACATGTCTCCCACAGCCCCGGGAAGCAAGAACATCAAAGATCCTCGTCCAGGGAACCCAGGATGATCACTCAGTCTCCCAAAGCATCTGTCAAGCCTAGCAGTGCAGGTAAACAGGTTGAAAGCAAAATTAAAATTTCTACGGTCGTTTCTGTGAAGACCCATACTGTTTCCTCCAAACATTTGACCGGGAATTTTGATGAATTAAGTCGCTTTAATCATGCCATTCCTCAAAAGGCAAAGCAATCTACATTAGAAAAGGCAAAGGGCGCGCAGAAGGCTGATTTGCTGATGAATGCAGTAATGGAAAATAAGACTAACGTTAATTTTTCAGCTGAACGTAGTGCTGACAAGGATTTCTCGATTGATGAGAGGTATGTTGACTATTTAACTCTTCTTGATTATGTCTGATGCTGATTTGCTTTACTCACATGCCGATTCAATTTTCTCTTGCATGCAGATTGGTGGCTGCTAATGACAGATCAGCCAGTTCAATCGCTGAATCCAGTACTTCAGATTGTACGACTTCCATGAAACATCTTATTGCTGTCGCTCAGGCCAAAAGGAGGGAAGCTCACTTGCAAGGCCATTCTCATGATAGAATTGTTGGCTTGGTTTCTAGCCCTGCTGTTGCCCGGGAGAGGAGTCCTAGTCCTCTATCTGTAGTGCAGGATATCTCTACTATAAGTTTTATCCAGAAAGATAACAGGGAATCTTTGTCTTCTCCAACTAGCGCTTCTCAGAACTGTGTAACAGTTGGTTGTGTGGAACCTGAAGGACATCATGAACGTAGTGCCAGTCCTGGAGGGCTTCCTCCTCAAGGTTCCTTGAGTGGTGGTACAGAAGCTGCTGTTGCTCGTGATACATTGGAAGGGATGATAGAAACATTATCAAGGACCAAGGAAAGTATTGGACGTGCAACCCGTCTTGCTATTGACTGTGCTAAATATGGGATAGCCAATGAGGTAAGGTGGCATCTGTTTCAGTTGCACAGTCATTTGAGTTGTTTAACTCTTTTCATTCTGAGCATGCACTTATTGATTACGAATTCTTAAAGATTGCCTATGATTTTAATCTTGCTCAAACTACCCATTTTTCTTGAAAGACATTGTTGTGTGGCTATCTTTGAATTGCCAAAAGATTTTGCAGGTTTAAGGTGATTGAGACCACAAAAAAGAAGGTTTATGTGGGAAAAAAAATGTAAACAATATGTGCATTACGAATATCAATTTGACACCTGTCGACGTACTGTCATGGGATATAAATTATTTAGTTTGGCTTAAAGTCTTTAGTTTTAATTTTCTCAGTTAAATGATGCTAATATATCATGCTGAAATGATTTATTACTTATCATTATTTCCTGCTGTGTCTGCACTCACTTTCTTGAAGAGCTTTTGGGCATTTACATTTTAACCAGAAAGTTACTGACAATGCATCCTTATTTTCTGGGGAATTTGTTACATGCATTCTTTAAGAGATCTGACATGCTTTTCGCTAATTTGACCAATCTAAAAGATCTTCCGATGTGGCGTCTAATTGGTTAGGAAAACGTGGGCGATATGCATTGGCTGTTTCTGTAGACATAACGTGCTAGAGTATGGACAAAAAAAATGATTCTTTAGTCGACATTTTTGCACAGACGTCCATTGTGAAGCAACAGACCTGCAGTGTCTTTATGGGATTGACTTTCGTTGTGTGTGAGTGCTCTCTCTCTCATTTAAAAGTCAAGACGATAATCGCATCCTGAACTTACTACCTGTTGGAAAGAAAAGGTGAGGAAAACTGTTGAGGATATAAAGTAAAGAGAGAAGTCTGCTTGCACTGAACTTTAGTGAAGGGTTCTATGCATATATCTTAGTTGTAATATCTTTATTTTTGAATTTATTGGAATTTATATTCCTTATTTGTAATTTTCAGAGAATTTATGATAGATTTAATTTACACTTCAATGGGTTATTAATTTACTTTGTTTATTAGGTTCATTTTCTACTTATCTGCTTTCCACTTTGCGAAATGCAATGCATCCTTTAGAGTGACATTCAACCAGAGGTAGAAGTAAGTGGAGATTATGCCGCTAAGGCTGCTACCACCTCTCGTGCCCAACTGCAAATGTTATTCCGTATCCACTGCCACCATTTTTCTCTGCTATCTCTTATGCTCGCTCCATCTCTGTCAGGTTTTTTCTTTTCGTTTAGTTCCATTAGTTTGCTCTTCTCCCACATTGTTCTCCTTTTTCTTGTTTTCCTTCATCTCCTACGTTTTTCCTTCTGCTTCTTCTTCTCATGGTCGTCTCCCTTCTCTCTCTCCATTACGATATGTATCCAAAGTTATGGCATGCATGGTGCTTCTGTTTCCCCTTTCTGTCTCCACGATCAGCTACACGTACAACCATCGTCTCCAGTCCCTCTGTCCGTTGAGTGTTCTTTTTTCTTCACTTCCCATGCTTGTTTAAATATTATCGAATTCGTTTTTATGCATGTCGGAGGGAATGCGTTTCTTATCTTTGATATGACCTTACTGTTGATAATCACGCCTATTGGAGTTTTTTTAATACTCTAAATTCAGTTTCAATCTGTCTTTTATTTTTAGATTTCTGTCTTCTATTACAATTTTTAATTTTTGTCTCTAAATACTTGTCATTTTCCTCCCATTTTCAGCCTTTACTTACCAGTCAATTTTCAGGTTGTTGATCTCTTGATTCAAAAGTTGGAAAATGAGACCAGCTGTCACCGTAAAGTTGACCTATTTTTTCTTGTGGATTCCATCACGCAGTGTTCACATAGTCAGAAAGGTATGCTGATACATGGAATCTCTATTCTAAGATAATCATTTAATTTTCTAGATCGCATTGGAGCCTACTATCATATGCTTTGATACAGGTTTTGTTATTGCCATGTAACCACCTTGATTGTCGGTGGGAATATGCCAGATGCACGATCTTCTCACTCCTATTTTTTAAGTCTAATATCATTTTGTCTAAAAGTGTTATCCGCGAATGCTTTTTGATAGATTGTTGAGGCCATATTTTACTTTTTAAATTCGATGTTTGTCTGCAGGTATTGCTGGAGCGTCTTTTGTTCCGACTGTACAGACTGCACTTCGGCGTCTATTGGCTGCTGCTGCTCCAGCTGGATCAGTGGCTTCTGAAAATCGCAGACAATGCCTCAAGGTAAATATCTTAGACTGATGCACTAATAAGAAAACAAGTTTTTTGGTTCTTGAACCAGCTTTTTTTGTTAGGTCTTGAGACTATGGCTTGAGAGGAAGATATTCCCGGAATCTGTTCTTCGTCCTTTAATGGATGGGATTGAGGTCTCAAATGACGGGTCAAATTCTGGTATATTCCTCAGACGACCATCCCGTGCAGAGCGTTCTGTAGATGATCCAATAAGGGACATGGATGGAATGCTTGTTGATGAATATGGGAGGTATTTCTTTTACCATTTAATTGTTTGCATATCTCTGTCGATTTGATGTTGTCTGTAATATATTTTTAATGATGTTGGGTAATGAAGATCCAATAGATAATATATCCCAGTTGAAGCTAGTCCACCGCGTTTTTCTTAGTAAGGTTCTTCTCTATGGAGTTGCATTATTATGAATTAATACTAGAAACCCTGAACCGCATTAATGCACTTTGATTGAGTCGATTATTGACACTTAACTGATTTTTTTGTTGAAAGCTTATTTATTAGGTATTATCTTTTATTTATCATGCATTTGCATAGTAATTTTTTGAAGGTTTCTGATTGAGTTGCAAGTTTTTAAAGTCTCCCTGTACTTTTTTCCATGTTCACAGTGATGATGAGCCTTTTTCGTTTGCTTTCCTTGCATTCAATTGTCTCCCAATATTATTGTGGTGCGAATTGAGGGTGTTTTACGTTTTGTGAATCTCTAGATGTCGGTGAGGGTTTTTTTTTTTTTTGGTGGGGGTTGTAAATTTATTCTAAACGAGAAAAGCTGGAGGTCTAGTTATATTATGAACATGGTTGGTATAGTGGAAACGAAAAAAGGAAACTCTGAGCTTATGCACACTCTTTTGTATTTGTTCGGTCAATGGAATGCTTCTTTGAATTTTAAGAAAATGAAGCCCAAGATTTAGTTTCTTCTATGGAAATCCATCCTTGTTTTCATGTGACTTCGGCTCCTGCTTAAAATTTTCATCTGTTTCATTTTGGAAGTGAAATGTTTCAACAAGCGACACATCAAAATTAAGGAAATTTCTCTATGAATATGGTCGGAAAAAATGGGACACTGAAATTAAATTTCAGTGTGAATCCGGCCTCACTCTGTTTTGCTATCGCTATGGTTCTATTTGTTTATGGTTGTATAAGTTTTAACAAGACTTGCATCAAAATTCTAGGAAACTTCTGTCTGAATAGATATTGTTCATATATATTTTTTTAGTGAATGTGGAATCTTCAATGGTGTTTTAAACTCAAACTACAGATACCTCAACAAGGATTAGAAAGTATTGTTAGGATAATTCGTTTTCATGCGCTTTGCTTGCCTTTTCCTCTTCCTACCTCGCAATTTAGGAGATTTCCTTTATACATATGAACCTTTAAAATATAACATTGCCTTTTTCACATCACTTTGCCTATTCCATTTTAATTGGTGGTTCTCTAAAAAATGTGCTATCCACTGTAATGTTTGTATGGCTGGTATAAATAATTGCTTCTATTTCATGTTTCCTCTAGTTGAAGAGAAGCTTCTCAGAAGGTTCTTTTTTCTCCTTTCACTAATATATTTACATCGTGGAAAAAAAATTGCATGTTTTTCCCTTTTCGTAGTCTTTATCACGTGTTACAATGTCAATTATTAACTTACCGTGTGCTTTTGCTCGTTTTTGTTTAAATTTTTAGCAATGTTGCCTTCAAGTTGCCTGGTTTTATATCCACCCATGTATTTGAAGACGAGGAGGATCTCCCCGGTAGTTTAAGTGGTGATGCTGGCAATGAGTCTCCTATAGAAGGTACCACTGCTGTGGTTATACCTGGTACGACAATTATCCATCCAAGTGACAGGCGGCACCTCATTTTGGAAGATGTAGATGGTGAGCTTGAAATGGAAGATGCATCTAAAGATGACAGAGTATTAGTCAGAATTTCTCTCAAACAACAGCTGGAGGTTCCAGTGATTAATGAGACCTCGGAGTCTGGATTATCTGCTCAAGGAGCGCTTCCGGCTGCTGGTTCACCACCTTTACCTTTGGACTCTCCGCCTTCTCCTCCGCCCTTACCTCCATCGCCACCACCTCCTCCTCCTCCCCCACCGCCACTGTCACCACCACCACCACTACCACCACCACCACCACCACCACCACCACCACTGCCTCCACCATCATATCCACAACATCCATCACTTCCTCAGCCACCGATAGCACACCCATCTTCTTCATCATTGGCATACCGACCTGCTCATCAGGATTATAGTAGGATGCCAAATGTGAGTACAGTGAATCTGGTCAACATTTTTTTCCTAATATATCGTGCTTTCTTGGATATCTCTTGTTTCAATTCCAGTTATTTTAGCTAATTGACTGGAAATGCTACACACAGGGCCATAGTAATGCTTCTGTGAAGACTGATGCAGCCGTGCAACAGTCTCCTAGCTTTGCACGGAGTGCTGTATGCAACACTCAGCCTATTCCTTCTGTTGGCACTTCAAGGCCATATGAGTTTGGACAAAATGGCATGTACGCAGAACCCCAAGGTTGTCGATCTAACCAGCAGTTTCAACCAGCTGGTACATCCTTTATGCAGAGATCTTACAACGTTCTCACACCTGGCCACTCGATGACAAGTTTTCCTGCTCCTTCTGGACAAGTGCTTACACATTATCATGCATCTGCTACACAACCAACACCAAATCATTTTCCATTTGTGAATTCAATGTCCGAGCATCATGCACAACAACAGTATCACGCTTATTCTTTACCATCTGATCCCAATGACCGGAGACACTATATTGCTGAAGAGCAGTGGAGGAAACATTCTGGCAATGTCAGTCTGGAAAGTCAGCAGAGTTCATGGGTTGCTGGAGGAAGAGGACCAGCTCCTTCAGGAGCAGCATATGTCCAAGATGGTATGTCATTGTTCATGTTCTCAAGTATATCGAATTATAGCTAGGTTTCAAAGGAATCATTCTGCCTTTTTTCAGGCAGAAGCATTAGTTTACAGAAGAATTACTAGTTTTTTTAAAAATGCTTCAGTGAGTTGAAAAAATTGAGCATTTTTCAGGCCCTGATCAGTGCCTTTTCCCATTTGAATTGAGTTTGCCTTTCATGTCGTTGTTCCATCCCTTGGAACTCAATGTTTACTTAGCTGTCTTGATCTGTCATATATGTCATGTCCAGAGTCTAGTGTTCTCGTTTTGGATTTGGTTCATGGTTACTCAACATCTTTCTGTTAGAGTGTCTGTTTTAGCACTGAAGCTTGGACGCAACTTTTTATGGTTAGGTTCTAAGTAGGACTGAGTGTCGAGCTTCAGTTATTTGCTTAATATTCTATTTTATCTTCTCTATTCAAGATTATCTTCAATGGATCTCATTCAATATATTCATGCATTAGTTTATGAGATATTCATCTGAGCTATATCACCAGACCAAACCAAACTAATTTACTAAGTTGAAGCTGCAGTTGATGTAAGTATTTGAAAGCATTCTATCTGAATTTTTGAGTAGGTAACATCTTGAGGGCTTTGTTCCATCACAACTTTGGTTGATGAATAAATTTATGATAAATTAAAATCTTTGTTATAAGCTTTTCTAATCTTCGTAATAATTTTGTTGGTTATATAATCTAATGAAACAGTGAACAAGCATTACCATTAACATTAAGCCCTTTTCCCATTAAGCTCGAGCTACGGTGGAATCCCAGCATAGTTGTGCTGGTTTATTACCAGTTCCTCCGATACCGAATCAATTACGAATTTTTGCAATGACCTAAAGCTGGTTAGTTAATAGATGAGGTGTACAAATGGGTGACTGTGTGCTCTGATTGGACTATTGGGAGGTAACCTTACTCGCATATAATGCGTACCCTAGGTTTAGAGGAACCTTCAGGAAGAAAAGATCGTGCAGATCATAGATCTCCTTCCCCTTGTTTATTTTCTTTGCCGTCAGGTTCCTAGGCTTATTCCTTTATTTTCTTTCCTGTTATTTCTTCCCAAATGTCTGAAATAATTGACTAATTCTAGCTTTCAGTCTGTAGTTTGAACTAGGTTGGCAAGAGCGGAATATACTCTTTTTTCGGCATGTTATCTCTACTCATGAGTTAGAGTGGCTAATTTTTTTGGTAATCTGGGGGGGGGGGGGTTCTACATTTTGATAGCCATGCTAATGTAGGGTCACATGCATGTTCGTGGTGTATTTTTTTGATCCTGTATATTTATACCTTTCTTTTATTTTCTGAGAGTTGGCTGTATACAGACATGGAGATGTTTGTTTTCTTTCCACTGATTCCATGGTACTATCCCTTCAACGAAGAATGATAGACAATTATTTTAAGCATCAACCTCTGAAAAGAAATATTGATGATTATGTATATATATATCTGATGCTTTTTTTGTGTGTTGTTGGAGTAAGCAAAGAAACAGCGGTGTTTCCCCTTTTATGCTATGTGATGAAGTATTATTGGAAAGAATAAGAGGAGATATGAAGATTTCTTTTGAAGTGTTTCAGATATTTTAAACAGAACTCTTGTGCCATGAGAAAACTTGTCTTCAGTGTTGTTCATTCTAGATACCGAGAATGCACCAACCCGATGTTTAGGGCATTCTGATCGGTCATCTTTATGGATCGGTGACCTCACTATCTATGTGTTTTCACATGCGATGTCTATTTTTCCATTTTTTGTGATTCCGTATTGTGATCGCTAATATCTTCAAAACACTACGTGTGGGATTGCATGACACTTTTATACGTAATCGAATATTTAGTGGGACAACTTTATATGTGAAAGACACTCGTGTTTCCTGTTGAAGTCAAGGTAAATTGAACCTAGCATACCTTATATCGTCTGGCTGGTTTTGTTCTGGGATCTTGTGAGGGAATATACTGTTAACGAAATTTTACCTTTATAAAAGTGAAATGAAGGATGACGTGTGCCTATGCATAGCTAAGCAATAACCTTAGGAATTGAGCTCTAATATTTTGACACTTATATGAGTCTTATCTTGCTCTTAGGATCAATACATGATTCGATATAAGTTATTTCGGTCAAGTTTTCTTCTTTATGTTCGATATAATTTGCGTCCAATTACTAATTGCTGTAGCCATTCTTCGTTGATAACATTGTAAACTCTCTCTCTCGTTTACCTGTAATTGCTTCATGGGTTGTAATTTTGCATTTTCTTCATTATAAAATTCTTTTGCCTATTTCCTTTTCAGTGTTCATTATGATGCTTCTGTAGCATTTGTAGATCTTATTGTTATGTCCATGACATAAACTAAATGTATCATTCTTTCTGTGCGACCTGTGACAAGATGGAATGTCACTTTAAAATTTGGTGCAGGTTCTTATAGTTCAAATGTGGATAGACAACCTCAGGAAATTCATCCTCCACATTCTGTAGCACCGCCTGTAGCGCCAGTTTCAGGTCCGCATACCTAGGAGCTTTTGATATTCTTTAGTAGTCAACTTTTCGTTTCAGCTGACAGGGGAAGTAAATGGTTACTTTTCAGTTCCTCCAGGTCATGTTGTCCCCCAGATTTTACACTGCAGACCAGATGCCCCCGCTGTTAATTGTTGGAGGCCATCCTGAGAGCATTTTAATATGTTCCCCCAGGACTTCCTGTGTGTAATATCCTTCTCTAATTGTCTTGATTGCTTATGCGTTATCTTTTTGTAATTATCCTTCTGTATGGAATATTTACTATGTTTCTTTCGTGCGTCAAACTTTCTTCTGTGGAATTATTCTGTTAGCTTAAAAATAGTGGACGGTAATACATGTCTTTGTTTGTTCCAGCCATTTTGGAGTATAGGTGGAGGCATCAACGTCACCCTGCGCTGTTGATAAAACAACCCATCTTCCAGTTGACCTCAGATGATCATCAACCATTGGAAGGTGGTGGGAGATTTGGCACTTTCTTTTTATCCTTTGTACATTGTATTTTTATCCCTACTACCACCTTGCACAGATTTATTTTTCCTAATGTAAGCCAATGGCTTTTCACCATCACGGCAAGCGGGCTGTAGCTTGTATTTTTATGAGTTAATATTTTAATTTTATTAGTTTAGGTTTTTTTGCAAGAAAATTGAATGAAGTTCAGGAAATGTGACTAGTGAAAAGACTGGTGTTAAGTGGATGTGAATCAGCGCATAATGGAAAGGATAACTTAGGAATGAAAACCTTGTAGTGTTCATGGATTCTATATAAAAGAAAAAAATTCCATGGATAGATTCAGTGACAAATTCTGCTTCTTTTCCCAACTGGTGCTGCATTTTTCATGGTATGATGCTTGATCTTTGAGGGTACACGAAGCTCCGTTTGTGCAGCAATTAGGATACGTATGTTTTAGGTTTCTTTTTTACGTTTGCAGTGATAATGACCAAATTAGGAGAAGTTAGATTTTTTTTTAAAGTTTTACTTAACCTAGACTGTATCTAAATGGTAGATGGCTGTCTGGAGTGCTGAAGTTTTACGCATAAATACCCTAATGAAGAAAATGATTTGACAAATTTAAAAACGAGGTATACATTTGATAGATTACCTAAGATTTGGAAAAATCTATTTCCCATTGTGGCTTATTTGAAAGTTTTTCCGAGCATACCTTGATCTACCATACCGTTGTTACATGGCTGGCTCCGAAAAATAGCTGTTCTCTGACAACTTACAAGACAGAGAAGCACAATCGGTTGAGATCTACTCCTATTTGATTAACTGCTGTTTTCTTATATTCAACATCTTTTCCAGAGAAGAGGCTTTGAACGGAGAAAATGATTGTGCAAATTTGATAAGGACAAATTATTATTAATGCAGTCTTTTGATGCTAGTTGATATGAATGGACTTTGTTTTGTTTTTCCTTAAATGGAGGGTCGTGTCCATTAATCTTTGTACTGACTTCATTGACTCAGTAAGTTTGGCCTGGTAAATTTTTTCACCGGTCACTAGGACGTCTTTCTGTGAAAAATGAAGATATTCAATTGAGGAATAAGTGTTGGAACTGTTGATGAATTGTGGACAATGTGGACAGGGATCCTTGTTCTTTATGGAGAAATCCTTTAGTTGAAGAAACCATCGCGTTATTGTCATTGTTTTCTTTTATTTGTACGTTAGATTGTGCTTACTGGATATCATGGTCTTTTTGCCGTAAACATTCTTCTTTCAGAACCAGTGGATTTCCTTATATTTTCTGGCCAACATGTGTAATGTGTAGGTCATTTTTAAGTAGTAATAATTTTTAAGCAACTTGTGTCATGTCGAAATTCTCTCTTTTTTTTGACAGCTATGCTTGATTAGCCGGAACAGCTTAGTGAATCCTGGTTTATGTTGTGAACATCAATGTAATTTTTTTATGTTTCTTTGGTTTCAATGTTTTTGGTGGTAAATATTTACTTTGTGTAATCATGTTCATAAATTAGTACATCTGACTAATTTACGGGCTGAACTGTCAATTTCATCATTTATTTAAGATGAACGTGGAATGTATCTTTAATATAAACAGAGGATCTCAGAATGGTATCTCTGGTGTATTGCTTTTCTTCCCACAAATGAGCTTTTTTCTGTACCTTTATAGCATTGTGTTTCTCTGGGAGTAGATGATAAATAGATTCTGCCTCCATTTAGCATTTGCAATAGTCACTGTGTATATTCAAGATAAAGGCTTATTGTGATTTAGTGTGTAAACTACTTCAAGCTCTTTTTTGTTTGTTAATCGATGTCTAGTAATATCCTTGATCTGTGGGCAATTTGGATGACTGGAATGGAGATAATGCAATATTGTACTACTAAGAGCTAGCTCTGAATATTTTATGATCCTCTCAAAGCAGAAATAAGTGAAACTTTATTCCCCATTAGGTAGCAGAAAGAGTAAAGTAAAATGCATTATTCAAGAGTGTATACCCTATGGTGTTTAGTCCTGTAAGTCTCATCTCTTCGTTTATATCATGATTTATCATTATCCAGGAATTTGTTTGTGATCTTGTGGGGCGTTGTCAGATCTTAGATCATTAACTTTCTGACAAAGCTTATGAGGTAAATGCAGTCCTATTCCAGTGTAAGAGATGACAAATCTTCTAAAGGCTCAACCTCGAACCACTATGTGCACTGTCATCCTGGATAAGCGGAAAAAATAAGGTGTGAAATGAATGTACCTATGTCCTGCTGAATTCTATGCCACTAGATTGCATGCTAAGTCATATGCCTGCCAGATCGTCTGATGTCATTCTTCGAACGGGATTAGTGGAAATTGTCTCTAGACTGACCGTTTAAATGACTCTGGAGCCTGGAAATGTAACGACCAATGGGATAAACTGATACAATTTCCTGTTTCTTGCAACTCTCCTCTTGAAGATGAAGATTTGGTCCAGATCCCATGAGGCTCACATTATGTCCATGTCCGGTACACACAGATGACGTACTGCACTACATTGCTGATTGAATACGAGTTGGTTCTTGCTGATGTGATTTCAAGAGAAGAATTTGATCCCCGTTTCATTACTAGAAATCATTCCTTTAATCACAGAATCGCCTGACTGTTTGTTAATTCTATCCGGGTCTGATCTGATTCCGAAAAAATATCGAAGGTGCTGTAGTTTATATTTGTGAGAAACCTAGCTTAATGCTTACTGGTTTGTATGCATTTTGTGGGTATGTAGGTCTTTAATAAGTTAGAAAAAATGAAACTGGTTTGTATGCATTTTGTGAGGATCTTTTCATATATCTATTGATTGAATTATTTGCAATGTGCGATGAGGGACATTCTGGTTTCCAAGTGTCCATGCTTTGACCAAAATAGGTGCAATATGAGCTGTTCAAGAATTCTGAGATTATTGCCGTTAATAAAAATGACATCATCTGAAGATTTGAACCTAATAGTCATTAAAAGTATTTATAATTTTGTCCTATTTTGATATTTTATTCGAAAAATGCGTTTCTTCTATTAGTCCCTCCGTGCATTTAATTCTAGCCTCTCCATGAGTAGAGTATGCATCTTTCCATTTCTTTCTGTCGGATCTTCCCCAAGTTACAGATCTACTAATCAACGTCGGGTTCTATGCTCTTGGGGAGCACTTGAATTTTTGAAGCAAAAAACTACTAGCCAAGTAGATTGGTCAAGGAAACACCTTAATGCTTTTATACATAGTTGATCCAATTTCAATAGTCGATGCTTGTTAGAGAAAAAATCCAATATAAAGATTCAATTCAGTTACAATGGTTCAGAACAAGGGAGAAGGGAAGGGAAAATACAAGAACACGCCAATAATTTCTCTAATCCAATGGCCGGAGTATGAAGTATTTGATAATATCCAGTGGTACAAAAGGACTGAAATAACCGTGTGCATCAGTGGGTGGGTTGAGTCATAGGGTCCTACAAGCTGATAACCGAGTGTCTAAGGAAAGTGTTGGGACAAAAGTGTAATTAAGAGTTAGTTTCTGTTGGTCATTTTCTTATATTGGTTGGGTTGTCGGTCAGTTTCCTAGGTTGGTTGGGGTGTTGATTAGTTTCCTTTGTTGGTTGGGATGTTGGTCAGTTTCCTAGGTTTGATGGGGTATTAGTCAGTTTCCTAGGTTGGTTAGACTGGTGGTCAATTTTCTAGTTTTGTTGAGTATCCCATAAGTCGTGGGATTTAACCTAGGCAGTTTTCCTTTATTTGGGGATGAGGTAATTGTATATAACTAGCAATTGTTATTTGAATTGACAAGACATAAAATTTTCCCTACTGTTTATCCTTGTTTGGTTTGCATCATGTATCAGAGCATTAGGCTTGTAAATCTGGAAAATTTTCTCTAGTTTTCATCCTCCCTGCGTGTAGTTCCCATCGTTGCCCGTCCTCCTAGGGTATTTTCTGTTAGTTTTTCGAAGAAACCCTAACCCTAGGGGTTAGGTGCATTGTCTCTCCCTGTCCCTCTGTGGTCACTGAGGCTGTGTATTTGGGAGGCAAGGGAATTGATTCTGTCCATACTCTTCTCTCTGTCGGTCTCAAGGCATAGAGTGGGATCTCTCTGTATCTGATCTTATTTCGATTTGAAGAAGGATCGCCTGTCCCTGGGGTATCCTTTTTTGGTAGCTATTCTTTGTTGTCTTTGCGACACGTGGGGTGGATTGTCTGGATCAGGATCTCTCAATTTGCGTACATTTCGATGGAGGTTCAGGATTAGTCTTCATTGTTGTTTTTCAGATTTCAGACCGCTGTCCGTGCCATCCCCTGCCTTACAGATGTTAGAGGTTGTAGAGATGAACGCTACAACACCAGTGGAAGAGTTTGTATGGTTTCAACAATCTGGAGAGTTGCAGAGCATTCAGGCTGCATATAGGATGGATGAAAAAAATTACCTCAAGTAATCCCAAGTTGTTCGCACACTGTCCTGAAAGGGAAAGGGAAGATCACCCATCTTACAGGTACAGGGCCGAAACCAGGCGATCCTTGGTTTGAAGCTTGGGATAAA